TTGATGAGTGTGTGATACTGTTTGATGAGTGTGTGATACTGTTTGATGACTGTGTGATACCGTTTGATGACTGTGTGATACTGTTTGATGACTGGTTGATACTGTTTGATGACTGTGTGATACTGTTTGATGACTGTGTGATACTGTTTGATGACTGTGTGATACTGTTTGATGAGTGTGTGATACTGTTTGATGACTGTGTGATACTGTTTGATGAGTGTGATACCGTTTGATGACTGTGTGATACCGTTTGATGACTGTGTGATACCGTTTGATGAATGTGATACTGTTTGATGAGTGTGTGATACTGTTTGATGACTGTGTGATACCGTTGGATGACTGTGTGATACTGTTTGATGAGTGTGTGATACTATTTGATGACTGTGTGATACTGTTTGATGACTGTGTGATACTGTTTGATGACTGTGTGATACTGTTTGATGACTGTGTGATACTGTTTGATGACTGTGTGATACCGTTTGATGACTGTGTGATACCGTTTGATGACTGTGTGATACTGTTTGATGACTGTGTGATATTGTTTGATGACTGCGTGATACTGTTTGATGACTGTGTGATACCGTTTGATGACTATGTGACACAATTTGATGTGTGACTGTTGACAGTGTGACGCTGTTTGCTAACTATGTGACGTGAATTGATGACTATTTGATGACAATTTGGTCCCGTTTGCTGACAATGTGACGCCATTTGATGACCATGTAACACCGTCAGATGACTGTGTGACCCCATTTGATGACCTCGTGATGTTGTTAGCTGACTGTGTGACACTTTCTGATGTGGTTCGGTTTTTGATGACTGTGTGGTACTGTTTGATGACCTGGTGATGTTGTTTGCTGACTGTGTGACACTTTCTGATGTGTTGCGGTTTTTGATGACTGGGTGACGCCGGTTGTTTGCAGTATTTATATCGTTTCATGGCGTGGTCGAAAGCTTTTTTGTCCGAATTATGCAGTTTGATAGTAAACCCCAGTGCAACGCCGTCTACCGACAGAACCAAATATAACATCGTTTGATGACACACATCTCTCCCCGATATAACCTTTTCAGAAGCTGAACCTTCAAAGCGTGTAGTCATGCATGCTGAAATGATACGTACTTCACAAGTGCTTGTGAAAGATATAATATTACATAACAAAATACCTTCATCTACTTTAAATATCCGCTATAAACACTTTGATATCCAGTTTATACGAGTACAGTCGTTAATGTCAGAAGTCGAGGGAATGTTCTACTGTTGTTGACAGTAGCTCTTCAATCTTATACAAACTATTTCTCAGTTTGACACTCTGAATGTGGATAATGTTTACTGACCTCTCACTCAGTCTTAATGTGGATAATGTTTACTGACCTCTCACTCAGTCTGAAGGTAGATCATGTTTACTGACCTCTCACTCAGTCTGAATGTGGATAATGTTTACTGACCTCTCACTCAGTCTTAATGTGGATAATGTTTACTGACCTCTCACTCAGTCTTAATGTGGATAATGTTTACTGACCTCTCACTCAGTCTGAAGGTAGATCATGTTTACTGACCTCTCACTCAGTCTGAATGTGGATAATGTTTACTGACCTCTCACTCAGTCTTAATGTGGATAATGTTTACTGACCTCTCACTCAGTCTGAATGTGGATAATGTTTACTGACCTCTCACTCAGTCTGAAGGTAAAACATGTTTACTGACCTCTCACTCAGTCTGAATGTGGATACTGTTTACTGACCTCTCACTCAGTCTGAATGTGGATAATGTTTACTGACCTCTCACTCAGTCTGAATGTGGATAATGTTTACTGACCTCTCACTCAGTCTGAAGGTAAAACATGTTTACTGACCTCTCACTCAGTCTGAAGGTAGATCATGTTTACTGACCTCTCACTCAGTCTGAATGTGGATAATGTTTACTGACCTCTCGCTCAGTCTGAATGTGGATAATGTTTACTGACCTCTCGCTAAGTCTGAGGGTAGATAATGTTTACTGACCTCTCACTCAGTCTGAAGGTAGATAATGTTTACTGACCTCTCACTCAGTCTGAAGGTAAAACATGTTTACTGACCTCTCACTCAGTCTGAAGGTAGAACATGTTTACTGACCTCTCACTCAGTCTGAAGGTAGATCATGTTTACTGACCTCTCACTCAGTCTGAAGGAAGATAATGTTTACTGACCTCTCACTCAGTCTGAAGGAAGATCATGTTTACTGACCTCTCACTCAGTCTGAAGGTAGATAATGTTTACTGACCTCTCACTCAGTCTGAAGGGAAGATCATGTTTACTGACCTCTCACTCAGTCTGAATGTGGATACTGTTTACTGACCTCTCACTCAGTCTGAAGGGAAGATCATGTTTACTGACCTCTCACTCAGTCTGAAGGGAAGATAATGTTTACTGACCTCTCACTCAGTCTGAAGGTAGATCATGTTTACTGACCTCTCACTCAGTCTGAATGTGGATACTGTTTACTGACCTCTCACTCAGTCTGAAGGAAGATCATGTTTACTGACCTCTCACTCAGTCTGAATGTGGATACTGTTTACTGACCTCTCACTCAGTCTGAAGGTAAAGTTTTACTGACCTCTCACTCAGTCTGAATCTCACTCAGTCTGAAGATACTGTTTACTGACCTCTCACTCAGTCTGAAGGAAGATCATGTTTACTGACATCTCACTCAGTCTGAATGTGGATACTGTTTACTGACCTCTCACTCAGTCTGAAGGAAGATCATGTTTACTGACCTCTCACTCAGTCTGAATGTGGATACTGTTTACTGACCTCTCACTCAGTCTGAAGGAAGATCATGTTTACTGACCTCTCACTCAGTCTGAAGGTAGATAATGTTTACTGACCTCTCACTCATTCTGAAGGTAAAACATGTTTACTGACCTCTCACTCATTCTGAAGGTAAAACATGTTTACTGACCTCTCACTCATTCTGAAGGTAGAACATGTTTACTGACCTCTCACTCATTCTGAAGGTAAAACATGTTTACTGACCTCTCACTCATTCTGAAGGTAAAACATGTTTACTGACCTCTCACTCAGTCTGAAGGTAGAACATGTTTACTGACCTCTCACTCAGTCTGAAGGTACTGACCCTCTCACTCACTCATGTGGGTATTGTTTACTGACCTCTCACTCAGTCTGAAGGTAGATCATGTTTACTGACCTCTCACTCAGTCTGAAGGTAGATCATGTTTACTGACCTCTCACTCAGTCTGAAGGTAAAACATGTTTACTGACCTCTCACTCAGTCTGAAGGTAGAACATGTTTACTGACCTCTCACTCAGTCTGAAGGTAGAACATGTTTACTGACCTCTCACTCAGTCTGAAGGTAAACCTCTCATGTTTGATGTTTACTGACCTCTCACTCAGTCTGAAGGTAGATCATGTTTACTGACCTCTCACTCAGTCTGAAGGTAAAACATGTTTACTGACCTCTCACTCAGTCTGAAGGTAGATAATGTTTACTGACCTCTCACTCAGTCTGAAGGTAGATCATGTTTACTGACCTCTCACTCAGTCTGAATGTGGATACTGTTTACTGACCTCTCACTCAGTCTGAAGGTAAAACATGTTTACTGACCTCTCACTCAGTCTGAAGGTAGATAATGTTTACTGACCTCTCGCTCAGGCTGAGGGTTGATCATGTTTACTGACCTCTCGCTCAGTCTGAATGTGGATAATGTTTACTGACCTCTCACTCAGTCTGAATGTGGATAATGTTTACTGACCTCTCACTCAGTCTGAAGGTAAAACATGTTTACTGACCTCTCACTCACTCAGTCTGAAGGTTAAGATGCTTACTGACCTCTCACTCAGTGTGAAGGTAGATCATGTTAACTGACCTCTCACTCAGTCTGAAGGAAGATCATGTTTACTGACCTCTCACTCAGTCTGAAGGTAGATCATGTTTACTGACCTCTCACTCAGTCTGAAGGTAGATCATGTTTACTGACCTCTCACTCAGTCTGAAGGTAAAACATGTTTACTGACCTCTCACTCAGTCTGAAGGTAAAACATGTTTACTGACCTCTCACTCAGTCTGAATGTGGATGATGTTTACTGACCTCTCACTCAGTCTGAAGGTAGAACATGTTTACTGACCTCTCACTCAGTCTGAAGGTAGAACATGTTTACTGACCTCTCACTCAGTCTGAAGGTAGATCATGTTTACTGACCTCTCACTCAGTCTGAAGGTGTTTACTGACCTCTCACTCAGTCTCACTCAGTCTGAAGGTAGAACATGTTTACTGACCTCTCACTCAGTCTGAAGGTAGATAATGTTTACTGACCTCTCACTCAATCTGAAGGTAAAACATGTTTACTGACCTCTCACTCAGTCTGAGGGTTGATCATATTTACTGACCTCTCACTCAGTCTGAAGGAAGATAATGTTTACTGACCTCTCGCTCAGTCTGAATATACCTACTGTTTGAAGGTAAAACATGTTTACCCTCTCACTCAGTCTGAAGGTAGATCTCATGTTTACTGACCTCTCACTGACAGTCTGTGAAGGAAGGTAAAACATGTTTACTGACCTCTCACTCAGTCTGAATGTGGATGATGTTTACTGACCTCTCACTCAGTCTGAAGGTAGATCATGTTTACTGACCTCTCACTCAGTCTGAAGGAAGATAATGTTTACTGACCTCTCACTCAGTCTGAATGTGGATGATGTTTACTGACCTCTCACTCAGTCTGAAGGTAAAACATGTTTACTGACCTCTCACTCAGTCTGAAGGTAGATCATGTTTACTGACCTCTCACTCAGTCTGAAGGTAAAACATGTTTACTGACCTCTCACTCAGTCTGAAGGTAGATCATGTTTACTGACCTCTCACTCAGTCTGAAGGTAAAACATGTTTACTGACCTCTCACTCAGTCTGAAGGTAGATCATGTTTACTGACCTCTCACTCAGTCTGAAGGTAAAACATGTTTTGACCTCTCACTGTAGGAAGTGTACATTGGTTTACTGACCTCTCAGGAGGTGGACGTTGTGTGGGGTCTGTAGGAGGTGGACGTTGGTTGGGGTCTGTAGGAGGTGTTTGTTGGTCGTGTCTGTAGAAGGTGTAGGTTGGTCAGGTCTGTAGGTGTACGTTTGTTGGGGTCTGTAGGAGGTGTACGTTGGTCGAGGTCTGTAGGAGGTGTACGTTGGTAGGGGTCTGTAGGAGGTGGACGTTGGTTGGGGTCTGTAGGAGGTGTACGTTGGTCGGGGTCTGTAGGAGGTGTACGTTGGTCGGGGTCTGTAGAATGTGTACGTTGGTCGGGGTCTGTAGGAAGTGTACGTTGGTGGGGGTCTGTAGGAGGTGTACGTTGGTCGGGGTCTGTAGGAGGTGGACGTTGGTTGGGGTCTGTAGGAGGTGTACGTTGGTCGGGGTCTGTAGAATGTGTACGTTGGTCGGGGTCTGTAGGAAGTGTACGTTGGTGGGGGTCTGTAGGAGGTGTACGTTGGTCGGGGTCTGTAGAATGTGTACGTTGGTCGGGGTCTGTATGAGGTGTAGGTTGGTCGTGTCTGAAGGAGGTGTATGTTGGTCGTGTCTGTATGAGGTGTATGTTGGTCGGGGTCTGTAGGGGTTGTACGTTGGTGGGGGTCTGTAGAATGTGTAGTTTGGTCGTGTCTGTAGGAGGTGTATGTTGGTCGTGTCTGTAGGAGGTATAGGTTGGTCGGGTCTGTAGGAGGTGGACGTTGTGTGGGGTCTGTAGGAGGTGTTCGTGGGTGTTGTCTGTAGGAGGTGTTTGTTGGTCGTGTCTGTAGAAGGTGTAGGTTGGTCAGGTCTGTAGGTGTACGTTTGTTGGGGTCTGTAGGAGGTGTAGGTTGGTGAGGTCTGTAGGAGGTGTAGGTTGGTCAGGGTCTGTAGAAGGTGTACGTTGGTCGTGTCTGTAGGAGGTGTACGTTAGTCGTGTCTGTAGAAGGTGTACGTTGGTCGGGGTCTGTAGGAGGTTTACGTTGGTCGGGGTCTGTAGAATGTGTACGTCCGTTGGGTCTGTCTGTAGGAGGTGTACGTTAGTCGTGTCTGTAGAAGGTGTACGTTGGTCGGGGTCTGTAGGAGGTTTACGTTGGTCGGGGTCTGTAGAATGTGTACGTCCGTTGGGTCTGTCTGTAGGAGGTGTATGTTGGTCTGACTCTTTAGGATATGTCGGGTGTCTATAATATGATTCAGGAATAAAATATATTAAATATTGATATAAATAGTTTACAACGGAGTGGATGATAGTTATCATAAATTTGTCTTACTACACAGTGAGTTATACAAAGAAGTTCCTTTATCGCTGATACTTCCTCAAGTTGGGTGCTTATCCTGATCGGATGACAGATCGTATGAGAAGAGTTCCGCATGATTTCATTCTAAGATACACGTGTACCTAAATATAGGAACAGCTTTACCGCGAAAGGAGCTATTATGGCCAGTTTAGTGAGGTATTTGGTGAAACGGTATTTACTCAAATAGCCCAATCTAAACCGGAGAGATTCAAAGAGGGTGTGTCTTAGATTCATGCATCAACCCATTGTCCCCTTCAGCCGCTCTAAATGCATATTACATGATCCTATTTAAGATAAATTTTACTTGTTACAGGTCATCCATAGGACTCCTGACCAACACACCGTGAACAACTGACAGACCCTCGACCATATCATACACTTCAGATACCATATGTCGTAAATCTCATAAGACGTCTAGACCGTCGTACACCTCCTACATACCACTCTACCGTCGTACACCTCCATCAGATCACTCTACCGTCGTACATCTCCTACATACCACTCTACCGTCGTACATCTCCTACAGATCACTCTACCGTCGCACACCTCCTACAGACCACTCTACCGTCGTACATCTCCTACAGACCACTCTACCGTCGTAAACCTCCTACAGATCACTCTACCGTCGCACACCTCCTACAGACCACTCTACTGTCTTACACCTCCTACAGACCACTCTAACGTCGTACACCTCCTACATACCACTCTGCCGTCGTACACCTCCTACAGACCACTCTAACGTGGTACACCTACAGACCACTCTACCGTCGCACACCTCCTACAGACCACTCTACCGTCGTACATCTCCTACAGATCACTCTACTGTCGTACACCTCGTACAGACCACTCTACCGTCGTACACCTCATACAGACCACTGAACCGTCGTACACCTCCTACAGATCACTCTACCGTCGTACACCTCCTACAGATCACTCTGCTGTCGTACACCTACAAACGTAACGACCGCCGTTCATCTCATACAGACCTTCCGACTACCGTATATCTCATACAGACGTCCTGACTGCCGTACATCTCATACAAACCTTCCGACCCTTGTACACCTCCTTCAAACCTTCCGACCGCCGTACGTCTCATACCGACATCCCGACCGCCGTACATCTCATACAAACCTTCCGACCCATGTACACCTCCTTCAAACCTTCCGACCGTTGTACCCCTACTATAGACCTCCTGACCGTCCTACACATCCCAAAATGTACTGACCCTGCATCTCCTATATACCTTCCAACCGGCATAAAGATCCCACAATATATCTCCGACCGTCAATCCCTATATACTACTCGTTTTGCCGGAAAATATATATTTACATATATGTACTAATCTTATTGCAAATGAACCGGTATAGACCTTAGTGTATTAAAGCAGTGCATGTTGTATTACTGACTAATAATATCTGATTTTGAAACCAAACATCTTTATTTACAAAATATTAATGCGCAACGCATTTTATCAAAAAATATCGAACCGTAGTACTTTACTGAAAAATGTTTTATTTCAAGACCGTTCCGGGACACAGGGTACGTGTGACCCCAAAATAAGATCACCGTAATTTGTTTACCTAAACCTATGCTACACGTCCGGTGCATGCCCCGAGAGAAGACATAAATGGACTGTGTTTAAATAAACAAATACCGTAGCTCTGTACTGAACGTCAAGTTCTTGGGGTTGGCGAGAACCCTTATCTTCCAGGTGTAAGCAAGAAAGGGGACACCATTTCCGCGGAGCACGTTTTGGAATCAAAATAGATCAAGACTTCTGAAAATAACACCACTTCGCCAGATGGCCCCCTCTGAAGTGAAGGATGCCTTACATGACCTTCTCTACTTCTCGCCACCAGTTTTTTTCCCTTTTAAATGTTTTTTCCCACTCCTGACTACTTAATGGGAGCCTCATGGTTATCTCAGGTTGCTCGTGAACAATATGTTGTTAATGTGCGTAAGCATATCTTCGATTCGTTGACAGGTTTAATGTTTAAATGTGAGATTGATTTCTTTCATCAAATCGATAAAATCTGTGTCATACTCAGCAAGAGTGGGGCACAGAACCAGTGTTCCTGGGGGTAACTTATGTCTGATGTAGAAAATAAACGATGGGTGCTACCGTCTTCTCTGGGGAAGGCATTTAACAAATCGCACAGCTGAGTATTTGTCCTTTACATCCTAGAGGTATTTAAATTGAAACCATAGTAATATCCTAACTTTGATATTTGGTAAGACAAGAAATACAAATCCGAAAAACATTCCAGCACATCATCAGTATGTCGAAAATTGGAATTGGCAAAGGATGTAAAGTTTAAAATCATAAATTGCTGAAGTATCTTAAACTGATTTTTTTCGAAATCAAAATATTAACCTAAACAGCAAGTAAAGGTAGTATTACACAGAAACCAGTAAATATCAACGTATATATACAAATACAGACCTCGACATCAAGTACAGGTCAGCTTATACAGGGACCTCAACATCAAGTACAGGTCAGCTTATACAGGGACATCAACATCAAGCACAGGTCAGCTTATACAGGGACCTCAACATCAAGTACAGGTCAGCTTATACAGGGACCTCAACATCAAGTACAGGTCAGCTTATACAGGGACCTCAACATCAAGTACAGGTCAGCTTATACAGGGACCTCAACATCAAGTACAGGTCAGCTTATACAGGGACCTCAACATCAAGTACAGGTCAGCTTATACAGGGACCTCAACATCAAGTACAGGTCAGCTTATACAGGGACCTCAACATCAAGTACAGGTCAGCTTATACAGGGACCTCAACATCAAGTACAGGTCAGCTTATACAGGGACCTCAACATCAAGTACAGGTCAGCTTATACAGGGAACTCAACATCAAGTACAGGTCAGCTTATACAGGGACCTCAACATCAAGTACAGATCAGCTTATACAGGGACCTCAGCATCAAGTACAGGTCAGCTTATACAGGGACCTCAACATCAAGTACAGATCAGCTTATACAGGGACCTCAGCATCAAGTACAAGTCAGCTTATACAGGGACCTCAGCATCAAGTACAGGTCAGCTTATACAGGGACCTCAACATCAAGCACAGGTCAGCTTATACAGGGAACTCAACATCAAGTACAGGTCAGCTTATACAGGGACCTCAATATCAAGTACAGGTCAGCTTATACAGGGACCTCAGCATCAAGTACAGGTCAGCTTATACAGGGACCTCAACATCAAGTACAGATCAGCTTATACAAGGACCTCAGCATCAAGTACAGGTCAGCTTATACAGGGACCTCAACATCAAGTACAGGTCAGCTTATACAGGGACCTCAACATCAAGTACAGGTCAGCTTATACAGGGACCTCAGCATCAAGTACAGGTCAGCTTATACAGGGACCCCAACATCAAGTACAGGTCAGCTTATACAGGGAACTCAACATCAAGTACAGGTCAGCTTATACAGGGACCTCAACATCAAGTACAGGTCAGCTTATACAGGGACCTCAACATCAAGTACAGGTCAGCTTATACAGGGACCTCAACATCAAGTACAGGTCAGCTTATACAGGGACCTCAACATCAAGTACAGGTCAGCTTATACAGGGACCTCAACATCAAGTACAGGTCAGCTTATACAGGGACCTCAACATCAAGTACAGGTCAGTTTATACAGGGACCCCAACATTAAGTACAGGTCAGCTTATACAGGGACCTCAACATCAAGTACAGGTCAGCTTATACAGGGACCTCAACATCAAGTACAGGTCAGCTTATACAGGGACCTCAGCAGCAAATAAAAATAAGTTGATGTATGGACCTATAATCTGTATTATACATCCCAGGATTTTTTCTCAATATCAGTGATAATGCTCGTGTCAAATTCTGAGTTGAAAAGGCGTTCGTGAAAGTGGGATCGGATATTGGCTATAGGTGCTGTACGAGAGTATTACAAGTATTTAAAGGGATGCAACCCCAGCATTTGTGAGTACTGTAGATCATACAGACAAAAATTTAATATCTAGCTCAAGTCTTTTCGTGACTTATTACAATAGGTACCAAACATCACTTCCTAGTACATATTTTTATTTTTGTTTAATTCATTGTGTTTTTCACTATGTCGATTACCCTTGATTTTACCAGTTGACCGAAATACAGGTTTAATTCGTGTAAACACGAAACAACTGTTGCGTTCAGTATTGTATGTCAACATATCATTCTAAATATAAATTCATGTATCTACATGTCAACAAAATCATAATAAAAACTCACAATTGATGCAATTATTTCACCCTTAATATGTATACAGAAAGTAAGACCAGGTGTTTGGGATGGGTAAGCGTCTTCCGTTTCATTAACATCCGATGTGTAAATAAAGTTTAAATAAAGTAATGTCACCACGTTCTTAAATGAGAACAAGGTATATAACACCTAAACTCAGAGGCATCCTACACATAGATAACCTGATAACCTGCTCCAGGAAATAATGTGTTCCTTTATGAGATAATTATTGGATATTAAACCCCCACAGTCTTCATCAAGCTCCATCTCTTGGAATTCTATGTCATAGCTTTATCTTAGCGACATCTGTAATTTATTAGAAAGGGAAAGTTCCTAACAAACTACAGAAAATTATCGCTCAGTAAGAGGCAATCAAGAAATAAAGAAGAAACATAGAGCATGAACCCAGTATTTAGGAATCGCCCTGAATGTATACGGAATACCAAGCTAAATGGGAGGCCAAGAAATCAAGAAATGAATTTGAAAAAGAGATAGCAAACAAACGTTAGGTAACAGCTAATCCGATTTTGAAAAGCGGAAAGTGAAGTTAGAAATAGCGGACTTAAAACCAACGGCGGGAATCAAACAAATTTAGATAGTGGTACAGAAAAACGCAGATTTGATGGAATTTTCTTACCAGTGATTTCACCACTAGATAAAATACCTATAATATAGAATAATAAAAGTCTTTCCAGGAGTTATCCTTAAACAAAAACCAAACTAGAAAACGTCTTATGAACTTTGACGGAACCATACGAGCAAGATGATTTGCATCCAAATCATCTGAAAGAACTAACAGGTGTCCATAGCCAACCGCTATCATCAAATCATTTACTGAAGGTGTTCTGCTCTGGAAAGAAGCTAATATTAAAAAGAGTTCAAATTCAGACCCAGGAAATCATCATCCTTTGTAAAATAATAGGAAAGCTCATTAGTTATCAGATTTCTACCAGGAGGGTTTCCAATAATTCAGATGTTGATAGTTCTGGACGACTGAACAAGAATGCTGGAGAGGAGGTAGATGTTATTCGTAGATTTTATAAAAACATTAAGTAAAGTATCCCTTCCTCGCTACATCGTTGAGTACAATAAACTGGACAGAAACCTTAACAACAGGCATAAAAGAGTAAAGATGAATAGATTATCATCCAAATAACATGACTATTAAATCGGAATCTACATGGAGGCGTACTAGGCCCTATCCTATCCGTTATTTAGACAGAGCCCCAAAAGAAACGCATGTCCGAATAAAGATACGTTTTGATAAGAAATTTAAAAAGGAATTGAATTTTTACTGAGTTATTCAATAGTTTGTTAAAATTGCAATTAAACAAAATGTGGCTAGATTTCACTTCATAAACTTTACAATTTCTATTGTTTATTTAATGAAGGTATCTCCGTGAAAGGAAAATCACAAATCAGTCAATAATGCGCCTGTCCGCCTTGGGCATTGGTAAAGGCTGTGTAATGTCGTCTTATGGAATTGCCGAGAGGCTGGAAGAATGCCTGGAGCAAATTGTTCTATTCCTTGAGGAGTCTCTGTTCCAGCTGTGTGAACGTCAACAGATTCGACCACCAGCGATTCTTCTCCCAATTTCATCCCACACATGTTCTATCGGTGCCTTATCTGGTGAAAGAGACGACCAAGGCAGGACATTCACTTTATTCTGTGTAAGGAAACCCATAGGTACTCGAGCCGTGTGGGAACGGGCGTTGTCTTGCAGGTAAAACTGCTGTTAAGGCTGTGCAACAAACCAGAGAACGACGTAAGGCCTAAGAACGCCATTCCTGTGTACCACTCCTGTTACACGATTACGGAAGACGTGAAGGGGTGTCAGATGGTGGAAACTAAAGGTTCCCCACACCATCACGCTGCCGCCACCCCACCTGTTAGCATGCAGGACACAGCGACGTTCGTTACGTCGACACCACACACGCACCAGGCCATCAACATGGGAAAGATGGTATCGAGACTCGTCTGAGAAGAGAACTCGTCGCCAATCAACAAGATTGGTCTAGATAAGAAGGCGAGTTATCCGGGTGTAGCAATCTTGGGCCTGAGGTTGTTAATCCTTGGTTTTCCCTTCCGGGATCGATCAGAAACAGAGTCCGTATGTTGAAAGCGTTCAGCAAGACTGTGATAGTGCTAACATGACATACCAAGCGCCTGGCTACAATAGTGGCGGAAGTACCCGCCTGCAAACTTCCAAGAGTCATTCCTCTCTGCAATTGTGTTACTCGTGGCATCGCGTTTCATGAGCATTATTCACGCTACCCTCACCGAATGAATGTTTTTGGGACGGACCACTTTATAAAGGATATGTATCGGTGGAAATTCATACGTATTGGCAAAACCCGTGTATGTACGTGCAGAATAAACGATTTTACGCATTGCGCATGTGTCGGTGTGAACAATGTCGGAAGTGACCAAAAAGCATGTCATTCAACCATTTTCACTCACAACTTATATTATTGATATTGACAGTAGTATACAAAAGGTCACATTAAAAAGTTTTGACGTGAAAATGTACTTTCTATGGGGTTCAGTATATATTTACGACATGCCTGAATAACATACCGAATGAAACAAAACGTATATTGCAAATCAGGAAGATGAAGACATACAAACGGATCTAGTTTCACCAGAACACCTGAATAACATTGACCACCAGAAGAATAAGGAACAGAAGACTTTGGGGGACACCATCAACAGAATCAAAATGACAAAACGAAACCTCTTGAAAATACTGAAATTGAAAAAGGTTTGGGTGTGTCAGTTGGAAAACTGGATTTCGTTTCCACCACCACAGCTCTATATGAACCCTCTGTATACTCAGTAGATATTTTACATACTTGAACGAGTCAATGTTTCAATAATATTCAAACATTTAGTCAGGCCACACTTGGAATATGCAGCTTGTGCATGAAATCGGTAAAATCTAAAAGACATACAAATCATCGGAAATGTCCAACGGGTGCAACCAAACTTATCCTAAAGTTTAGGGATCTTCCATACAGCGAACGTGCCAGGAGGATACTGAAACTTCTAACTCTAAAAAACGTAGAATGAAATTTAATCATCGTCTTCAAATTCATTATATATTGATGGAAAAGTGACCTGTGAACATTTGCTACAAAAGGACATGTGGTCACAACTTTAAACATCACAAATGTCGCTGTAACATAGAACTAAGACGGAAAGTTTTCACATTAGAGTTGCGGATATGTGGAATCATTTGTGAATGTAAATACCGTTTGAACATCAGCTGGTTACACACTACCAAGAAATCATTGATGAATACTAGAACTTATATCAATCCAACGTTGATTATTTGTACATTGAATGTATTTATTTGTTACGGAAACAACTGGCTTTTAGTCAACGTCAATAATTTTGAAAACAGATGGACATGTTAGTGATGACAGTTGGGTCCTGGTCATGCCGTTACTGTTTTATCTTTCCATGTGCCACTCACGAGAATGATGTGTAATATATGTTACAACAAGAGATCCCAGTGGGATCTTGGCGCCCACCATTTGAGGAACCTGCATATGAAATCTGAGAAAGATCCATCCAGTACTTTCCCAGAAATAGCGGTAACAAACTTTTACTTCCAAAATCCAAGATGGCTGCCTGTCGGTCATCTTGAATTCAAATCAGTCCAAAAAAGGTACAATGCACAACTAGGGACCATGGGGAAACTGCATATGAAATTTGAGGGAACTTTCCAAGAAATAGCGGTAACAAACTTTTACTTCCAAAATCATTGCCTGTCGGTCATCTTGAATGAAAAAAAGGTACAATGCACAACTAGAAACCTGTATATGACATTTGAGAAAGATCCATCCAGTACTTTCCCAGAAATAGCGGTAACAAACTTTTACTTCCAAAATCCAAGATGGCTGCCTGTCGGTCATCTTGAATTCAAATCAGTCCAAAAAAGGTACAATAAACAACCATATATGAAATTTGAGAAAGATCCATCCAGTACTTTCCCAGAAATAGCGGTAACAAACTTTTACTTCCAAAATCCAAGAACCTGTATATGACATTTGAAAAAAGGTACAAATAGGGACCATCCAGTTCTTTCCCAGAAATAGCGGTAATAAACTTTTACTTCCAAAATCCAAGATGGCTGCCTGTCGGCCATCTTGAATTCGAATCAGTCCAAAAAAGGTACAATGCACAACTAGGGACCATGGGGAAACTGCATATGAAATTTGAGAAAGATCCATCCAGTACTTTCCCAGAAATAGCGGTAACAAGAATTGTTTACGGATGGACGACGGACCACAGACGCAGGCGATTTGAATACCCCACCATAATCCTAATAAATGCCATCCAGCATGTGACTATCATGATGCAAGCATTTCGGGCACACAAGCAGTGACATTCAAACCCAAAACAGAAGTTCTTCTTGGCTGATTGTCAGTAATGAATAGTGCACTCTAGTTTAACACAGATCTATATCTATGTAAGTCTGTGTGTTAAATAAAGTTATAATTAGCATAGGACAACAAAATGGGTAGGTAATTTAAGTATTGAGCTGTCTTATTGCATTTACAGTCAATATAAATGACAGTGTCTTCCAGGCAAACACACGGCATTGTGTTTCAACCAATATAACGCTTGACAGCAAAGCTTCAACATTTATACCAACAGTAAAAGACATAAGGTTCAAGTTTCTGACAGAACACAGAAATGTAATTGGACAAACACGTGTTTTATTGTCGCAGAATAACAACTGATTTATAAAACAAAAGTAATCTTTCACAAGCTTGTAACTCTCAAGTAACCTGCCTCCCACCCCAATAGTTTCCAATCAAAAGTTACAGGTTGTGGTATTTGTTAGAATGAAGTTAAATGCTGCTAGTTGGATTAGTCAAAACTCTGACATGATGTTTGGCTTCTCCACCATGATCATGTATTAATGGTTTGATGTTAAAATGTTATCTGAAATGAAACAAGACAATATGGAGTATTAAAATCCCCCACCAAAGGTGAAATTATAAACTAAGAATGCACAGATGAAAAATGTGTGCAGGAACTAATTCTAAACATAGAATGTTCAACCATATACAACAATAGTCAGTGCTACTAATGCAAATATTTCTTCCATTTTACAATCAAATCACCCTCAGTGACACCATGAATTCCATGTATCTTGTTGTTTAATTTTTATAAAAATGGTATCACCTATTTCAAGTCTAAAGAAAAAGGTAGTGACCTACTTTTGATAAATGACACACTCTCAAGTTCTAGTGACAAGTTGTGAAGGAAATGGAGCCTGGGGAAAATTTTGTTTTAAAGTTCACTGAAAGGACCTTATTTTGGTTTGTTAAACTGCCTTATCCTGATCAACCCAAGCCCTCAGTATAAAGTTTCAGTGATAAGTAGTTTAGAAAGTGGAGCCAAGATTCTTTCTGTGAGATGTATGTCAAAGGTCAAAATGTAGGACAGAGTGGCATAGTTTTCATGTATGACACCCCCCTCCCCCCAATCTCACTTACGTAAACCCATGCTTTAAGTATGGAGTGACATGTAGTGTAATGTAGGAGACTAAGCCAAGACAAGGTAAAGGGCAGAACAAGAACTGTAGAAGGAAGGATAGAAATATGGAGGAATGAAAGGAGAGATGGACAAATAAAAAATCCGCAACCCCATCCACCCCGTTCCTGATTGGGGACTTAAAAAGTCTGAATACGTAGTTATCGGCATAAATATGACATTTTTGCTTAATTGTTGATTAACAAAACCTGCCACCTAAAAACATTTTAATCTAAATCTGTTATCAATCCATCCTTATCTGTTTTAGGGGTCGATACATCAGGCTGGAATTCATATTTTAACGAGATGCAACTCTCAGTCCCTGAATATATACACAGTCCAGACAATATAAATCTTTCTGTAGAAATATAAAGTAAAATATATAAAATATACCATCAAAAACATGAGGAACATGGTTACTATAAATACAAACAAATCTCTGAGCAGCCATTGGTCATATCTGTTAAATCATAGTCTAAAAAATGATTCACACATTCCTCTGTACACAGCACATACATCCAGAACTAATAAAGAGGCTCTGAAAAAATAGTTTTTAAATGAATATCTGAATATCTGCAAGAATGAAACCATTAACATGGTTCTTTACACAAAGTCCTCACTACATAGCACTTTTGTCAGATTTCCTGACTGAAGTTGGAGGGAAATCTCAGTACTTCTAACCACGGAGACATATATTAGAAGTATGGTTTGTCTTTCTCCCACAGCCCCTGTATAATGGTATCAACATCAGTGGAAGGGAAACGATCAGCGAAGGATTGGATGAGACCAGTCACATTTGAGTCATAACTCTTCAGATCTACTGTGCTGCCTGAAAAAGAAAAAAAACACAAATTTGGCACTTCTAGCTGAATATTATCATGTTTCAAATTTATGATATTGCCTACATTTGATATAATATCCGTCACCGATACAAATCATGTCAATTTCGAATTTGGTGGAAAAAATATAATTTCTCCAATTTTTTCACATAAATAGAAAATTTTGGTTAAAATTCACATGTGCATTTACATACCATTGACGACAGTGTTGTGCTGGACAAACATTTTCCTTGGCTGTTTCCTGGCAAGGACAGTGGCACGTCTCGTCAAAAAGTGGGGTTCCTCGCGATCATGTACATCTGAGTAGTATAAATACAAGGCCTTTCCTGCCTCAACATCACCTGTGGACTTGTACACCTGGTTAAAACAATATCATAAAGGTTGCTATTAGACTTATTAACTTTGTTACTATGATATCATCAAGGTCACTACTGGACATGTAAAACTGGTTTACACATCGAGGTCACCACTGGACATGTAAACCTGGTTTACACATCGAGGTCACTACTGGACATGTAAACCTGGTTTATACATCAAGGTCACTACTGGACATGTAAACCTGGTTTACACATCAAGGTCACTACTGGACATGTAAACCTGGTTTATACATCAAGGTCACTACTGGACATGTAAACCTGGTTTACACATCAAGGTCACTACTGGACATGTAAACCTGGTTTATACATCGAGGTCACTACTGGACATGTAAACCTGGTTTATACATCGAGGTCACTAATGGACATGTAAACCTGTTTTATACATCGAGGTCACTACTGGACATGTAAACCTGGTTTACACATCGAGGTCACTACTGGACATGTAAACCTGGTTTATACATCGAGGTCACTACTGGACATGTAAACCTGGTTTACACATCAAGGTCACTACTGGACATGTAAACCTGGTTTACACATCGAGGTCACTACTGGACATGTAAACCTGGTTTATACATCTAGGTCACTACTGGACATGTAAACCTGGTTTACACATCAAGGTCACTACTGGACATGTAAACCTGGTTTATACATCAAGGTCACTACTGGACATGTAAACCTGGTTTACACATCAAGGTCACTACTGGACATGTAAACCTGGTTTACACATCGAGGTCACTACTGGACATGTAAACCTGGTTTACACATCAAGGTCACTACTGGACATGTAAACCTGGTTTACACATCGAGGTCACTACTGGACATGTAAACCTGGTTTACACATCGAGGTCACTACTGGACTTGTAAACCTGGTTTACACATCAAGGTCACTACTGGACATGTAAACCTGGTTTACACATCGAGGTCACTACTGGACTTGTAAACCTGGTTTATACATTGAGGTCAGTGTTGTATACTAACCATTTAATTGACATCTTGCATTAAGACTTAATTAGTATACAATGAAAAATTCCTTTACAAGAAAAGATGAAATGCAGAAAAGTTAAAGTCTGTTCCATAAAAATTATAATGAAATATACATTGTATCTCATTTTTCTTTGAAATACCAGTACAGGGGATTCTACCTTTGCTAACAAATTTTATAGTCAACATGAAAAACCTACCTGAAGCTTCCTGAGGAAGTCACCAATAGCTGGTTTGCCAACAGAGATGATCTTACTGCGATCCAACTTGAGCAACATGTCCTCGCTTCCATCAGCAGCAGTGAAGTATTTTATTGTGACCAGTCCCTTACCAGCCTCCAGCAACACCCTTAGGATCACAAATCGGGCCTGCATGTGAGCCTAAAATACATAAATGGGTATTAAAGCCCTCTAAATAATAGCAGTAGTAGTAGTAGTGGAAACAATTATCAAATGATAAAAACAAAAATGATGTTATAGAAATAAAGTTAACAAAACATCAACATGTTAAATTCAATAACATTGTGTTACAACTATACTGTTGGCTCAAAATCACAAATCAGGCCTGCTGTGGTTCTACAAAATACAGGTAATAGATTCAAACTCTCAGGAGCACAAATCAGGCCTGCTGTGGTTCTACAAAATACAGGTAATAGAGTCACACTCTCAGGATCACAAATCAGGCCTGCTGTGGTTCTACAAAATACAGGTAATATATTCAAACTCTCAGGAGCACAAATCAGGCCTGCTGTGGTTCTACAAAATACAGGTAATAGATTCAAACTCTCAGGAGCACAAATCAGGCCTGCTGTGGTTCTACAAAATACAGGTAATAGAGTCAAACTCTCAGGAGCACAAATCAGGCCTGCTGTGGTTCTACAAAATACAGGTAATAGAGTCACACTCTCAGGATCACAAATCAGGCCTGCTGTGGTTCTACAAAATACAGTAATAGAGTCACACTCTCAGGATCACAAATCAGGCCTGCTGTGGTTCTACAAAATACAGTAATAGAGTCACACTCTCAGTCACACTCTCAGGATCACAAATCAGGCCTGCTGTGGTTCTACAAAATACAGTAATAGAGTCACACTCTCAGGATCACAAATCAGGCCTGCTGTGGTTCTACAAAATACAGTAATAGAGTCACACTCTCAGGATCACAAATCAGGCCTGCTGTGGTTCTACAAAATACAGGTAATAAAGTCACACTCTCAGGATCACAAATCAGGCCTGCTGTGGTTCTACAAAATACAGGTAATAGAGTCACACTCTCAGGATCACAAATCAGGCCTGCTGTGGTTCTACAAAATACAGGTAATAGAGTCACACTCTCAGGATCACAAATCAGGCCTGCTGTGGTTCTACAAAATACTGTAATAGAGTCACACTCTCAGGATCACAAATCAGGCCTGCTGTGGTTCTACAAAATACAGTAATAATGTCACACTCTCAGGATCACAAATCAGGCCTGCTGTGGTTCTACAAAATACTGTAATAGAGTCAAACTCTCTGGATCACAAATCAGGCCTGCTGTGGTTCTACAAAATACAGTAATAAAGTCACACTCTCAGGATCACAAATCAGGCCTGCTGTGGTTCTACAAAATACAGTAATGGAGTCACACTCCCAGGATCACAAATCAGGCCTGCTGTGGTTCTACAAAATACAGGTAATAAAGTCACACTCTCAGGATCACAAATCAGGCCTGCTGTGGTTCTACAAAATACAGGTAATAGAGTCACACTCTCAGGATCACAAATCAGGCCTGCTGTGGTTCTACAAAATACAGTAATAAAGTCACACTCTCTGAATCACAAATTTCTAATTTGTCATCTAACACATGACATTTTGAAATGTAATGTGTTTTGTTGCTGGTAAGTAAGTTCCTTGAGAACTAGGAATGTCAAAAGTACTTATTGTGTAAGAAAGTACTAACTTGTCTCCAAGCACCTGTTTCTGGAGAGTAGAACTCGAGAGCCAGCAGACCAGCACGGACCATATTCAGCCAGTTGATGTATATTACATCATCAGCAGCATCATCAGTATGGCCAAAGATTCTGACAACAAAGAAAAAGGTGAGATTTACTGAGGTTTAAATGAAACACTGCCTATCTCCAAGCCTTCAGAAACACTGTATATCTACAGAACCTCTAGACGCTTCGAGACTTAGTGAAATCATCATACAAGTAATAGGATTTCCTCCTGTTGTTTTCACAATTCCATAAATTAGACCTAACTGCATGCCATCAATACAATGGCAGCATAAACATCATACGATTACCATCGATTAAATATCATGGCATGTAAGTAAGCAACTAAATCTTAATCTTTGTCCAGGCATTAATTTACCTCGTAACACAGAGCTGATAATAGCGTGCTATTGTAATTTCATTGTAAGATAACAATATCTGAAATTTTGCTGTGGGTTGAAAGAATCCATACAGGTAAATATTTTGTTCAATTCATGAGGTGTCAGTTACATTGTTATCATAGCTTATGGTCCCTGCAAAAACTTCCATACATTGTAAAGTTCTATTTATAAAACTCAATTCATGAGGTGTCAGTTACATTGTTATCATAGCTTATGGTCCCTGCAAAAACTTCCATACATTGTAAAGTTCTATTTATAAAACTCAATTCATGAGGTGTCAGTTACATTGTTATCATAGCTAATGGTCCCTGCAAAAACTTCCATACATTGTAAAGTTCTATTTATAAAACTCAATTCATAGAGGGGTAAGTTAGTAGTAATATGTAGGTTTAAATATCGGGAACACACAAAAACTTTGATACATTGAGAAATTCAAAACATCGAAGTTCGATTCATAAAAGTTTGACTGTACTTCAGTTGTCTACTGATACCTTAGGACCTCTGCAGAAAGACAAAGGTAGATTCCAACACATTCAGCACGACATTCTTCGTAACTGGAAGCTATGGTGGTAAATTTGCCATCCCACGACTCATTGTGTTCATACCACTTCTCTACCTGAAAAAATCAAGTTTGGATGTAAACATTATTTATTTGTCCATGTTCCTTATCAAAACTACTTTTCTATCTGTAACAAGTGTTACTGCCTCTCTTAAACAGGTAGTATTATATATATTCTACAAATGTAATACTGGTAACAATGTTACTTTCCCTCATAAACAGGTACTGTTAGACATATCCTACAAATGTAACACTGGTAACAATGTTACTTTCCCTCATAAACAGGTACTTTTAGACATATCCTACAAATGTAACACTGGTAACAATGTTACTTTCCCTCATAAACAGGTACTTTTAGACATATCCTACAAATGTAATACTGGTAACAATGTTACTTTCCCTCATAAACAGGTACTGTTAGACATATCCTGAAAATGTAATACTGGTAACAATGTTACTTTCCCTCATAAACAGGTACTGTTAGACATATCCTACAAATGTAATACTGGTAACAATGTTACTTTCCCTCATAAACAGGTACTGTTAGACATATCCTACAAATGTAACACTGGTAACAATGTTACTTTCCCTCATAAACAGGTACTGTTAGACATATCCTACAAATGTAATACTGGTAACAATGTTACTTTCCCTCATTAACAGGTACCGTTAGACATATCCTACAAATGTAATACTGGTAACAATGTTACTTTCCCTCATAAACAGGTACTTTTAGACATATCCTACAAATGTAACACTGGTAACAATGTTACTTTCCCTCATAAACAGGTACTGTTAGACATATCCTACAAATGTAATACTGGTAACAATGTTACTTTCCCTCATAAACAGGTACTGTTAGACATATCCTACAAATGTAACACTGGTAACAATGTTACTTTCCCTCATAAACAGGTACTGTTAGACATATCCTACAAATGTAATACTGGTAACAATGTTACTTTCCCTCATAAACAGGTACTGTTAGACATATCCTACAAATGTAACACTGGTAACAATGTTACTTTCCCTCATAAACAGGCACCGTTAGACATATCCTACAAATGTAATACTGGTAACAATGTTACTTTCCCTCATAAACAGGTACTGTTAGACATATCCTACAAATGTAATACTGGTAACAATGTTACTTTCCCTCATAAACAGGTACTGTTAGACATATCCTACAAATGTAATACTGGTAACAATGTTACTTTCCCTCATTAACAGGTACTGTTAGACATATCCTACAAATACAACAGTGGTAGTATAATATCATGCAGTGTGTTACCCACCTTTTTATTTGTTTCTGGGTCAGTCACTGATGCCACATCAAAGTTGAGATTTCCTTCTTTATCCTGTGTAAATGAATATTCAGATATTAGTTATTAGTCACTTATATGGAAAAACTTGATTCATCTTGACTCAGACAGCTGTCCACCACCCCATGGTATATCCAAAATTAATTGTATTCAATAGAACTTGTCAGGAGAACTATGAGAGGCCTTTGTGTATTCAACATTAACAGTGATTGTAACAAGAGTACTACAAAAAACACCCACCTTGACAAACAACTTTCCACTACCATGGCCGAGTAGTTCGTGTAAACCCACTTGGACTTCAAATGTAGTTGTCTTCAGATTAACAAATAATTCCTGCAAGCAAAAAGTCAGTTACTTTTTTAAAAAATGGTAAAAATGCATATTTTCACATAATTGATAATTTCTTCATCACAAACTATTAATGATACAAAATATACACACTGTGATCCTGAAAACTAGATTCACAAACTTTATCATTGGGTATGGATATATTGACGAACTCTGATCCTAAATAAACTGACCTTGTCCTCCTCAGCCAGAAAGCTGATCTTGTCCATGGTGTCCTTGTAGGCAGATACTATGACATTTCCCAGAGACACATTCTTAAATCCCTCTGATTGGCGGATGTCATCGTCTGATTTCATGTTGTATAGAGAAAAATCCATAAAACAAGCCATAACTAGAGGTCAGCATGTATGCATGTAATATATATGTATATACCTATAATATAGCTGTACAAACAACCACTCAGCACGTATAAATATCTAGGACATGCTGTTTCCCTAAAACAAAACCTACAAATGAAAAGTTCTGCAGATTTCTTTTAAAACAATCAAAATTATATTTCAATGGATTGAAATTTCATGATCTTCATGTAAAAGGACACCTTATACCCATGTGTCTCATTATTTCTTTATACTCATGTGTTTCATTATTTTCTTATCCTTACATGTCTCAATATTTTCTTATATCCAAGTGTCTCAATATTTCCTTATACCCATGTGTCTCAATATTTCCTTATACCCATGTGTCTCATTATTTCCTTATCCTTACATGTCTCAATATTTCCTTATATCCAAGTGTCTCAATATTTCCTTATACCCAAGTGTCTCAATATTTCCTTATACCCAAGTGTCTCAATATTTCCTTATACCCAAGTGTCTCAATATTTCCTTATACCCATGTGTCTCATTATTTCCTTATACCCATGTATCTCATTATTTCCTTATACCCATGTGTCTCTATTTCCTTATACCCATGTGTCTCATTATTTCCAGACTTAATTTTTCATAATCATTTTCCTGTACCACGGACTAGCAAAATTATCATCCCCATGACAATAGCATGCTATAGAGTACATCAGTTAATTTTTTTCAGATAAAGTCAGGATTCTTTTAAGACATGAGTCTGACTTACAGTTTGGAATGTTGATTCCTGCTGGAATGCCAGATCCTCCAAATGCAAGGACGTCAAGAGAGGTGAAGTCAGGTCGTAAGAATTTGTCCTTCTCAAATGATGCTGGCCATGGCAACAGTGGTAGAAACTTCTCTGCGTTGGTGACAAGATTGGTGAACTTGGCACTCATCTCTTTATTAACTACGGCCACAAAACCTGACACGATAAATAATTTCATCTACAACACCAATAGTGACAAAAACTTCTGATGTAATTCCAGGTGGCATATCCAGTTTTTATAGTTGTCTGTTTCACTGAAACTAGCTATACCCATTCTTTAGCTTGTCATCAGTAAATAAAATGATCAAATAAACATCTGGTAGAGGTACACATGGTTGGAATATCAAAATACCTACCTTAAAACACTACTCTTGATTTGAAGATCCACTGACCTACCCTCAAACACTTCCTTCATTGTGAAGATCTACTGACCTACCCTCAAACACTCCCCTCATTGTGAAGATCCACTGACCTACCCTCAAACACTCCCCTCATTGTGAAGATCTACTGACCTACCCTCAAACACTTCCTTCATTGTGAAGATCTACTGACCTACCCTCAAACACTCCCCTCATTGTGAAGATCTACTGACCTACCCTCAAACACTCCCCTCATTGTGAAGATCTACTGACCTACCCTCAAACACTTCCTTCATTGTGAAGATCTACTGACATACCCTCAAACACTCCCCTCATTGTGAAGATCTACTGACCTACCCTCAAACACTCCCCTCATTGTGAAGATCAACTGACCTACCCTCAAACACTCCCCTCATTGTGAAGATCTACTGACCTACCCTCAAACACTCCCCTCATTGTGAAGATCTACTGACCTACCCTCAAACACTCCCCTCATTGTGAAGATCTACTGACCTACCCTCAAACACTTCCTTCATTGTGAAGATCTACTGACCTACCCTCAAACACTCCCCTCATTGTGAAGATCTACTGACCTACCCTCAAACACTCCCCTCATTGTGAAGATCCACTGACCTACCCTCAAACACTCAACTCATTGTGCATATTTACTGACCTACCCTCAAACACTCCCTTCCTTTTGAATATTCACTGACCTACCCTCAAACACTCCCTTCCTTTTGAATATTCACGGACCTACCCTCAAACACTCCCTTCCTTTTGAATATCCACTGACCTACCCTCAAACACTCCCTTCCTTTTGAATATTCACTGACCTACCCTCAAACACTCACTTCCTTTTGAATATTTACTGACCTACCCTCAAACACTCCCTTCCTTTTGAATATTCACGGACCTACCCTCAAACACTCCCTTCCTTTTGAATATTCACTGACCTACTCTCAAACACTCCTCTCATTGTGAAGATCCACTGACCTACCCTTAAACACTCCCCTCATTGTGAAGATCCACTGACCTACCCTCAAACACTCCCTTCCTTTTGAATATCCACTGACCTACCCTCAAACACTCCCTTCCTTTTGAATATTCACTGACCTACCCTCCAATGCTCCCCTCATTTTGAATATCCACTGACCTACCCTCAAACACTGCCTTCATTGTGAATATCAATTGACCTACTTCAAACTCCCCTGCCTCAATTTAAATACCTATTTTCTACCCTCAAACTCTCTCCTCAATTTGAATATCAGTTTTCTACCCTCAACCTCTCTCCTCCATTTGAATATCATTTGACCTACCCTCAAACTCGCCCCTCATTCCAAATGGGTCTCTGTATGATTCAATGAAGCCAATGTACCTGTGAACATGAAGGAATGAAAATACTGAAACAAAAATGCACAAAAAACAAGAGTACTGCAGGGCGGAACAATATACGCCTGTCAAAAACTATTTTTGTAATAAACCTTCATATGAAGTTTCAAATTAATAAATGAAAAATTACTCAAGTTATTGAGGGGAAACCTATTTTGCAAATGTACCAAGGGCCATAACTCTGTAAATAATGGGCGAAAAATTTTGGTTATTGATCTTGACCTGGCTCTGGCTTTTATGGTAATAAACCTTTATGTGAAGTTTCCAATTAAACTGTAAAAAATTTGACAAGTTATCGATCGGAAACCTATTTTGCAAATGTACGAAGAGCCATAACTCTGTAAATAATGGGCGAAAAATGTTGGTTATCGAACTTGATCTGGCTTTTATGGTAATAAATCTTCATACGAAGTTTGAAATTAATCTGTAAAAAATTCTTCAAGTTATTAAATGGAAACCTATGTGCAGCGGCCTGCCCGCCCACGTGAAAATATAACATGTCCCGACGGGTGTATAAAAAGGATTGTTCTACAAAATATATATCTTTAATATCGTTCAAACTACGAATAAAAAATAGCATTTAGGGCCATTATAAGTAAAGGTCAATTATAATCTAGTCGAAAAAGATTGCTTTGCTGTGTTTATACTGCCCTGTTAACAGGAATGGGCAATTTGATGTAGGATTTCCTTCTGGTTGGCTTCACTGAACATCATGTGACAAGCTTGCTAAATGTAATCCAGAACCCAACATTAGAAAATGATTTGTGATCTGATGTACATATCTACTGTCAAAGTTATATAATACTTACGTTTCCACAATAGGACCTGTGTTTTTGATCCAATGTCTCGACCCGTTTTTGTGTGAGGGTATAGATCCCGAGGTGAAACTCTCAATGTATTCCTCCAGCATGTTCCTCTCTAGGTCATTGGCAGCGTATTCCTTCAAACATACATCTCATTACACACAAAATTTTGGTACATATTACAGTAAATATAAGAAAATTAGTACGTCTATCTAAATTAAACCAAATTTATCTGTCATTGATCTTCTTCAAGATAAAAACTTCAGTTCTGAAACAGACTTGGTTATTATGTCTGAAGAAAGTCTGTCCATCATAGTGGTCAGTATTGTATATATATATATACTGGTGATTATGTCTGTAGTAAGTCTGTCCATCATAGTGGTCAGTATTTTATATATATATATACTGGTTATTATGTCTGTAGTAAGTCTGTCCATCATAGTGGTCAGTATTGTATATATATATATACTGGTGATTATGTCTGTAGTAAGTCTGTCCATCATAGTGGTCAGTATTTTATATATATATATACTGGTTATTATGTCTGTAGTAAGTCTGTCCATCATAGTGGTCAGTATTTTATATATATATATATACTGGTTATTATGTCTGTAGTAAGTCTGTCCATCATAGTGGTCAGTATTTTATATATATATATATACTGGTCATTATGTCTGTAGTAAGTCTGTCCATCATAGTGGTCAGTATTTTATATATATATATATATATATATATATACTGGTGATTATGTCTGTTGTTTGTGTGTCCATCATTGTGGTCATTATTTTATATATATATATATATATATATATATATATATACTGGTGATTATGTCTGTAGTAAGTCTGTCCATCATAGTGGTCAGTATTGTATATATATATATTGCTGTAACAGATTTTCACTGCTTGATTAACTAATTAAGTATGATTTTATTCCATTCAGTCCCATCTGAATGAATCAGTAGCAACCTTAGGAACATAAGAAAATATATAATTTAAACTGTCCTCGAAATCTTTGTCTGCCTTACGTTACAGCTATCTTGCCTACCTGTGCCTTTTTCAAATTTTCTGCCACCAAGGACATGAGAGGAGAGTAGTCTCCCCTTGTGACACGGAACATACAGGGCTGTGAGGTGGAAGTTGGTGTAAACTCATGACTACCCAAAATTCCTTCCTGACATCCTTTTATTGGTCCATCTGAAAAGTCACAATTGTAACAAATTTTATAATATTACTAATTTTTCCTAAAAGCTGATTGGTCAAAAACACAACTCATACATATATAATTGTAGGTTTGAAAAATTGCCATGTTACACCAAAACAAACAGAATCCATGTATACAAGGTGAATATAACAGTCAAAAATCATGCCAGGTGTCTCATGGGTGAATATAACAATTGACCTTCATCGCTGACCTGTTATTCGATGCTTTTCACATATCGATCATCATTTCTGATAACTGACATTCATCAAAAAAACTATATCAGTCACATATCATGATTCCAGGCCTTCATCAGGAATCATTTGAAGGATTTAACAAATCTGACCTGTCTGGACATGGATATGACTCCGGATCATATTTCTTTTCACAAATATTGCTGGCTTCAACCATTAGCAATACATCGTAACTGTCTGTCTTCTGGTTAAACAGACAAATTTTTCTACTGTGACCTCGAAAACACTAGGTAAAGGTGATTTCTTTTCACAAACTTCATCTGGATTTACCCTAGAAACTTACCACACAACATGGTTCTAGGCTTTTTGGTTATTGAGAAGAAGCTATTTAAATGTTTAAAAATATTTGACCCCTGTCCTGGGACATTGAATATATAAATCAAGGGAACTTCTTTTTGCAAATTTTGTTTGGTTTTATTCCAGGAAGTTACCAGCCATATATCATGATTCTAAGCTTTTTGTTTAATTGGAAGCTGTTTTAACACACTTGACCTGATTTGAGTGAACATGATAATTTAATAACCAGAGAGGGTTGTATGTCCTCGAGGCCATCATTAAACATCACCTTTGAGGAAACAGGTCAACGGTAGTGTAATGGAATAGAAATTTTAATTAAATTCCAACATATATAGGTAAGAAAAACACTCTGGTGTACATTGATGGATGAGTATTTCTCTAAGATTTTACAACACCATCTGTCTCATTGATCTCAAGTTATTAAGTAAGTGGCTAAGAGGTGTATCCTCCTGATTTTTTACCCAAAGCAACTTCTAATCTGAGCTATACAAACACATTTTCAAAAACATCAAAACAAATTTCCCAAGTACAGTCTCAGCATTATGTGTTTACAATACATTGCATAACTAGCACTTTTCTCTCGATCTCATTATAGGTATGCCGTGGGAGCCTCAAACTACCCACGCAGCCTCTTCACTTTTAAACAATATCTGGATAGTGAAGCATAAACAATGTAGGCCGCACTTACAAAAAATACAATTTACAGTGAAGATTTTCGATTTCATTTTAAATATGATTAATTAAACAGAATATTGTTTAAGTTTTAACAATGACATAACCTACCTTTTTTATTAAAAAATGCACAGGTGTAAGTGCCACCTACACATACATGCAGATGAGTACACTGATGCGTAAAAAATTTGCGAAAATGCATGTTAGGATACTAGACAGATCGGGCGAGATAGAAAAAACTAGGATGGGGTATTACATGGGATATTCCTATCTGAGGGGTGAGTAAAAAGTCTGTATTGTATTTATGTAAAAACTTGTTTGTATCTAAGTTAAAGTGGTCATTTTCATTAAACTCTGTTTAACAGTTTAAAAGTGCTATTGGTATATGAAAAGGTCAAAGAAGTTATGTATCTCCCTGTATGTATTGGTGAATTAACAAAAACACTCACCATCTGTTGCTACGGAGGCCAATCTTACTTCATAACTGGTTTTGCCTCCCTGAGTTGTCTTAAACAACCTAGTGTTGTATGGACTCAGGTCCTAGTGTGAAAAAACAAATCATTCTTAAACAGGAGCTATGAAATAGTCAGTGCTTAAATTTTTTTTATGAAATAACCAGCTTTTCAAAATTTTAGACAGAGAGAATCCTGTTACATAAGTCACATGTTATATGAAGAAAAGTTAATTTATTTCTAAAAGTTGGAATATCACAATATAAGTTGTCAGTTGCATGGAAAAAATAGCATTTCACAAATAGAAATAAATCGTTAAATAACGCCAAGTATAATTTATAAAATCCTGTAAATAGATATATCAACTGGCTGTATGCTCTGATTAGGCATACATAAATATATCAACTGGCTGTATGCTCTGATAAGGCATACATAAATATATCAATTGGCTGTATGCTCTGATAAGGCATGCATAAATATCTGCTAGCTGGTATGGAACAAGCGTACAGTGTAATACTGCTGGAGTAAAAAAACAAACATTGATTATTCCTTATGTAGCGTTTGAACAAGGTTTACTTACTTTTGCTGTCAAAAATTCTTGAGCAATCTTTGCATCATCTAAATCACAGTTGGCAGAAAAGTATGATGTTGTGCCCTGTAAATATCATTTACAAAAATCACTGTATGAGAGGAGTATGTATGGTGTAAATACAGAAAGGATTGACTGTGGAGACAATTTACTGTACATATGTATGTATAGGTTTCTACCATGGATACACTACACTGTACATATATAGTTTTCTACCATGGATACACTTCACTGTACATATACATGTATAGGTTTCTACCATGGATACACTACACTGTACATATATATGTATAGGTTTCTACCATGGATACACTTCACTGTACATATACATGTATAGGTTTCTACCATGGATACACTACACTGTACATATATAGTTTTCTACCATGGATACACTTCACTGTACATATACATGTATAGGTTTCTACCATGGATACACTACACTGTACATATATAGGTTTCTACCATGGATACACTACATTGTACATATATATATATAGGTTTCTACCATGGATACACTACACTGTACTTATGTATAGGTTTCTACCATGGATACACTACACTGTACATATATATAGGTTTTTACCATGGATACACTACACTGTACATATATATAAACAGGTTTCTACAATGGATACACTACACTGTATATATATAGGTTTCTACCATGGATACACTACACTGTACATATATATAGGTTTCTACCATGGATACACTTCACTGTACATATGTATAGGTTTCTACCATGGATACACTTCACTGTACATATATATAGGTTTCTACCATGGATACACTACACTGTGCATATATATAGGTTTCTACCATGGATACACTACACTGTACATATGTATAGGTTTCTACCATGGATACACTACACTGTACATATATATAGGTTTCTACCATGGATACACTACACTGTACATATATATAGGTTTCTACCATGGATACACTACACTGTATATATGTATAGGTTTCTACCATTGATACACTACACTGTACATATATATATATTTATATATTTATATAGGTTTCTACCATGGATACACTACACTGTACATATATACATATATATATAGGTTTCTACCATGGATACACTACACTGTACATATGTTTAGGGTAAATATGTACTGTCTAGTCATCATCTTTAACTATTACTTCAGTCTTTCTCTGTGTTGATGAGAACTGCACACAAGTCTTGGGCACATCATTGTCACTAATGCTGTTATTTACATTTGTATTAAGGAAATTTGTTGTGTTAATGTCAGTTTGCAACAATGCTGAAATATGCTAACAAGACTGCACAAAAACTCATTAAAAATGAATGGATGTTTCCTCCAAATTGTTTTCCTGGTCTTTTTAGATAAATTCCAAATGAAAGACTTTTCACCTCAGCAAGATTGGAAAATTGGGGCAAAACAGGGAACACAATTGCTGATTTCATTTTCTCTAAGAAAAAGATATGTCTTAAAGACTTCAGGAATATTGATGAATTGTCAGGGATATAATCTACAGTCCCAAGTATAAGTATATCCTCAAATTCATCCTTTAACATGGTTGAACCGTTATGACAATGGTGCTCCTTGTCGTTATAATGCTACTTGAAACTCTGATAATCAGCAAGTACTCTTGTCATTTAAGGAAAGAAAATAAAGCGTTTAGTTTTTCACATTCCAAGAATCTAAAGCAAGACAACAAACCCTTTCAAGTAAAGTCTTCCTCCCTGTTACTTTGGCATTACCTTCTCTCCAAGTCCCAGTTCTTTTTGTCTCTCAGTTAAACCAAACATCCTCTCACTCACTGACTCCCACAATGCCTTGATTCCAATGGCATCTTTTTCATAAGCAGCACTTTTCATCACCACAGCCTCAAACTTTTCCTGTGTACAAAAAGAAACATAACACTGTTTCTGACAGGGCTGCTGAATAGAAAGTTTTGAAATAAAAAACCTAACACTTAGATAATGTTCAGCACTTAACCAGGCTAATGTTTTATGATATTTTTTGTAAGAAATACAGATTTGGAATTTTGATCCTCCTTAGAGTCAAGTTAAGGATTTCTGTTTAAACCCTGATATTTGAACATGTAATTATAGAGAAGTTAAAATTTTATTTTGCCATCTTCATTGCATAAAAACTTAATAAAACATGTACACAAGTGTATTGATATGCAGTTATATACCCATGTGTATTGATATGCAGATATATACACGTGTATTGATATGCAGTTATATACACTTGTGTATTGATATGCAGTTATATACACATGTGTATTGATATGCAGTTATATACACATGTGTATTGATATGCAGTTATATACACATGAGTATTGATATGTAGTTATATACACATGTGTATTGATATGCAGTTATATACACATGTGTATTGATATGCAGTTATATACACATGAGTATTGATATGTAGTTATATACACATGTGTATTGATATGCAGTTATATACACATGTGTATTGTTATGTAGTTATATACACATGTGTATTGATATGTAGTTATATACACATGTGTATTGATATGTAGTTATATACACATGTGTATTGATATGCAGTTATATACACATGTGTATTGATATGCAGTTATATACACATGTGTATTGATATGTAGTTATATACACATGTGTATTGATATGCAGTTATATACACATGTGTATTGATATGTAGTTATATACACATGTGTATTGATATGCAGTTATATACACATGTGTATTGATATGTAGTTATATACACATGTGTATTGATATGCAGTTATATACACATGTGTATTGATATGGAGTTATATACACATGTGTATTGATATGCAGTTATATACACATGAGTATTGATATGTAGTTATATACACATGTGTATTGATATGTAGTTATATACACATGTGTATTGATATGCAGTTATATACACATGTGTATTGATATGCAGTTATATACACATGTGTATTGATATGCAGTTATATACACATGTGTATTGATATGCAGTTATATACACATGTGTATTGATATGCAGTTATATACACATGTGTATTGATATGCAGTTATATACACATGTGTATTGATATGCAGTTATATACACATGTGTATTGATATGCAGTTATATACACATGTGTATTGATATGCAGTTATATACACATGTGTATTGATATGCAGTTATATACACATGTGTATTGATATGTAGTTATATACACATGTGTATTGATATGCAGTTATATACCCATGTGTATTGTTATGTAGTTATATACACATGTGTATTGATATGTAGTTATATACACATGTGTATTGATATGTAGTTATATACACATGTGTATTGATATGCAGTTATATACACATGTGTATTGATATGCAGTTATAAAAACATGTGTATTGATATGCAGTTATATACACATGTGTATTGATATGTAGTTATATACACATGTGTATTGATATGTAGTTATATACACATGAGTATTGATATGTAGTTATATACACATGTGTATTGATATGTAGTTATATACACATGTGTATTGATATGTAGTTATAAAAACATGTGTATTGATATGCAGTTATATACACATGTGTATTGATATGTAGTTATATACACATGTGTATTGATATGTAGTTATATACACATGAGTATTGATATGTAGTTATATACACATGTGTATTGATATGTAGTTATATACACATGTGTATTGATATGTAGTTATTACCATTATAACTTACCTTTGGTAAATTTGGAATGATCTTGCTGTCTCCAAATGATTTATAGTTCCCCATGTTTGCATAGAAGGCCGAGGCATAAATCAACACTGCCTGTAAAGATACACATTAGGTACAGGTAGTTACAAATTCCTTCATTTTATAGGTACAGGTAGTTACAAATTCCTTCATTTTATACATTATGTACAGGTAGTTACAAATTCCTTCATTTTATACATTATGTACAGGTAGTTACGAATTCCATCATTTTATACATGGTACAGGTAGTTACAAATTCCTTCATTTTATAGGTACAGGTAGTTACAAATTCCTTCATTTTATACATGGTACAGGTAGTTACAAATTCCTTCATTTTATACATTAGGTACAGGTAGTTACAAATTCCTTCATTTTATACATTAGGTACAGGTAGTTACAAATTCCTTCATTTTATAGGTACAGGTAGTTACAAATTCCTTCATTTTATAGGTACAGGTAGTTACAAATTCCTTCATTTCCTATAAATTTCATAAATGTTGCATTTCTTTGATGAAACTTCTCTGAAATCCGAGTCACTTGTGTCTTTAAAAACAATCAATCAATAGAGTTTTTACAATGACCAAATACTGAACATTTCAAATATCAGAACTTATGTAAGAGAATCTGACAAAATTTAATGAGTGGTTTTAATGAAATCTTACAAATCATAAACAACACAAATCCCCTCAGGTTCTACCTTTACTTACGAGCAATACAGAAGGTAGTCAAATGTGAGGAGTTTGGTCTGAATCCTTGAAAACATTAAGGCTCTCGAGTGCTAGACACTAAGATTTTCTAAAAAAATTAATCGCTACCTTGACTCTACAAAACCAAAACTAAAAATAATCTGTGATATTATGGCCCTCAAAATATCAAGTTTGGTCAAAACCCCTCTGACAATGAAGCAGGTAGAATGCTAAATGATTTTATACAAAGTAGTAATGGCAGCCTCGAATTTGACCTCACAACCCTGAAACTCCAACTTGTTTGAGATATTATGGTCCTCTATAAGTGTGGGATGTTTGCTTGAGATGCCTTAAAAAATTAAGTTGCTTGAGCATTGACAAGGAAAAGTATATGTATGAACAGAGAGACCCATGTTTCCCCTCAATGATACTCAATGTAAAGTAGTTGTAAGACAACAATGAACAAACATGAGTTCCTACCTGAAAATCGTCTTCTGTCAGAGCGCCATCTTTTGTCACCGCCTCCTTTAGCTGGTCGACTGTTTGTCCCCGGAAAACTTTTTGCAACAACAAAAAAATTCCTGGTGATTCGGGAGATGTCTAAAAAAAAAAAAAATTAACAAAATTGATAATACTGACCAAAATAAAACCAGAGAGGTTACTGGGGCTTATATATTAATAACCTGTGTGGATCGTTTACCAATAAGTTTATAGAACTGAAATTTATCTATAACTTACCAGTATCATAACTTACTGATGACTGACCTGAACCATGGTTCACCTACACCTATAACTTACCAGTATCATAATTTACTGATGACTGACCTGAACCATGGTTCACCTACACCTATAACTTACCAGTATCATAACTTACTGATGACTGACCTGAAGCATGGTTCACCTACATCTATAACTTACCAGTATCATAATTTACTGATGACTGACCTGAAGCATTGTTCACCTACACCTATAACTTACCAGTATCATAATTTACTGATGACTGCCTGAAGCATGGTTCACCTACATCTATAACTTACCCGTATCATAATTTACTGATGACTGACCTGAACCATGGTTCACCTACATCTATAACTTACCAGTATCATAACTTACTGATGACTGACCTGAAGCATTGTTCACCTACATCTATAACTTACCAGTATCATAATGTACTGATGACTGACTTGAACCATGGTTCACCTACATCTATAACTTACCAGTATCATAACTTACTGATGACTGACCTGAAGCATGGTTCACCTACATCTATAACTTACCAGTATCATAATTTACTGATGACTGACCTGAAGCATTGTTCACCTACACCTAGAACTTACCAGTATCATAACTTACTGATGACTGACCTGAACCATGGTTCACCTACATCTATAACTTACCAGTATCATAATTTACTGATGACTGACTTGAACCATGGTTCACCTACATCTATAACTTACCAGTATCATAATTTACTGATGACTGACCTGAACCATGGTTCACCTACATCTATAACTTATCAGTAGTATAATTTACTGATGACTGACCTGAACCATGGTTCACCTACATCTATAACTTATCAGTATCATAATTTACTGATGACTGACCTGAACCATGGTTCACCTACATCTATAACTTACCAGTAGTATATTTACATAATACTTATGTGCAGTATACTTTATGACTTACCTGTACCAGAACAATTAGACCCCCATACCAGGAGGCCTGAGATATATAGTGTGAATACAGCTTCTCCCTGTCTGTCAGACTCCCAAATGCGGCACAACAGTCCAACAGGCATAGACCAGTGTCATTTGGCATCACATATTGGGAAATGTCAGCCATGGTGCTACAACTGTATGTATAGGTACAGGAAAAGTTACTTCATGTTGAATATATGAAACAGCTTTAAGTATGTGTTATGATAAAAAAAATTTTGAGTAGACAGATGGTCAATGCAGTCCAATAAAAAATGTTTAATCGTGAATGGCTCATCACAGCCTATGCATCGAGGATTATCTTTGCCTTTCAACGTATATTAATGTTTAAGTATTGACAGGCAATGACAACATCGTCTAAATGGTTTTCACTATAGCATGGAGACCATTCACTGATGATAGGTTTTACAGAGTGCAATTTATTATTGGTATATTGATTCCATTCCTCCTGCTACTGTGCTGTTTAAAATTATTTAATAAATGGTTTAAAATCAGTAAAATAAAGTTTAAAAACACAGTTTGGAGCGATAAAGCTTCCTTTGTGGCACGATCTGCTTTTTCATTGCCTGGTATTCCCATGTGCCCAGGAACCCAGCAAAAAGCAATACGAAAGTTAAAGGCAAGTTCATGATATAGTATTAATGTATTAGGAATAAAAATGTTTTCGATATTTCTATAGCTAAGACTTTGTAGTACAGAAAGAGAGTTTGAATGGATAACAGTTCTCATTACTTTATTTTAATATAGGGTGAGTTAGATAGCTCACGCTTCAACCGAGAACATTGAGGCGTTGTTTAGAAGCGGGCATCCATAGGCTTCATCTTGTATAACCATGGCCACGGCAACCTTATCGTTATCTGAACCACCAGAACATAAATGTAGAAATGTTTTATACTTTAACTGCAGTTTCAAAAAGGATGAACAATGGGTGCAACCGTCAGTATCTGATTCAACCATTTCATGAAGTGAAAAGTCAACTTTCTGTGAGTTCAAGAGCCAGGGTGGAATTTCTTTCATTCAAAATGACTGAATTTGGTCAATATCAATATTTGTGTTTTGTAAAAGAATGCTAGTCCATAAAACCGAATGGTGGAATGGTCTTTGGTTTATTTTGAAAGAAGGTTTTATATTTTGGATCAAATACAAATGATTTGAAGAATTTGACTTTAGCTTGATGGTGTATTGCAATGCCGATATATTTCGATGGCTATATAGTGAGTGTTCGTTAGCCTCTACATAGGTCTGAGTCTGAGACCCTGGTTTGATCTAATTAGAGCTCTATAAAGTGTTCGCAAAACTTTTCTATCAGCTCCCCAACCAGTGTGTGACACTTCCTTTAGAATATTCAGTGTTTTAAGGTATTTGGCTTCAAGATATCTTGTATGTGAAAGGAACAACAATTTCCTGTCTGAGAATTCGGTTTGTTCAACAAACGGAATGGGTACACCACAAAGAGATAAATTTGGTTCGTCGTGTTCTTTCCATGTTTGACAAAAATGCATACAAACTATTTTTGATTGAGAAAATCTAGATCCATTTTCATATGCCCAAATTTGTAGTCGATTCAAACATTGTTGTAGTTGTTTTTCGATGGTATCCATATGCTTGGATCGATAGCATATAAAAACTAACATTTCTATTACTACCAGTTTATCACAAACAGAAAGTAAAAATCCCCGGTCGTTTAACCCAAACACATTCTTTGAAAAGTAAAACATATAGTTTTCTTAGCATATATAACTTGATCATAAGAAGCCTATCTTAACATGAAGTAACAATTCTCCGAAAACATGACACCAAACTTACGTTATACACTAGGCCTACCAACGTATTTTCTTAGTAAACCGTAAGCCGGCGTCCGAAAGGGAGACCACTCGAAAGATAATCAGTCACGTTTGTCGTATCAATAAACCAGATATATCTATGTACCTTGGTGACTAATTTAGATCTGTTTCTTGTTTTCGTTTTAATTCGGTTTTCGATCAATTCCCACTATTACATAATTGATAAAACAAATACAAGCAGGAAGTACTTCGATGACATCTATTATATGTATAAATATTAAATATCTCCCCTTTTCAGTATCAATCCTCGGTAGTATAGTGGTGAGTATCCCCGCCTGTCACGCGGGAGACCGGGGTTCAATTCCCCGCCGGGGAGGATTACTTTTTTTTTTTTTCTCCTAATTTCTCCTCCATTCAATATACTAAGTTGTTGTATTTTTTTTTCTGTGCTTTCCGAGGTATCGCTTCTAATGGAACTGTATATTTTTTACTTTTATATTAATATTATCTATTTAATATTTTTTTAATGTGACATTGTATGTCAGATTCGGGATTATATTGAGTATGACATCACCAGACTAAGACGTTTATGGATGGCTGGCACACGTACAGACAGGGCTAGTCATTAAATGGGAATTAAATAAATCTAGATTCAAATTACTAACAGAATTTCTTAACTGACACAAAATTATATTTGTTTTCCTGACTCCATTAACTTTAAAATAAAAGAGCACAGGTGTTGAGCATCTCGGATTGAAAAAAAAAACAACATCTTTTTATTGCACTAACGGACATTATGGGATACAAGCATTATGTGTCATTCCATTAAGACATAATTTTAGGGGGAAAGCTGGTAATATATAATTGAGTTCTTGCTAGTGGAACATCAAAAAGTCTATTATGAGATCAGTGTTAATATTGATGTTAGGTTGAATTGAATCGTAAACATGAACAGGACAAATATTGTTAAACATCATAAAAATGAAATATCTTGTGAAGGTGACAACGTTTTTACAAGTTTTACAAGTAAGCTAGATACTCTGTATAAGATATGGTGACTTGTTCCACGGCGCAGGCTGATGATTATATGTGATGCCTCAGATTGACTCAAGGACGTTATTCTCACGTTGTATACATTTTGCCCATCCATATCTGTATATTTTAAAACTGGACATATAAATGACATATCAATCAAGTTGACTGTTATATATTTTAGTATTCTAGGATGTTTATTCTTTTGTAAGTTACTTTTTATAAATATGATTTACATTATTTGAACAGTCAGCATGACTGCCGAAAAAGATTTGTACATGTATAGCCAAGTTGATGGAATACAATTCAGGATGCAATATATCATAATCATTATTAAAGGCACCGATCACGATGGAATATGTAAAGTGTGCCAGAGAAAGGACATGATCATATCATATTGACGAATCAATAAAAAGAAACAACAAACGAGCTGACGAGATTTCATTTTATTGACATTTCGTACAAGCATGCGGTTGACAAATTAGTTGTTTATACCACACATATTGTTTAAACCAAAGTATCTAGCATACCATGTTCCATTAACGCGTCCACCTTAACTAACGTGAACTCTGCTCCATTAATGCGACCACCTTAACTGACGTGAACTCTGCTCCATTAAGGTGTCCACCTTAACTGACATGAACTCTGTTCCAATAACGCGGTCTATCTTAGTTACCTAGGACACATTGTTCCGCTAACTTGGTTTAACTGCGATGAACTAGATCACCTAGTTCCACTAACGCGTTTTACCTTTGTTACATGGAACGTTGTGTTGAACTAATGCAGTCTAACATTGTTAACTACTGCAGACTTTTCTGTTAACATAGTCTAACTTTGCTACTGCTTAACGTACGCGGATTAACTTTGTTAACAAGGAAATCTTGTTCTATCAGTACACTGTTAATTAAAGCGATCTAACTTTCTTAACTAGGGCATCCCTTTTCAATAACGCGGTCTAACTTTGTTAACCAGGAAATCTTGTTCCACTAACGTGGTCTAACTTTGTTCACACTTGGACACTCCGTTCTACTACTAGGATATCCCGTTTTACTAACAATTTGTTTCTCTGGCGTGACCTAACATGGCTTACTAAGACACCCTGTTCCACTAACGCGGTCTAACTTTATTACACACCCTGTTACACTATGACACTGTTTCTCTAAAGCGATCCAACATTGTTTGCACTAGGGCATCCTTTTTCAGTAAGGAGATTCAACTTTGTTAACTAGGACACATTGTTTCAGCAACACTGTCTAGCATTGTAAACTAAGACATCTCATTTCAGTACCGCGGTCTATATTTGCTAACAAGAACATTTTGATCACTGCCGAAGTCGGGCTAAAAAAGACACTCTACTAAAGACGTTGTACTAAAAGATCCGACTTTATTAATTACGATAATCAGTTGCACTGATGAGGACTAAGTTTGTTTACCAGGACATCCTGTACAGCATGATTAACTAAGACATTTCCTCTCACTAACGCGGCGAAACATTGTTTTCATTAGGGCAGACTGTTCCACTAAGACTGTCCGACTTTGCTAATGACGTTGTATCACACCCGTTTCCCTAACGCGGTCTGATTTTATCAACCACAAACCCTGTTTCAGAAACACTGTGTAACTTTATTAACGAACACAAACGCGGTGAAGCTTTGTTAACTATGAGACACTCTGTTACACTAACGCGATCTCACTAGGATTAACTGGAACATTCACAGAGTTAAACTCTATTAGAAGTAAGACACCGTTTTTGACATGAAAGATGAATAGTATCTCTCTTAGTTAACTAGAAATGTATTTGCTCCTTTCACCACCGTAAATATATCTCATACCAAAACTGATACCAGAAGTATATAGGTCACTCAACTATTGAATATGCTATTTCTGTCACTCGAGTTAGTTATTTTTCAAAAAGTTACTTTAAAGAAACTCGATGGATTGACTTGTTCTATTCCCGCTGTTAGGTATGTGATTATATGACCTGTAGTGAAATGTCACAAAAATAATAATTTAAGAAATATGTGGAAATATCATAATTTATTACGAATCATAACAAGGAATCAACGGCTTTGTTATCTTTATTATATTACAAAAACAATCACAAACTAAATATTACATCGTTTAATTTCCGCGAATTTCTTAAGCGTCCTTCCGGTCAAACTTCCTTTGGCAAGCAGCCAACCAAAAGGCGTTAAATGTGTGTTGATGCGGTAGAAACATTCTTTTAACCAAAAGGCGTTAAAGGTGTGTTGGTGCGGTAGAAACATTCTTTTAACCAAAACGCGTTAAAGGTGTGTTGGTGCGGTAGAAACATTCTTTTAACCAAAAGGCGTTAAAGGTGTGTTGGTGCGGTAGAAACATTCTTTTAACCAAAAGGCGTTAAATGTGTGTTGATGCGGTAGAAACATTCTTTTAACCAAAAGGCGTTAAAGGTGTGTTGGTGCGGTAGAAACATTCTTTTAACCAAAACGCGTTAAAGGTGTGTTGGTGCGGTAGAAACATTCTTTTAACCAAAACGCGTTAAAGGTGTGTTGGTGCGGTAGAAACATTCTTTTAACCAAAACGCGTTAAAGGTGTGTTGGTGCGGTAGAAACATTCATTTGACCAAAACGCGTTAAAGGTGTGTTGATGCGGTAGAAACATTCTTTTAACCAAAACGCGTTAAAGGTGTGTTGGTGCGGTAGAAACATTCTTTTAACCAAAACGCGTTAAAGGTGTGTTGGTGCGGTGCGGTTAAAGGTGTGTTGATGCGGTAGAAACATTCTTTTAACCAAAACGCGTTAAAGGTGTGTTGGTGCGGTAGAAACATTCTTTTAACCAAAACGCGTTAAAGGTGTGTTGGTGCGGTAGAAACATTCTTTTAACCAAAACGCGTTAAAGGTGTGTTGGTGCGGTAGAAACATTCTTTTAACCAAAACGCGTTAAAGGTGTGTTGGTGCGGTAGAAACATTCTTTTAACCAAAACGCGTTAAAGGTGTGTTGGTGCGGTAGAAACATTCTTTTAACCAAAACGCGTTAAAGGTGTGTTGATGCGGTAGAAACATTCTTTTAACCAAAACGCGTTAAAGGTGTGTTGGTGCGGTAGAAACATTCTTTTAACCAAAACGCGTTAAAGGTGTGTTGATGCGGTAGAAACATTCTTTTAACCAAAACGCGTTAAAGGTGTGTTGATGCGGTATAAACATTCTTTTAACTGCGATTAATCTTATTATTGTAATTATAATAATATATATGACATTTTAAATTCAACACGACGTAAATATTTAGGCTATGTCGCAAATCTGATTTCAAATTATAACTAGTTATTGTTGATATTTTTTCTAACTCATCCTGATATAAGATAGCAATAAAACCATTTGGTACTGAATGTCTTTGTGTACTATATAACACATAAAACATCCAGGTTCAACACACAGAATATCTCTGACAAATGTCGCTACAATGCTAAGACATACAGAAACTTACATAGTAAATATATATATATATTTTATACACAGCACAGTTTTACATCTACCTAGTAATTAACGTTTATTTACACAACGCTGTACAAATTATTGTCCGTTTGAAAAGGATAACATTCATAGCAGTTACTAAGTATCATAGCACATTTTGTGTGTTAACAGAGTTGTCTATAGTGTCACACTCCGGACAGCTGTTGGCGGGACGAGAAAGGAGTTGAGCAAGCCGGGTAGAAAGGCATGGGGTTATAATGGTCGGCGAACACACAGCTGGGCGGGGCTTGATCGGCACATATCTGGTAAGAGCTGGTGGCGGAAACCATCTGATGACCTTCACTCATCAGTTGCGACAGAGTCAGCGACTGTGATTGCAGTGACGACGTCATCGGCGACGACAAGGGTGGTGACGTCATCAGCGGCGACAAGGGTGGTGATTGGGGAGGCGAGTTTTCTGCGGGGCACTGAGAGTATGGATAGAAAGCTGTTTCTGGTGGTGCTGGGTAGCCATTTCCACTCGATGATGGCAGCTGATGGGGGACATCAGCCAGCTGATCGTACATGACATGTGTCGGCGGTAGATAATGGAGACTGAAAATAAAACGAGAAGATTAAACTAAAATTGACATCAATTGTTGACTAAATCTATCATTCATTACATTATAGCAGGAAGCAACGTATATGTAACAGAACAAAATTTAGAAAGTAAGCAAAGGGCGCTAACTCCGTTTATTAACTTTATGCTGAGGGATGATTGGCACAACGTCTACATCTACTTACTTGGAAGATGGTCGTCTGTGCCACGACAGGTCGCGTCTACTAGTGATGGGGTACGTAGGTGCCGATAGAACGTGACGCCTGGACACGAACTTTGGTTGGACGATGTTACTGGGAGCGGGAGCTGTGTCCTGGTTAAAAATTTGTTTCCTCATCCACGTCACGTGACTTTCCTTAGACTGACGCTTGAACTTGGAACGTCTGTTTTGGAACCAAATCTGAAAACAGATTAAGATGGCAAATGTTTACATGTTCCTTCGTGAGAATATACTAATACGTGATGTTCGTTATACAATTATTGGGTTTTACGAACATGTCACAAGCTGGTCATGTGACACTGGTCAATATCACATGTATTATATGTTATCTAGTCCATAGGGGAAATCAAGATCAGCATCTAATAACAAAAGATTTCACAAAAAACCAACTACATCTTCGGAGTCCAAAGGTTTTACAATCGATAAGTAACTTAGCTATAATATTCACACTGGTGTAGTACACCATCACCTCACCTACAAGGGCTCGCATACAATGTATAGATATAACCCAACCCCCTCCATGACCCCTGGTCTGACTAAAGAAAATTTTCTTGAGCTATCTTGTATGCATTTCGAAAGAGGATATGTATGACCTTTAGCCCTATAACCTTGACAAATGTACTCAAGTGTTGGACATGATGATTATACTATGATGTGACTATGAACTGTTTGTCCGGAGGTTCGTAAGATATCTATTTCGAAAATGGCCATGGTTGACCTTTGACTTTAAGCTTGACCGATGGCCACCAAAATCTTATCACGTGTAGAATGTGGAATGGTGATTGGAATATGTACTCAAGTTAGGCTGACCTTCATGCGACCTTGACTGATGACCACCGTTTATATCTGGTAGTGACCGGTCGCTTGGCAGAAACACTTTGAAGATCTGCGGTGGAACAAAGTCTGTCTTTGATTCTGCTGCTACTCACTGACCATTGATAACCAGGTTTCTTTTTCACAGTTAACGTTAAGTCTTAGAAAAGGGGGGTGGGGTGGGGGCGTGGTTACAGCATTCCATTTCGTATGATACAACAAACCAATGACATGGGACATAGTAACTTACTGACACCCGGTCGAGGCTGACGTCTAATCCCAGGGCCAAGTCCTCCATGGTGGCGGTATCAGGGTAGTGGGAAATACCGAACTCCCTCTCCAGACGTTCCAACTGGAGATTAAGACAATGACTATCAGTAAATACTATCATTGTCGCCCCTCAACTAACATAAACGCCCGCCTTATCTACTTAGCACTTTAAAGAACGTATCTAAATCCTTACCTTGATACGATATCGTACACAAGAATCTTCTATCCGACACCTTCCTTATTACTGAATCTGTAATTGTCTGTTGGACATTGTATAATTGTTCCTCACTACTGAACTGTTGTCGGCTATTGTAAATTGAGTAATTCGTCCTCATTACTTATCACTGAACCTGTCATCGTTTTCTGTTCTTCTAAGTTTCTACACAATTCCCACTATACACGTGCTATTCACTAACATTTGTACATAATTCCCGCTATACACGTACTATTCACAAACATTTGTACATAATTCCCGTCATACACGTGTGATTCACTAACATTTGTACAGAATTCCCGTCATACACGTGCTATTCACTAACATTTGTACATAATTCCCGCTATACACGTGCTATTCACTAACATTTGTACATAATTCCCGCTATACACGTACTATTCACAAACATTTGTACATAATTCCCGTCATACACGTGTGATTCACTAACATTTGTACAGAATTCCCGTCATACACGTGCTATTCACTAACATTTGTACATAATTCCCGCTATACACGTGCTATTTACTAACTGTTTTATATAATTTCCGCTATACACGTGCTACTCATCAACCTTTGTAAGTAATCCCCGCTATACACGTGCTATTCACTGACATTTGTACAGAATTCCCGCTATAAAAGTGATATTCACCAACATTTGTACATACACCAACATTTGTACATAATTCCCACCATACACGTGCTATTAACGAACCTTTGTATATAATTCTCACTATACACGTGCTATTCACATGAATTAATTTGTGTGTTTTATTTGCACAATGTGTACTGACCTGTTCCGGTGTGTACTTGATCCTGTTCCTCTGCGAGCACTTCTTGTCGGACGGAGCCCCCATGGTCATATCTGTAATCAGACAATATATTATTGAACACTGTAGCTTTTTTTAACGAAAAAATTCCATGTTTGAGAATGATCAGCCAGTTCTTTTACAGAATGACGTTCCAAGGTACATGCAACAATACACATGATCGCGATTATTTCTACGGGTCAGATGTCCAGCTCGCGGCCAACGTTATCTCAATTACGCCAATCTTTCAGATCAATTAACGTGTGCATACCATGCAGACAGAAGGGTGAGAATAAGTTAACGATAGTTATTTTATTCCATTTCACATTCATAAATGTATTGTGATTGGGTAAAAGGAAATGGAGATTGAATTTATTAAACAATTAAACAATTATTGAGATAGCCTACTGCTGTCCGGCTACTGACCTGCCCCGAACAAATACTGTCATGATGTCATCAATTTTTTCGAGCTTGTATTCAATGAATTATGTCTGTATAAACTAATGTGAATGACATCCATATTTTGTGTCCCTTGATCATACCACATTTTGACCGCATACAATTTACGCTAACTAATTAAGCAAAGTAATGTCGGGTATTACATTTTGTAAATTGTGATAATCAAATTCAGTTTCCGTACCCGTTCAACTAATTACCTATAATTAAATTTAGATGATATCATTGTGTATCATGACAAAGATAACGTATATCGAACGTATGTAAAACAAATCCACTACACCACAACCCATTAGCTTCAAAATCTTCCCATGTTTCAGCTTCATTTTTCCTTTTATTTTTTTACGAAATATTGCAACGTAGTTTTTTTTTTTTTTTTTTAAACCTGAACACCTCTCAATAGGTTGTTTTTATTCGTTGCATTGAATTTTAATTGCAACAGCACCATGTGTGCTAATGACTCTACACCAACATACACGACTTCAGGAAAACAATATGAGAAATACACCTAAGGGATTACGATGGGAGTGTCTTTGTCTCAAAATGGAACATTTAAACGTCGCTATGTCCAAATTGTACAACATATTTAAATGAGTAATTAGATATGCAAATTTTACCCGATTTTCTTATCTACGCTAGATCAGATACTACCTATTATGAAAAATGTAATTAACAAGGACTAGAAAGGTTAGTTTTTAATTTACAAGTGATTACTTATGACCTTTTTCATTTTCTATTGAACATTTTTTTTATTATTATTATTGAAACGCAGTAAAATGATCAAATGAACTTGTTTATATTTAATATTATGTCACCAGCCAGTTACCAAGAATCAAAGCAAGGATGTGCTTTTGTAAGGATTATACATAAACATGGACAGTGTTAACACAAACTGAAATAGTGATTTTATACTGTAATACGGGCTATTTTAAAGAATACACAATGAATGTATACTTCGTTTGCTCAATAAAAGATCACACTTGTGTAATGTTTAATATATATATATATATATATATACTCATGGAAAATGTTAACACATACTGAAAGAGAAATTTTCTATGAAATCTTTTTTTCATTATTATTGTTTGTGTGTGTGTGTGTGTGTGTGTGTGTGTGTGTGTGTGTGTGTGTGTGTGTGTGTGTGTGTGTGTGTGTGAGGGTACGTGTGTAAGGGTGCGTGTGTGTGTGTTTGTGTATGTGTGTGTGTGGTGCGTGTGTGAGGGTGCGAGGGAGAGTGCGTGTATGTGTTTTAGTGTGAGAAAAAGAAGTCGTGAGGGAATGGAGTGGAGAGCAACCAAACATTGTTGATGTCGAAAAAGAGAGAAGAATGGATGGGAGACAGGACTATCAAGAAGTGGGGAGGTACTGACAGAGGGAGGGGACCCTTAAAATGGGGAGAGGAACCTTAAGGTGGGAAAGGGATCAGTCAAGGTGGGAGAGAGGACAATAAAGGTGGGAGAGAGGATAATAAAGGTGGGAGAGAGGACAATCAAAGGTGGAAGAGAGGACAATCAAGGTGGGAGAGAGGACAATCAAGGTGGGAGAGAGGTGGGAGAGGACAATCAAGGTGGGAGAGAGGACAATCAAGGTGGGAGAGAGGTGGGAGAGGACAATCAAGGTGGGAGAGAGATGAGAGAGAACAGTCAAGATGGGAGATAAGTCAGTCAATGAAAATTTGAGACATTATCTACATCAGAGTTATGAGAGAGAGAGAGAGAGAGAGAGAGAGAGAGAGAGAGAGAGAGAGAGAGAGAGAGAGAGAGAGAGAGAGGTCAATCTACGTGAGAGAGATAGGGATAGGAGTGGTCGATGTACATGAGGGAGATTCGAGAGCGTGCGGACAATTAATATTGATGAGGTGGTTCGGGAGACAGTGGGCAGGCACTCAAGATGGAGACGTGCGGATAATCTACATAAAGGAGATAAGGGAGAGTGTGGACAATCAGAATGGAGTGGAAAAGGGTTGGTTAAAGAGAGGAAAAACAGGATGGGGGAATCTGGGAGAAAGTAGGAAATCTACGTTAAGGAGATTCGGGAGAGAGCAAAGAATTTACACCAGATATATTCGGGAGAGAGTGTCTGAAAAAAAACCCAGACAAGCCTTGGTACTAAGTAAGCTAACGTGATTTTGTATTTATGGTTGTTAAATAAATATTTTAGGGTATAACAGATAACTCTGTTAATTACTTTCCGTCATTATATAGAATGGAAATATTCCGTCAATAAGTTTTTTTTTAATTTTGTTCGTTCATTGGTCATCTTATTGTTAAAAATGATATTTGATTCTCAGTCACCAAGGGTACGAATTACAGAGCACTATCGCGTTAGTATTAAGTGTATCCACGCGAGGCACTAACCTTCAGGCTGTGACAGTTTAATCTTTTTGTGCTACTCTACAACACTTATCTGTAGATCTCTAAAATTTGAGTTATTTTGTTGTTTTATCCTTTCAAAGGACGACGTGTAACATATATCATTTGAGGCATGACATAATTCTAAATAACATGTTTTAGTTTATAATTATGTAAGGTTTAACACGAGTCCCTAGGGTTCTAACTGTCACTACAGTACAACTGCTGTAATGTTTAACACGAGGCCCTAGGGTCCTAACTCTCACTACAGTACAACTGTTGTAAGGTTTAACACGAGGCCCTAGGGTTCTGTCACTACAGTCCAACTGCGGTAAGGTTTAACACGAGGCCCTAGGGTTCTGTCACTACAGAACGACTGTTGTAAGGTTTAACACGAGGCCCTAGGGTTCTGTCACTACAGTACGACTGTTGTAAGGTTTAACACGAGGCCCTAGGGTTCTGTCACTACAGTACGACTGTTGTAAGGTTTAACACGAGGCCCTAGGGTTCTGTCACTACAGTACGACTGTTGTAAGGTTTAACACGAGGCCCTAGGGTTCTGTCACTACAGTACGACTGTTGTAAGGTTTAACACGAGGCCCTAGGGTTCTGTCACTACAGTACGACTGTTGTAAGGTTTAACACGAGGCCCTAGGGTTCTGTCACTACAGTACAGCTGTTGTAAGGTTTAACACGAAGCCCTAGGGTTCTGTCACTACAGTACGACTGTTGTAAGGTTTAACACGAGGCCCTAGGGTTCTGTCACTACAGTACGACTGTTGTAAGGTTTAACACGAGGCCCTAGGGTTCTGTCACTACAGTACGACTGTTGTAAGGTTTAACACGAGGCCCTAGGGTTCTAACTGTCAATACAATACAACTGTTGTAAGGTTTAACACGAGGCCCTAGGGTTCTAACTGTCAATACAATACAACTGTTGTAAGGTTTAACACGAGGCCCTAGGGTTCTAACTGTCAATACAATACAACTGTTGTAAGGTTTAACACGAGGCCCTAGGGTTCTGTCACTACAGTACAGCTGTTGTAAGGTTTAACACGAGGCCCTAGGGTTCTGTCACTACAGTACAGCTGTTGTAAGGTTTAACACGAGGCCCTAGGGTTCTGTCACTACAGTACAAGGTTTAACACGAGGCCCTAGGGTTCTGTCACTACAACAGTGTGTTGTAAGGTTTAACACGAGGCCCTAGGGTTCTGTCACTACAGTACGACTGTTGTAAGGTTTAACACGAGGCCCTAGGGTTCTAACTGTCAATACAATACAACTGTTGTAAGGTTTAACACGAGGCCCTAGGGTTCTGTCACTACAGTACAACTGCTGTAAGTAATGTAAAAGATGTACAACATACACTGTCGTCCCTTGTTGATACTTCTGTCTGAATTGTGAATTAAACAAATTTTGACAAAAACTTATTTAAACAATCGTAAACATTACCCCCCCAACCCCCCTACCACAGGGACAAATGTGCCATAAAACTCACAACGTTTGTAAACTTCCATCCATAAAATGTACTGGATTCTACTCTATAGGGTTCTTTAGAGACTTAAGGTAGGTTTTGATTTACAATAGGAATATGGTAAACTTATGGTAGATTTTGATTTACAATAGGAATATGGTAAACTTATGGTAGATTTTGATTTACAATAGGAATATGGTAAACTTCAGGTAGATTTAAGGTAGATTTTGAATTAGAAAGCATGAATATTCAAGTCGGTATGAATATTGATATCTAGATTTAAATATCTCATGAATATGCTACATCTAATTAACCTCCACAGTATCCTGTGAATATATATTACTCTTAGATATTACCACGGACTTAAATACATACAAGTCCGTGATATTACATTGCTAAATATCCATGCATGTCATCCTCTCAGAAACATATTTTACAGGAGAAATAATGAAGATTCGTTATGCTTAATTCTTTTTAGACACACATTTGTATGTAATAACTTAATCAACTGTTAAGTCTGTTTTCTCCCGTTTGCATGTCAAATACAGAATCCGAAGAAAGCGTTTTATATAACAACACGTTCTTGTCACCCATTTCGTACCACATGCTAAAAAATGCCGAAATTTCGATCACACGTCGTGTCAGTCAAGCGTCTTCACTAAATGTTGTCTTTTCTCTTTGTACATTGTACTGTGTAGCTGTTCATGGAATGTCCGATATTTTCTACGAATTGAAATAGCATTTATTATAATGTACCACAAACAAAAACTGTATACTTTTTCAGTACTTATATATAAAAAATACTTATGTTATCTAAAAAAAATATGTAATTTTTCTCTCCCGTATACCTATTTCATCGATAAATGTCTATATTCCTTGTGCGACTTAATGTAGAAAATAAAATCATATGGCCTTTTATAAGAAATTATTTCTAGTGAACAAAAATCAATAAATAATAATATCACATATTGCGAATTGGGTAAGTTCTCCTGTGAACTCAGATTAAAACATTGGTTTAAAGCTGTACGCAGTGAGAATTGTTTCCATGTGTTATATATCAGTGTGGTAACTTTAACTATAAGGAATGATTTAAATAATCTAATATTTGAAAATGTATGGTTGAATCCGTGCATTGTTAAAAAAAAGATTAACTTTGTTCAAGAGAAACGCCTATCCGAGCCTCTCTAGATACATCAAGTAATTTTTTTTTCTATATAAACATATTTAGGTACAAAACTGCTCTCTTCAATTCTATCTAAGTATATACTTATTGCTTCGCCAGATTTTGTACTTCTCAATTAAGAACCCATTAGTTACTTTTAAAAGATAATAATTATCTATATATCATGCTATTGTGTATTGTACTCAAAGGGCCAGTGGCATTTTATGAATATTGAAATCTTAATAGCAATTCACTATATAACTAAGTCTGTGAAAATCATTAGGAAACCTGACGTTTTAGCTGTAAAGTTAGGAAATATTTACCGTATATAGAAAGCCCTTGTTCTATCGACTTTTAATTGGTTAAGTTTAATTAGTTTATTAATTAATGAAAAAGAAGCAACATTTGACTCACCTAACAGTGATTGTGGTGTAATATTCCTGGAAAAACAGGCGAATTTCTGCGACAACCTGCCGGTATGATGGTTTCGCCAGTAATGGTAAAGTGTGATGACTGCGTTCAGGTTTTCTTCGTGTTGCATTTCAGCAATTAATTAGATAGAAACAACTCCATTTTACCATAACATACCTTCTTTTTCATGTTTACCGCGTGTATACGTAACTGTGGGTAGGCTTCCTAAACAGGTAGGTCGAGTGATAACTGTTAACACATAAGCCAAATATACAGAGGAAATGACCTCTAAAACAACAAAATAGAGGTCACAAGTCATTAACGAGATACCTGTTAGGGGAATCATCTAAAGACGCCGCCCTGCCCCTCCTCCCTGTTGTTGTCTTAGGGAACTCGCCTTATTCCAACAGGCGGATTATCTCAGGTCTCTGATGTTTCCGATCAGATAGACACATAAACGAGCCAAATCGCTTACAGTTTTATTTATAATATGCATCCCAAATATGTTTCAGACACAAAAAATTCCAGTTTTGATATTCATGAATGTTTATTCAAAAACCCGTTTTTTGTGTATGGATCAGCAATAACATATTACACTGTAGTTATATTTAAGTGGAGTACTTGTCTATGAACTGAATGTTAAATACAATAATCATAAAGTATGGGGAAAAGACACTTTGTTTATATATATTTTGTATACATGTTTAGTATACAACAATGCTATTTAAGAACGGGTATGGAGAAGATTAATACACACTATGCCTGTTATGTATTCCAAATATATATATATCTTTTTCAGGATCAGACGCCGCCATTTCGAATAGGCAGCTTCACATTGTACGTTGCTATCTTGTAAGAACTGCTTACAAAATTACTTTATATTACAAATGAGAGAAAACCAGAAATGGTACAAGGCAATTATTTGACGGAAAACAAACTTATTCAACATTCGCTACATTTGTATCAGTACAGGAAAATCGGCGAATTTCAATGGAGTGTCTAGAAGTCACCGGTTTGGTTGGTCGGTCAAATTTACCAGCTATATCACTAGTGAAAAGAGAAGATCGTCACTGCACTGGTGTGCTTTCGTCAAACTTGTAAATTCCTATATTTCACTGGCAAAATATAATAAATGTATACAAAGTAGGTTTCTCACTTTAGTATGCCACCACGCTGCTTAAGAGAGTATCCCCTATAATTAAATGATATCCATACGTTAATTTCAATACTAATTACTTAATCTCTATAGATCACGGTATTGAGTTTTTTCATCATGAAATATTTAGTCCATGTTGGAGATAATTTTCTATTCGTCCATCTTGCAATAAGACAAACCATCGTGTTCATAAGCCCTGGACTCGTGTTAAATGTAGACATTTTTACAACTTGTATCGACACAATTTATTTTCATTTAATTCCGAAAGTCATACCAACAGGACTTGGCTATGTCTTGTGGGATTCCAATGTAAGTATAAACGCTGTGAAAGGCTGGTTTAATATAAGTAACTGAGATCAGAAGGTGACCATATATGTAAATATGTTACGTAGAACATTTGAACACCGGTGACTTTTTGCAAATAGTGGGGATGACTTTAATATGTCATCAAATTTTCCAGACTACGATAATTTACAGGTATATGATGAATTGTATTATCTAATTACGAATACTGAACAAAACAATGTATTAAAAGTTGCCAAATTAGGTAACTCTCCCGTCATCGTTAACATTCTTAACGATTTTTTTTTATAAACATAAGGAGAGATCGCGCCAGTCTTTCACAATTGTTTAATATTATCTTTGATATGGGCGTCTTTCCCTCGGTCTGGTCAAGGAGTATTGTTTTCTCTTTGTTCGAATAAGGTGAGGCCAATAATCCAAATAATTACAGAGGAATCACTTTGGTAAGTTGTTTTAATAATAGACTACTAGAATGGTCACATTGCAATTTTTTTCCACAAAGTCTATCCAAGATGCTTATCTTAAAACTTATATCGAAATTACGACTTTCATCCCATCTGTATAGAAGAAGGTCGTTATCGTGGTATTCCAAGGCAGAATATGTTATGTCGGTTTTGTAATCGAAATCAGGTAGAAGATGAGTCACATTTTGTTCTGATCTGTCCAATATATGTAGATATTCGTAAAAAGTTCATTAAAAAGAATTATTGGAACCGTCCATCTTCATATGAACTTGTCCAGCTGCTATCTGTATACGTAACAGAAAGGAACTTTGTACCTTAGGAAATTACCTGCAATCGAGTTTATTTGTCTACAACATTATATTTATTGTTGCCTTTAACCTCTGACTACACCACTCTATACATGTTGTTACCGTCCATCCCCTGACTACACCACTCTATACATATTGTTGCCTTTAACCTCTGACTACACCACTCTATACATATGTATGCTCTGTTCGAGCATTTATTTGATAATGTTGATAGTAAATGTTGTCACTTTATGGTTCTATTCTAGCCTATGTATTCTTATGTAAAGTCAATGTACACCTATATTAAGTAACTATACAAGAGCTGTCCATCTTCCGGTCAGTTATCTATCCTGTACATGATAAGGACAGATTATTTACACTAACTAAATACGACCTACACGATTATGCTTTATATATGTTGAAACAACGTCTTTGTGTTTCATATTACTTACGTATCAATTATGTGTTGTTATGAATGCTTATGAGCAGTAAGACTTCAAGTTAAATAAACAATGAACTTCGTCAGGGACGTATAATTTCTGTATCGTACTTTCCTGATGTAATATTTGAAAACTAGAGTGAATTAATGAACTACATTTTACGTTATGAAAATAGAAGATACAAACGTTATTTGGCTTCAGGTGTACTTGTATCAGCTGAAGTGATGTATCAAAACGTGATACTCCGTTTATTATCATGTATATCACACCAGGGTCACCCTGACGTAATATCTGGTGTATCATAACGTGATACTCCGTTTATTATCATGTACATCTCACCAGGATCACCCTGACGCAATATCTGGTGTATCATAACGTGATACTCCGTTTATTATCATGTACATTACACCAGGGTCACCCTGACGTAATATTTGACGTATCGTAATGCGGTACATTTATCATGATGTAAATTAATCATACCATTGAAATTTGTAATCCTGACCATAATGTGATACTCGTTTTATTATGACGCGCATTTATCATATATATGTTATACACATAAATCCTTGTTAACATGACATATATAACACCTGGTATATATGACATGTCATACATAACACCTGGTACATATGACATACATAACACCTGATATATATGACATACATAACATCTGGTATATATGACATACATAACACCTTGTATATATGACACATAACATCTGGTATATATGACATACATAACACCTGGTATATATGACATACATAACATCTGGTATATATGACATACATAACACCTGGTATATATGACATACATAACATCTGGTATATATGACATACATAACACCTGGTATATATGACATACATAACATCTGGTATATATGACATATAATATGCCTGGTTTATTTTATACAGGAATATGGACTACACACATTTATCACAGAGTAACAACAACACCACTTGTAACAATGATGATATTTTATTGAAGTCTATTTTAATCTCCATCTTCAAACACATTTTTAAGAATTTATCTACTGTATCTCTGATCTCCTTGATCTGGAATATTTACAACTGTTCATTCAGTCACAGTCTCAGGTGAGCTTAAACTTCCTTGATCTGTGATAATGTAAATAAAGTTGTACATTCCCAGCACAAACACCCAGTAAATATCCACCAAGGTTTCCTAGTACACATGTTATTGGCCACACCTGTAAAAAATATCTGTATATTATTACATTTCTTTTGCTGTAACGTAACATACATCAAAGGCTATTCCAAAGTAACTTCATTTTCTCCATGTACAAGGATGTAACAACGCCGGAAAACTTTTAAAAAACAATAAAAACAAAAGACCCTAGAGGGACCTTGGTGCCCAACATTGTTCTATCTTCATGTTCTTTAAGAGCTGGAGTTTTTCTCTCTACTCTTCTCTTATTTACTCTTAATTATATGAAATATAACAGCAATAATAATCATTTACGGTCAAATTAAAAAATGGTCACCTTTAAGTATTTTGTTTTTTTTCCAGTCGTTCCCAAAGTGAAAAGGGCACAAGGGATCTGAGGTAACCTACTTAAAAATTTTGAGACATCCATCTTGTACTTTTCAAGAAACAGTGATAAAAAACTTTGATTGTCCAAATTCTTGAAGGTCATCTATCAGTGATCTTGCTTTTTCTGGTACATTTAAATTGAAAGGACAAAACTGATGACCAAAAGAAACCTACATACATGCATGAAATTTGAGTACTTCCAAAGAAATAGCTATAACAAACTTTCATTGTCAATCCAAGATGGCTGTCTGTCATCCATTTGGTTTTCTGATCAATCCCAAAATCAAAAACGGTATAACTAGGGACAAAAAGGGAATCTACATATGGAATTTGAGAATGACCCCTCTCCAGTACTTCCACAGAAAAAATGACTACAAACTATTACTATCAAAATCCATGATGGCTGCCTGTTGGCCATGTTGTTTTTCAGATCAGTCCAAAATTGGGATAATGCACAACTAGGGATCAACGGGAATCTATGTATGAAACTAGAAAAAGTACCATCAAGTACATCTCATGCACAATAAAGATTACAAGAATTTTTAATGGACAAATGGATGAGATATGAACCAGGAGCACGTGGTGATTAGAATAGGTCACCTTCTGATCTGCTGGTGGGATAAAAATGGTTTCCATATTCAGGTCAAAAAGATATCTCCGATAACTGTTGTAAAGATACTGATGGTTACTGTAAAAACATACCACTGATTAGTGTTATTGTAAAGATACCACTGATAACCATTGGTATAATGTAACAGCTATAGTAAAATGGGGATCTGATGCAGCCTCGACCGGAGGCGAAACTAGTCGACAATAAAGTCTAACTAGAGCTGCTAAACCAGCGACACTTGAGTTTTGTTGTACCCTTACTTATAGTAAAAAATACCATTGATGACAGTTACTAAACAGAATCCATGATATTACCAATCTGTCTGGTTCTTACCTGCCAGGGTCTGTCCCAGTCTAGAGGAATGGGCAAGGCTCCCAGCCATGCACCCAGAACACTTCCTATGGAGGAATAGTAGAGGATTGACTCAGCACCTACATCAGGACTGAAAAAGACGGTGAACCCATTGTCACACAGCGTATATGACTATTGTTATCCTTTTGTTCTGATTTTGATACCCAATATGTTTACCAATGTTTACACTGATTCAGTAATTTTGTTCATTCTCATCGATATGTAGAAGAAATTACAAACATTTACCAATTTTGAGCATACACTCTAACCCAGGTTGAGAAGTTTATCCCCAGCACACACAGGCTTGGTAGTACAGTAGTAGTTGTAAGCAGCAGGGCAAAGTGGAATGTTTCCGCTACAGAACTGTAACACAGATAAACAGTGTTTACACATAAATATCATTGAGTAAATTTCTCTGCTACAGATCGAACACCAATACTCTTACCAAACATTTTCCACTAAATGAGTTACATCTTTTGACTTAAATAAAACAGTACTGCATTATCATATGAATGATCATCCAATTTGCATTATCTCCAGTAAGATTAAGCATGAATGTAACATATCAAAGCGAAGATGACCATCTCCAGTTTAGCCATTTTCAAGCCATTACATGACATTACTTCTATCATACTTAATTACTGAATGTCAAAAATGTGCTTACGTAATAAATGGAGCACCAAACAGGACAGCTATGCAGTGGAAGTTGACAGACCCAAGAATGAGAACACCACACACCTTTAGTATATTTCTAACCTAAAACAAATTTCATGCATGATAAATGCAGAATCTTGCTCGATTTATTTGGAGATTAGTACATTTGTATATGAAATAGTAGGAGCCTATAGGATTTGATATGCTAATCAGATCAGTTAGTTTCTTGTCTCCATGGTATATCGTTAATCTCTATATAAAGGACAGCTGTCATGACATGCCTCTCAATACACTTATGCCTTAGTAGCTGTCTTTATAGACAGGTCTGACTACAATTGATTGCCTGTGACATGATCACTCTTCCCCGGGATGTAGTTTATAATCAGAATTAACAGCGATTAATGATAGAGGATGTCGATCTGATCTGATCCTACTACAACGTCGACACCTGTGTCCAGTGGTGCATATTTAGCTTGATAATCCCCTGACATTAGACATTTTAACAGACGTGGCAAACACCCTTTAGTCCAAACGTCAAACTAGTGTGGTGACGAGAAGAAACTTGCGTTCGTTCTTTTTTTTCCATAGCAAATTTTCAGCTTTCTCCAATGAAAATTAAAGATAACTCTGAAGAACATGCATGCAGTTGATGTCAAAATGACTTACTTTAAATACAACGGGTTTAAGCTGTGCATACTTTGGTACTGCAATTGCATTCACAACTATTTGAAATACAGTTAAAAAAACAATGAAGAACTCCACAGCAGTTAGACATTCATTTATAACGTCAAAAGGTAAATTTGTATTCATGGGAATATAAACAATTAAAGTTATTATTATAACAAGACACAAATGCGCTCTAATCAGTAGGTTAAACGTGTCTTTGTTCGGAAGCCGCAAGTTTATGGACGTCGACATCTTGTATTGTGTTTATCCCCTCCACACAGGAAAGAGCGATTTTTCTGACGCGTTGATTACGTCACTTCCGGAGTCGAAACGTGTCAAAACAAAACCATGCTTACGCGTCATGACGCAGCTTGCATCCTTGTTCCCATTTGTGTTGTTAAAAAGAAACTATACAGCGATATGAGCCATAGGATTATATTAACTGATTTGAACCATCTTTTAGATGCAATATTACCATAACTCCATCAAAACATCATAGCAAGTAAGGTAAGTACACAAAAGCTGCCACGCCCCCATTTTGACAGTTAACGGGAAAACCTTATGGTGTGCGTTATAAATAAAACACTTGTTACATCAAGAACAAATATACAAGAACTTTCGTATTCGCCGTAGTCAGAACAATTTTTGATAACAAACACCGGACACGTTTTCCTGTTCAGGTACATGCATTTATGAGCAAGACGTTGACATTTCGACGGACAGATGTCTGGTGTAGGTTTCAGATGAAAATCGAGGTATCTTTTTCCTGCTTGGACCGATTAAACACATATCAAATATAGTGTCTGTTAAAAAATTGTTAAGGGCATGTTTACCATTTATCGTCTCATATATACATATATATTTTTACAATAGTACACGTATGCGGGAGTGTTGAATGTTATGAGCCTGGCATTGTGTCGTTATTGCAATTATATTTTAGGTTACAGAATGAGAGACCTACCTCCCGAGCTCCTGATACAGATCTTTCAGTACCTGAATGCAGTTGATCTGTGCAATGCAGGTGCCGTGTGTAAGTACTGGAGTTCTATCAGCACATCTGAGCCTCTTTGGAGGAGACTGTGTGGCACACTTGAAATGAAGTCGGATCTCATTCAGAATGACCGGGCACTTGGGTACTCTTGGAAGGTAAGACTACACATTACAGGTGTATTCACATTTCAGTTAGCTTTCAGACCATTTGTAATAGTATCAACAGCTGTTCTGTTTTAAACTGTTATTGTAAACAAACCATGTTACTTAGTGTCTTGTGTGTCTTTACCATCTTGTATTTTGTGTTGTCTCTACCTCTTACATATTGTGTTGTCTTTACCATCTGATGTTATGTGTTGTCACAACAATCTTCCATTGTTATCTTGTCTCTGCCAACTTGCACTGTGTATTTTTCTCTTACATTTTACAATGATCTTACAATGTGTCTGTCTCTACCATCTTACAATATGCCTGTCTCTACCATCTTACAATGTGTCTGTCTCTACCATCTTACAATATGCCTGTCTCTACCATCTTACAATGTGTCTGTCTCTACCATCTTACAATATGCCTGTCTCTCCCAACTTACAATGTGTCTGTCTCTACCATCTTACAATCCTGTCTCTACTATCTTACAATGTGCCTGTCTCTACCATCTTACAATATGCCTGTCTCTACCATCTTACAATGTGTCTGACTCTACTATCTTACAATGTGCCTGTCTCTACCATCTTACAATATGCCTGTCTCTACCATCTTACAATGTGTCTGACTCTACTATCTTACAATATGCCTGTCTCTACCATCTTAAAATGTGTCTGTCTCTACCATATTGCAATGTGTCTGTCTCTACCATCTTACAATATGCCTGTCTCTACCATCTTACAATGTGTCTGACTCTACTATCTTACAATATGCCTGTCTCTACCATCATACAATGTGTCTGTCTCTACCATCTTACCATGTGTCTGACTCTACCATCTTACAATATGCCTGTCTCTCCCAACTTACAATGTGTCTGACTCTACCATCTTACAATGTGTCTGACTGTACCATCTTACAATGTGTCTGTCTCTACCATCTTACAATGTGTCTGACTCTACCATCTTACAATATGCCTGTCTCTACCATCTTACAATGTGTCTGTCTCTACCATCTTACAATGTGTCTTGTCTCTACCATCTTACAATATGTCTTGTCTCTACCATCTTACAATGTGTCTTGTCTCTACCATCTTACAATGTGTCTTGTCTCTACCATCTTACAATATGTCTTGTTTCTACCATCTTACAATATGCCTGTCTCTACCATCTTACAATATGCCTGTCTCTACCATCTTACAATGTGTCTGTCTCTACCATCTTACCATGTGTCTGACTCTACCATCTTACAATATGCCTGTCTCTCCCAACTTACGTGTCTGTCTCTACCATCTGACAACGTGTCTTGTTTCTACAATCTTACAATGTGCCTTGTCTCTATGGTCTATTGTCTTATATCATATCTTGGTTCTTGACATAAGATTATTTTAATCTAAAATGAAGAAACATTTCATGCTATGGTTTGGAATTCCAGTAACTCTGTCAGTAATTCTCTCCCATCAATCTGACTTGTTTCAGGAAGTATATATGATGAACCATGGCAGTCAGGGTACAAGGCGACAGTGGTTAAGAGGCTGTCATAGCAACTTCACTTCCTACCAACAACTGCCTAAACAGATCATGTGTACCATGGATGTGGAGGGATGGGGGCAAATCTTTGAAATGGAATTAGAGAGATAATTTTCTGAAATTAGACCATTGTAGTGTTGTTCTGAAGTGTTTGAAGTGCTGACTTTAGTTTTCATTGCAGAATTTTAGTTTTAGGTTGAATCTTGTATGTTGTATTCTGTATTTTGTTTCTGAAATTATGTTTTTGAAAACATAGATGACAAGATCATTTGTTTGTTATTTATATTTCCTAATGTCAAAAAGTCATTTTATGTTATGAGAAACATCTCTTAAGATCCTCAATTTTATTGTGAATGTAAAATATGTATTGGTACCTATATATACATATCAATGTTGTTGTACATGTCATGTATTCTTAAAGCAGATTTTAATATATAATTTAAGTATCATCATTATTACAGGAGTTATGTTTATAAAAATAATCTAGTCAGGAATGTGAGTGATAATGTATGTGATCACGATGTTTGTCCATGAGAAAGATTATTTGATATATTAGGGAGGGGGGTAAGTGTATCCATGTGAGTAATAATGTGTGCCTATGTTAGTAACAATGTGTGCCTATGTGAGTAACAATGTGTGCCTATGTGAGTGACAAGGTATGTTGATGAGAATTGGTGTACCTATGTGAGTAACAATGTGTACCTATGTGAGTGACAAGGTATGTTAATGAGAATTGGTGTACCTATGTGAGTAACAATGTGTACATATGTGAGTGACAAGGTATGTTAATGAGAATTGGTGTACCTATGTGAGTAACAATGTGTGCCTATGTGAGTGACAAGGTATGTTAATGAGAATTGGTGTACCTATGTGAGTAACAATGTGTACCTATGTGAGTGACAAGGTATGTTAATGAGAATTGGTGTACCTATGTGAGTAACAATGTGTGCCTATGTGAGTGACAAGGTATGTTGATGAGAATTGGTGTACTTATGTGAGTAACAATGTGTGCCTATGTGAGTGACAAGGTATGTTAATGAGAATTGGTGTACCTATGTGAGTAACAATGTGTGCCTATGTGAGTGACAAGGTATGTTGATGAGAATTGGTGTACCTATGTGAGTAACAATGTTTACCTATGTGAGTGACAAGGTATGTTAATGAGAATTGGTGTACCTATGTGAGTAACAATGTGTACCTATGTGAGTAACAATGTGTACCTATGTGAGTGACAAGGTATGTTAATGAGAATTGGTGTACCTATGTGAGTAACAATGTGTGCCTATGTGAGTGACAAGGTATGTTAATGAGAATTGGTGTACCTATGTGAGTAACAATGTGTGCCTATGTGAGTGACAAGGTATGTTAATGAGAATTGGTGTACCTATGTGAGTAACAATGTGTACCTATGTGAGTGACAAGGTATGTTAATGAGAATTGGTGTACCTATGTGAGTAACAAAGTGACAAGGTATGTTAATGAGAATTGGTGTACCTATGTGAGTAACAATGTGTACCTATGTGAGTGACAAGGTATGTTAATGAGAATTGGTGTACCTATGTGAGTAACAATGTGTACCTATGTGAGTGACAAGGTATGTTAATGAGAATTGGTGTACCTATGTGAGTAACAATGTGTACCTATGTGAGTGACAAGGTATGTTAATGAGAATTGGTGTACCTATGTGAGTAACAATGTGTACCTATGTGAGTGACAAGGTATGTTAATGAGACAATGTGTACCTATGTGAGTGACAAGGTATGTTAATGAGAATTGGTGTACCTATGTGAGTAACAATGTGTACCTATGTGAGTGACAAAGTATGTTAATGAGACTTGGTGTACCTATGTGAGTAACAATGTGTACCTATGTGAGTGACAAGGTATGTTAATGAGAATTGGTGTACCTATGTGAGTAACAATGTGTACCTATGTGAGTAACAATGTGTACCTATGTGAGTGACAAGGTATGTTAATGAGAATTGGTGTACCTATGTGAGTAACAATGTGTACCTATGTGAGTGACAAAGTATGTTAATGAGACTTGGTGTACCTATGTGAGTAACAATGTGTACCTATGTGAGTGACAAGGTATGTTAATGAGACTTGGTGTACCTATGTGAGTAACAATGTGTACCTATGTGAGTGACAAGGTATGTTAATGAGAATTGGTGTACCTATGTGAGTAACAATGTGTACCTATGTGAGTGACAAGGTATGTTAATGAGAATTGGTGTACCTATGTGAGTAACAATGTGTGCCTATGTTAGTAACAATGTGTGCCTATGTGAGTAACAATGTGTGCCTATGTGAGTGACAAGGTATGTTGATGAGAATTGGTGTACCTATATGAGTAACAATGTGTGCCTATGTGAGTAACAATGTGTGCCTATGTGAGTGACAAGGTATGTTAATGAGAACTGGTGGACCTATGTGAGTAACAATGTGTACCTATGTGAGTGACAAGGTATGTTAATGAGACTTGGTGTACCTATGTGAGTAACAATGTGTACCTATGTGAGTGACAAGGTATGTTAATGAGAATTGGTGTACCTATGTGAGTAACAATGTGTACCTATGTGAGTGACAAGGTATGTTAATGAGAATTGGTGTACCTATGTGAGTAACAATGTGTACCTATGTGAGTGACAAGGTATGTTAATGAGAATTGGTGTACCTATGTGAGTAACAATGTGTACCTATGTGAGTGACAAGGTATGTTAATGAGACTTGGTGTACCTATGTGAGTAACAATGTGTACCTATGTGAGTGACAAGGTATGTTAATGAGAATTGGTGTACCTATGTGAGTAACAATGTGTACCTATGTGAGTGACAAGGTATGTTAATGAGAATTGGTGTACCTATGTGAGTAACAATGTGTACCTATGTGAGTGACAAAGTATGTTAATGAGACTTGGTGTACCTATGTGAGTAACAATGTGTACCTATGTGAGTGACAAGGTATGTTGATGAGAATTGGTGTACCTATGTGAGTAACAATGTGTACCTATGTGAGTGACAAGGTATGTTGATGAGAATTGGTGTACCTATGTGAGTAACAATGTGTGCCTATGTGAGTAACAATGTGTGCCTATGTGAGTAACAATGTGTACCTATGTGAGTGACAAGGTATGTTGATGAGAATTGGTGTACCTATGTGAGTAACAATGTGTGCCTATGTGAGAAATGTTCGTTTTACTCTCAGTACCTGTCAGTATGGATACAGAAAGGATTGATGCATACCTGTCAGTATGGATACAGTAAGGATTGATGTGTACCTGTTGGATGTAACAAGTGTTTGATAGGTTTTATACTCATTTTTTATACAAGTAACATTGTTTGATGCTCATCAATGGCTGTGCTTTACTTGCAAATATAAATATACAAAATATTGTAATATGTGGTCCAATAGTAGATATAGAAACGGTGTGCTCTGGATTTCCCCGAGATTGGATATTCAGTCACTATAACAATATTTCATGGCCTAAATTTCATTATTTGAAAAGAGTCCATAATAAAAAAGTGAAAAAATGAAATAAGATTTTGATAATTTTGGCTTGAAAAAGTAGTTTTAGAGGCCATAGATTTGGTCTAAATCACCCCTTCATGTACATCACTGTCATCAGTTGCAACAAAAACTGCAGACATAGAAACTGGTTTTTTTCCTGATTTTCTGATGGCAGTCCTGTATGAATAGTTTTATTAGAAACTCAGCTATATATCAGAACTGCAGAAATATCTCCAAAAAGAACAAAAAGTAATCAATAAAAACATCAGAAACAAAAATACCAGAAATAACATATTATCTGGTGGACCAAGCACAACACATCTGGCAGACAAAAAACAACCGATTATCTATAGGACTAAGGAACAGTACCTGGAGCACAAAGCACAACATTAATCTGATGGGCCAATTTATCCTGTTTTGTGACAATGTTCAGAACAAATGGCAGCCATCTTGAATATGATACATATCAGGAATTCTATTATTACTAGACCATAAACACAACCCATTAATCACAGTTCTTCCTTTATATACTCAACTAAAAAAGAAACACACAGTTAAATTATAAAAATGGCCTATGGTATTTTGGGAAATTTATACAAAACTTTATATTGATGTGAAGGGACAAGTCTCCTCTTTACAATAATGTAAAGGAAATGTCTGTGTGAAGTCACTCGTGTCGTCAGTAGGTACTCAAAGTGGGATACCTGTGAAAAACAAAACGACACTTCAGTACCTGGTGTGGGCATGGATTCTCCTACTCATTGAATTCATGAGAACAATAATTTGCCTTAAGGGAATGTTGTTCCATTCTTGTGTTAATGCTGCGATCAACTGGGCGCAGTTAGTTGGGGGATTTTGACGTTTCCTAATACGCCTGTCAAGCTCATCCCACAGATGTTCAATGGGAGACATGACAGAGCTATATGAGGGCCATTCCAGAGGCTGAACATTGTTTGCTGTGAGAAAATCAAGACAGACTCTGGCAACATATGATCAAGCATTGTCTTGCTGGAAAATTAGGCTATAACGTCTGAGAAGTAGAAGGACATATGGTTGAAGGATCTGGTCTCTGTATCGAATGGCATTGAGGTTTGGATCCAGGACCATGTATGGGGATTTTACTCCATGGAAGATGCCTCCCCAAACCCAAGCCATTACAGAAGCCCCACCAAATCTATTGCTTTCAACCATGCATGCATTGGCAAACACTCACCTTGTCTACGATATACTCTTTTTCTTCCGTCTGAGCGATACAGACAGAATCTAGACTCGTTTGTGTACATCACATGCTTTCTACGACGCATCCCAAACCCATTTAGACCATGTCTGTACATCCAGTCAAGAGAAATACTTGCTACTTCAGTGGTGTCAGATGTGGCCCGACATAAGGTCAGCATGCCATGATTCTCTCGGCACGCAAGCGGTTCCTGGCAGTTTGAGCACTAATGGGTTTGCCATAAGTACCTAAGGCATGCGAAGCAGTCTCTACAGCAGTCTTGAATCTGTTGTGCAAGTGCGACAATCGAATCGCCCTGTCTTGTTGTGCGGTCTTTACATGCAAACCGCCGATCCTGGGACATGTCATGTGACAGCAGTTTGGCTATGACCATCCATCAACATGGCAATTGCTCCACCTCTCTGAATTTGCATTAAGAGTTGCATTTCGGTCAAAGGCAAAATCAAAATTTCAACGTGGAGAATTAATGTGGCTGAACTTCGAGTATCTGTTGTAATTATTTGTTTGAAAAAATCTGGCTTGCCTTGATCACGCCACATGATTTGGACTAAAGAAGCTTACAAAATCAGACAATGACATTATCACCCTTGGCTGATTTTAGGGTAGATTCCATTATTTCTTAACAGCTAAGGTGTACTGCAGGGGGGACTTTGTGCATTTCTTTTTTTTGTTGAGTATTTGATGGGACAATAAACACAGCTTTTTAATTGGGAGTCCATACTTGGTATGATGGGATCATACACACAACCTATTAATTTGGGTCCATACTTGGTATGATTGGACTATACACATAACTTATCAATCAGAGTCTTTTAAGATGGCAGTTGTGTTGAATGTAACAATGGTATAAATTTTTCTCCTAAACAAGTACAGACAATGTGTGATTAGTTGTGTCTCTGGATTACCATAGACCCAGGAGATGTAGCACCAGCAGGAAATGTTCTAGATGATGACCAGTGTGGCGAGACATAACAAGTCCATCCACCATGAGAACTGATTGTAAATACCCAAGAAACAAACATTATCAGAGTAAAAAAATGTATTAAAAAAAGTTTTGAGTTAGTAACAACCAATAAATATTAATGGAAAATGTCCATGAACAAGTTTTAGTGAAAACAAAGATTATTTCTCTCTCATTCATCACATACACAAATTTACATACCGGTATTGTAATTTGTTTGGTATGATAAATACAAAATTCTGATTTTTGATGAACATTTTAAAATCTGTTGCCAATTCCCTTTTCTGTTTTAAGCATATATACCTGAAGCTAAAAAAATGACAAAAGATTCTTTAGACAACTAAATTCACCATAAGAGGCGTCTGTCCATTCATTATCAAAATAATCATATTAAAAAAGGGACATCATCTTAATATTTCGGGGATAACAAAAACGTCAAAGTGGAAAATATGAAAAGTTAAACTTGAAAAAAAAAAAAACATGAAAATTACGATATTTTGCAAAGGAAATCAATATGTCTCTTTGAACAACTCTTCCATCCTGAAATCTCTTGTACCAATCTACAGAAGAACAATCCCATACAGACACACAGTGTAATTTTCCCATACAGACCCTCAATATAAATCTCTCATCCCTCTCCTCCACTGAACTCTCCTAAACACGTGTATAAATTTCTCCCATACAGTAGAACATTAATCTTACTACTCCCTCACAGAGCTCTCCCATACAAATCCTCACTAGAAATAAAAATCATAATACCCTCAATTTTACATGAAGTAAACTAAAAATAAATCTTAAGTCAGCATTAGTTTTATAGAGGAGTTTCAAGCAAATAAGAATTTCAAAAGTTTAGGAGGAAAAAACCCAAATATGCAGTGAGATAGATAAAAGAATGAGTGATACAGATAATGTAGCACATTATCTCGCTGGTCTCCAATACATGTGGCTATGACAAGAACAGTGTATCTAAGCCAGCCATTGAGCTCTCAAGACACATTCAGAAAACAGCACTTTCCATTCTCAAACATGATGATGTTTGTATTCCATCAAGACATCATGTGATGACAACCACTTAAATAACACACAAAATAAACAAGTTGATGGCTATAGTCTGTTAGGTGTCAACTGCCTTTGGACTGATTTGTGTAGGGTAGTAAGTCTTTGGCGGGAAATCCATGTATTACTAATAGTATTATCACCATGGCAATGAAGGGAGCTAGCAACAACCACTGTAGGTCCTCCATCACAAGGGTGTTAAATCTGGGAAGAGAAAAACCATCATCAGTAAAAGTTATAGCTTTAATACAAGATTATGGTAACAGTGTTCACTTGTTTTTGTTACTAGTCTATAGCTTTTATCTCAGTTACTCCAACTTAACTATCGGGAAATCTGTACTGGGAGACCAAGAGGACCATAACTGACATTTGTTTCTTTATATTAACATTGAATTTCCTGCCTTGGCTTATGGCTAATTTTGGTAAGGAGTAGGTAACTGTAACAGGTGTTACCTATTTTTGGACAGTAAAATTCGAGCTCAATCCAACTGGTGAAAATTTGAAATAGGTGTTGCACCGGAAAACCATGATTGTGCAATCATATTGTAAAATGGCCTCTCTTGATGCCATATCAATGTTTTGACAAGGTCCAAAAATAAGAACACTTTATTGGCTACCTTTCCTTAACATTCCCACCAAATTTTAGCTCAATGGCACCTTTGGAACTGGAGAAAAGTTTGAAATATGTTTTTCAAGATGGCGGCAATTATGGCCATTTGGTCAGGATCATCTCAGGATCATTTCATGCAAGTCTGAGCTCAATCCCACTGATGGGTTTGAAATGTCAAAAGTTAACACACGTTGCACGACAGATGACGACGGATGACGACCGAGCATTATACTCTTGGCCTTGTAGGACAACACCCTCTTTCCCAGATCTCTAAATGATAAGTAATCTACATACCTTAATGGATAGGTATCCTGGAAAATCTGACCATGCTGATTAGTCATGATTACTGTCACATGACCAAGCCTTGGCTCTTCCCAAACTGGAACAATGACACTGTATTCTCCTGGTCGATCATATTCATCAGAAAACAGTAAATTGCTGCCGAAGTACACCTGGATTTAATTCAGAGAGAATAATCTAAAACAATATCACCACAGTTTGAACACAATTTTATCTTCACACCAAGGTTTTATATCCTGATTTTGTAAAAATATAGGAAATGAATCTTTATTGTATGTTGAGCCAGTGATCACTACAGTAGGTTGAATTAGTGGCAACTTTTACCATATTAGGACCACTTCAGTTTGTATATGCCGATCCATACCTACTAAATGTTTTTAATGGACTCAGTCAATATAAGTACCTTGATCTTGTAAGCATTGTTCGTGTTGCCTGTTGGATCAATTATCTCAAACTGTACAGTAAACTTTCCACCAGTTACCTCCCCTTCTGACTTTGTAAACCAGGTGACGTAGACACCAAGCTGTTGAGTACAGAGACCATATAATACTATAGTAATAATGTCTAAAAAATACACTATGTCATGATTATTACATCAATGCGATATTCTATAACATCAACCATATCATAAATATATCAATGTGATACTTTATTATGTCAAATCCTTCTTGTGTCAGTTTGGCTAACCAGACAATGCTGACAATCACTGATGGTAGTCTCATAGAATATGTTTTTTTTACATGAAAAAAATCTGAAAAGTTACATGGGTTTTTACCTATTCCTCAGACCCTCCCCCCTACCCCCAACCCCTCCCCCCAAAAAAAAATGCCTGCATTACAAGTAAATATCTACATTATATTCATATTAAGTATGTAATATGCATATGTGATATGAATCATCCTGCTCCAATTCAAACCTGATGAAGTTTAGAGTCTGATGTCATGATACCATGAGGTAAATATTTACAAAATCTGTTGAGAGATTCCACAGATATGACACTGATTTGAAACAGGAACAAGCATGATGTGAGGGGACGAAATGGGACACAATATGATGGGGGGGAACATTGGCAAAACTCTATATCCCTCCTAATAAAATGGCTGGGGCATAAAAACATGTACTCATCATATTTACCTTATTTTCTGCATATGAGAAGTCATTGGCTGATTTGATGTTGGACTGTAGAGATCGCAGGTGTGTTTCCCTTACATTGTCCTCATCTATTCTAGTAAATGGATCCTCCACTTCATTCTCTGAGCCAAGACAAATAATAGTTCCATCGTTTGTGGCAATTACAAGCTCCATCCCTTCAGCTTTGTCTACAAGATCATGTGACAAGATCTGAACCAATGATGATTCCCCGAGAGGGTATTGGGTCTTACAATCCAAAGTAGTTGATACAACATGTAAAGACCCATCATCGGTCAAGAATACCTGAAAAAGTCATACACATGATAAACATACCTGAAAAAGTCATACACATGATAAACAGTCCTGAAAAAGTCATACACATGATAAACAGTCCTGAAAAAGTCATACACATGATAAACAGTCCTGAAAAAGTCATACACATGATAAACAGTCCTGAAAAAGTCATACACATGATAAACAGTCCTGAAAAAGTCATACACATGATAAACAGTCCTGAAAAAGTCATACACATGATAAACAGTCCTGAAAAAGTCATACACATGATAAACAGTCCTGAAAAAGTCATACACATGATAAACAGTCCTGAAAAAGTCATACACATGATAAACAGTCCTGAAAAAGTCATACACATGATAAACAGTCAAGTTCTGTTTTATTACGTTTAGCACTACACTGTGTATATCTGATACAAGGTGTACTATATACTGGTAATATTAACAAAAATAGCACAAAATAAAATACCAAGTTATATTTTTACAGAGAAGATAACGAAATATATATATATGTCTAGTTCCCATGGACTAGCTGTACCTAGGATCAGCAGAAAATAATAGGACTGCCAAATCATTCTAAATGTATCCTATACATTCAATATTTGATGAAACATATTCTGTAAATTTAATTACTAAAACTTGGATGTCTTAGGGTGTTTTCCCAGGTTTTGTTATTACCATGTCTGGGGCAGAGTGAGTGGTAGACAACTTAGTTATAAGGATATCAGAGGTCAAAGTTCGTCCTGTTCTGATTGGCCAGCCTGGTAAGGTAGATCCATTCTTTCCATCCAGAGCAAAAATATTTCTAAATTATACAACAAAAAAGCACAATAAGAAATAATATAATTGTATTGTACAAGTACAAAGCAGTTATAACAGACTGAGAATTTAGAATTCAACACATCTACCTGTCAGAGGTCATGGTTCATACTCGGTTCTGTTATACACTTCTACCTGTCAGAGGTCATGGTTCATACTCCGTTCTGTTATACACTTCTACCTGTCAGAGGTCATGGTTCATACTCGGTTCTGTTATACACTTCTACCTGTCAGAGGTCATGGTTCATACTCGGTTCTGTTATACACTTCTACCTGTCAGAGGTAACAGTTCATACTCGGTTCTGTTATACACTTCTACCTGTCAGAGGTCATGGTTCATACTCGGTTCTGTTATACACTTCTACCTGTCAGAGGTAATGGTTCATACTCAGTTCTGTTATACACTTCTACCTGTCAGAGGTAACGGTTCATACTCGGTTCTGTTATACACTTCTACCTGTCAGAGGTCATGGTTCATACTCGGTTCTGTTATACACTTCTACCTGTCAGAGGTAATGGTTCATACTCAGTTCTGTTATACACTTCTACCTGTCAGAGGCCATGGTTCATACTCGGTTCTGTTATACACTTCTACCTGTCAAGAGGTAACGGTACATACTCGGTTCTGTTATATACTTCTACCTGTCAGAGGTAATGGTTCATACTCAGTTCTGTTATACACTTCTACCTGTCAGAGGTAACGGTACATACTCGGTTCTGTTATACACTTCTACCTGTCAGAGGTAATGGTTCATACTCAGTTCTGTTATACACTTCTACCTGTCAGAGGTAACGGTACATACTCGGTTCTGTTATACACATCTACCTGTCAGAGGTCATGGTTCATACTCGGTTCTGTTATACACTTCTACCTGTCAGAGGTAACGGTACATAACACTTCTACCTGGTTCATACTCAGTTCTGTTATACACTTCTACCTGTCAGAGGTCATGGTTCATACTCGGTTCTGTTATACACATCTACCTGTCAGAGGTCATGGTTCATACTCGGTTCTGTTAAACTCTAATCTTACCCATCATTGGTAGTGATGATGACATCTAGGGCCGTGTCTCCATTGAAGTTGTACAGACGACTGCCTGGAGATGAAGTACCTGATATTTCTGCCTCCCAGACAGTGTCTCCATCTACACTAAAACAAAGCACATTTCCACCAGTATCCACGACAACTATATCTAATCTGTCATCACCTGTAATGTCTGCCACGGTGATCTACAAAAGAGAAAGATCACTTTACTTTTTAGCCAATAACATTTCCTACCATCATACTGTCAAACTTGTATGAATCAAACTTTGATGATTTGAAATCCTGAAAGTTTTTGTCTGGTCCCCAATTTTATTCCTATGTATTATTACTAACTTATCCCCTTATGAATCAAAGTTTTATAAATTGAAGGTTTCGATGTATCAAAGTTTTTTTCACGGACCGTTAGCTATGATGACACCTCATGATTCGGGCAAAACATTTATTTGTGCTGTACAGGTATTTTCGCCCTGTGACAAAATTTCACACATTTCAACCAAGAGTGCTACTTGATAAAAATTGAATTGCTGACTTACAAGCCATGATATCTATCAAAGATAATGGGACGTTGTGTGATGTTCACTGATGCCATTGTGGTAATGACATTTATTTACGTCTAATTCACGGAATTTGGAAAACAATCGGAGGAAATCCTGTCACTTGTTGGATGATTTCACTCATTCCGAAAGCCTCACTTTTTAGGTTTAAGCATAAAAGCATGAGAAACACAGTGATCTATCTGTCATTCATGCCTTCTCGGACTGATTTAGACTAGCCATTGTCAGAACATTGGCAAACACCCTTATAATTTCTACGACCGAAGATGTGTGATGTTAGTGCTGTCGTTTCTGGACAGAATACATTATGATATTGATTTGCTTTCTTTTGAATTCATTAGTGCCTATAACGTTTATGCATCAGCCTTCAAATAATTACTGCAACATGTGAAGACCACTTTAATGCTGCGCGTCGTTTCTTTTAAAACCGACCCGTAAAATACATATACCATGTGACATGAAGGATCAATTTCTCATTAATTTCTATTTAAAGTTATGTTTTGTTCATGAATGAAAATATTTTGTTTAAAAATAAAAAAAAAAACAACTTTTCATTTACACTTGTGTTTTGGTATTTGTTGTTTGTTCAGGTAGAAATATTGTGTCATCAACTATATATAGTCATAAACACGAAAGCATCCATATAACCAACTTCAAAACATTTAAGTTTTATTATGTATAAAAAACAATTAATTTTTACTGTTTACTATTTTTTCTTGAATCAAAACTGATTTTCTTGTGAAACATCAATGAAAACAAGAAATCCCAGAGGGATCTTGCCACCCACCATTGTTTGATCTTTATATGCTCTTTGAAAGTTGAATCCCTTCTTTTCACTTCTCTGTTTTTGCTCTTAATGATAATCAATTTTACTATGCTTTTGCAGAAACAGCAATGATAATCTTTCATTCCAAATTCAAAATGGCCTGGAAGCTATTTTTTCCCTTCTGACCAGTCCCAAAATAAAACAGGCACAGTTCGGAACAAATGGGAACTTACATATGAAACTTGAGAAAGATCCATCCAATATTTCTCAAGCAATAGTGATTACAAAAATTGTTTATGGACAGACAGACGGACGCACAGACAACAAACAATCTGATGATGGTGGACTAAAAATTACAAATCACTCCGTGTAAGCAACATCCATCAACAGTTTATCACAATATATCACAGACCTGATTCATCAGGAACTACTTTACATACCTGATATCACAGACCTGATTCATCAGGAACTGGTGTACATACCTGATATCACAGACCTGATTCATACATACCTGATATCACAGACCTGATTCATCAGGAACTGGTGTACATACCTGATATCACAAACCTGATTCATCACGAACTGGTGTACATACCTGACCATGGACACTGTTGACTGTGATCGGCCAGCCCTTCCTCATGGCTCCTTGATGGTCAAATACATACACCCTTCCAGCTGATGTTCCCAGAACAACCTCTAGAGTACCACCTTCACTGTCAAGGTCAGCAACAGTTGGAGAGAACAGATTATAGGCCGGAAATACAGACACAACCTTGAAAAACAAAGATTACACACACATATATATATATACATTGTATCATTCATGATATATAGAAGATAGAGCTGGGTAAGCCTATTAGAAGTTGGATGATATTTCCTCAGTCCGCCTGGATACCCAGAACTATGCAGGGTGACAGGAGGATAAATAAGACTATTAAGATGTAGAATCACAATATTGATTGGCTTCTACTCTTTAATATACTTGATATATATTACACCACTTGTAATATAGTGATTCCAGAGAGTGAATCTGTATACTTTCAGGCTATAGTTATCATCAGTCGAAACACCCATTCTTACTACAGTTTCATTATAAATTTGTGAGGCGTCACAATAAGTTTTACCTGGGTAAGGTCCAGCACCTTCGTCCAGAGTGGGGTCAAAGATGTTAGGTTGACCACTGTAACACCAGCCACAACATATCGCTCTAACTCAGTGAAGTTGCTCATCTTGTGTTTCTCCAGCTGCTGAGGAAACCTGCACAGACATGATGTGGCTTCTATATGTACTAAGCATTCTTTCAAGGTTTCTCTATTCAATTACCCAATAGGATAAAGGACAACAAATGTAAAAAAATGTATTTCATGTGACAGAGGCACTGCAACTGTTTTATCAAATAAACAAATCATCTTTAAATAAACAAACATGTTTCATGGACAAGAAAGCATATATATACACAAAACTACATAATGATAGATTAACTGATCAATAGTGATTATTATTTCTGAATTATTTCTGTATAACTATTATTTAGAAGTTATTAACAATAAATTAAAACATATTAGAATAAAAAAGCCTGTCTGTTGCTACTTGTGTTGCCTGAATGACACAAATACAGGATACAAATTTGTATGTCCAAATCTCAGACCATCACACAACCTATTGGTGAAGCGCAACATTGAGAAAATAATTTCAACCTAATTCCAATCACCTGTCACTGTTACCTCAATATAACCTTACCTGTACTCCACACAGAAGTAGAACATTGGTATAACTAGTTCCTCCAGTCACCTGTCACTGTTACCTCAATATAACCTTACCTGTACTCCACACAGAAGTAGAACACTGGTATAACTAGTTCCTCCAGTCACCTGTCACTGTTACCTCAATATAACCTTACCTGTACTCCACACAGAAGTAGAACACTGGTATAACTAGTCACCTGTCACTGTTATCTCAATATAACCAGCCACCTGTCACTGTTACCTCAATATAACCTTACCTGTACCTCCTCCTCATACAGAAGTAGAACATTGGTATAACTAGTTCCTCCAGTCACCTGTCACTGTTACCTCAATATAACCTTACCTGTACTCCACACAGAAGTAGAACATTGGTATAACTAGTTCCTCCAGTCACCTGTCACTGTTATCTCAATATAACCTTACCTGTACTCGATACAGAAGTAGAACATTGGTATAACTAGTTCCTCCAGTCACCTGTCACTGTTACCTCAATATAACCTTACCTGTAGTCCTCCTCCTCATAGAAGTAGGACACTGGTATAACTAGTTCCTCCAGTCACCTGTCACTGTTACCTCTATACCTTACCTGTAGTCCTCCTCCTCATAGAAGTAGGACACTGGTATAACTAATTCCTCCAGTCGCCCGTCACTGTTCAGGTCAGCTAGTACAGGTGTAGACAGAATGTGGGGGTCCACAGCTATATAGTGGTCTTCCTGTGTGTAAGAAAACTCATATTTTGGTACAACCCTACATATTGTACACGTTAATCCCCCCCCAACACAAAATTTAAGTACATATTTCACTTTTTCATACTTTTTTCAATATGCAGGCCAGGGAGTTTAGAATATATCTACACATTTAATGAGTCAGTGCTCCTGATATTTTTTAACTAATAGGTAACTACCCTTACTTTTCAAACCTTAAGGATAAAATCTTATTTTTGCTATGCAAGTATATTTAGTTTCCAGTATGAAATAGGATTGTCATTCACTTACTTGTTCGATGTTTTTTAACCTAATAAATTGAAATGACTGTTGCTCTTTTATTCGAATGAATAACAAATTTTAATCAACATTGCTTCAGAGTGGGAAATAGTGTTGATATAATGCATTTTTGCAACAAAGTTAGAAACGTATTAAAACACAGTCTATGTGGAGCACTGATTAATATTTCTAAACTGCATTTACAAATTCCGGAGTGTGTAAAATATATCTGTACACTATGAGAGTATTTGTAAACTATAGTTGCACACTCTTAGAATATTTTTATCATGTTCCTGCACACTGTGAAAATATTTTTTTTTAATGTATTGCACCCTCTAGGACCAGCATATTTTAAAAATATACCTGAACACTCTTGGGATCAGTCTGGACATATCTGTTGATGTCGTTATGGTGAACAGATATCATGTCCAAGTACCAGGTTCTTGACACAAAAACTGGGGCAACCTGTCAAAAAATAAAACCATATTTTAACAGGCCAGATGTAAGACATATAGTGATGAACTAAACAATCCTTTCACACTGCCTCTGATGACAACAAGAAATTACCAAGAGAGAAATTGACTGTGGGTTGAACAATAAAAAATTAAAATTTCTTCACATTCACACATCTTTTGTGTCAGCTTCAACGAAAAGTAAATATATATTTCTCCATTATATCAATATTGCAAAAAGAAAAAGTTAATTTTATACATTTATCCTGGTCCTGCCACTGTCAGACACACCTAACACATAAAATTCTGCTGTATTTGGAAGTGATGGCAAAACAGCTGTATTTTGGAATGTGCATTATTTTGACCTAATTACTTTCTGATTTATTTAAATATTACATTTAAAATATGAATAACTATTTTAATAATCAATTTTATTTGTATTTTGTCAGGCATAATTCAGCCTTACATCAATATTAGGTTAACAAAGACTGAACAACAAATTGTTGAAGTTTCGATAATCTGCATTTTTAATAAACATTGTGGAATAAATAGAATGCACTTCTGTATATAGACAGTGTCTTAAAATATAAGCTTCATTTTGGCTGAGGTTAAAAAGACAAGAGAGGCTTACATCTGAAGACACTGACCATATATATTCTATATATTAATCAAAATTCATCAGCGAAGGCTTAACCTGATATCTCTTATGTTTAAGTCTAGATCCATCTGGTCGGTAAAACAGCAACTCGCCAGTAGACATGGTAAATAGGAGATCCAGCATTCCATCAGCATCAGCATCAAACTGAAAGTGAGGAAAATTTTAATAAATTACTCTACTGTTCATGTGATTTTTACATTAATTCCCTGCTCTTTTTCAAACTTAACATAAACCATAATATCCTCACTCTTAACTTCAACCCTAAAAGCTCACTATGACTTCAGCTCTGAAGCCCTAACTTTAACTGTAAGACCATTGCTCCAAACCATATCCCTAGATGGTAACTTGCCCTTGATATAATATGACAGAATTTCTTTTCTAAATGTATGTACCAGCCTTGACCCATCTATGACTGTATACAAAAAGGTGTTACCTCCCCTGAAAGGAGCACATTAGTGAGATCAAGATAAGCACGTTACATAATTTGACATGTCGAGAATGGATGATTTGGGTGGTTGGGTGGTGCAGTAGTAATGGCTTTCATCTAGCTGTCTGGGATTTGATTCACGGTACAAACATGAAAAGGTAAGTGGTCACCTACCCAACCAAGTGGGTTTTCCCCAGGTGCTCTGGTTTCCTCTCACAATAACACCCCTCGCACACTTACATCAACAAGAGTGATCAGTATAAGTTAAATATTAACTTTATGTTGTCGTAAAATAAATAAAGATTGTATAGACCCATGATTTGCCTATGGGAGTAACAAGTGTATAATTTTGCAACATTAATGTTATGATTAATAGAATGACATACAGTTCAATTTATCATTGTTTTTCTGAAACTACTGCATGGATCTTTCTCTCAATTCACATAGGTTCAACTACTTGAAACATGATTGTGTAGACTTTACCTGAAGCGGACTGGCGTATATGGAACTATCAAGGTTGAGAGCTGGCCACTTGGACTCTGACAAGACTTTTCCCGTCTTGGCATCAATGACGGACATACTTTCACTAAATGGTGTAGCAACAACATCCAAAGACCCATCTCCATTGACATCGGCTATCAACGGGGCGGAGGCAAAGGGAGAGTGAGCAAGCTCTGCAGTCCACAGCGTATTCAACGAATATCCACATCTGGAAAAATATTGGATTACAGATAAAATTCAAACATGATGATGGTCTTGCATATTATTTTGATTAACAAACTGGCAATGACACATTTGTCTTTTCCAAAAGGAAAAGACAACATGTAAGGAGAAGATAACTCACAAGCGAAATGTTGCATCCTGTAAAAATGTTATAATTGGATAAGGTAATCCATTTCAAAACACATTTTACAAGACAGTTAAGGTGGTGCAGTGTTTACAGTTCATAGTGACTTCCAACATATTTTTGTTATTGGAGAGTGAGGTAAAAAAAAAACACCTCTGTGCAATGTGAAAGGTATACATGTATTTCTAAAGTTTAACAAGGCTTTTTCTGTCTATTCCACAAGATTTTTTTTCCGAGCATACATATTAAGCAGACTCTTGAGAGTATGTTTTGACAGGTAAAACGAGTTTTCGCTCAAGAGAGTTTGAAGGGATTTGTCTATTACACACAAATTAAACCATTTTATTGTTCAACTTCTAAAATTGGCAAATGCAAACAATGGTAAAATGTAAGTCCGGTCATTAATCTAACATTACGTGACACAAACTCACTTTACTCCTGACAGGAAGAGCTGATACATTTATATGGTAATAAGTAACGTACTGTTGTGTAAAATCTGCCCATAACCTGATCGGTCGTTATCATGGCGGGGGAGGGGAGGGGGTAAAGAAACATCGCGTCTTTTATTGGAAGGTAAATCTGAATTACTTCCATGGATTTTGATTAAGTGACATTTGACATATACGACATAATGACAACAACTATTGTACTGTACTGTGTTTATAATAAACATCATTTATAGGCAGTGTGCTCTTGTTATCTTAACCGAGAACAATTTCGGTACGCGAGTAAGTCGAACGGATGCAAAAATAAAAGAATGTTGCTACCTCATTCTTTCATATCCATCAGCCTTCAGCTTCGATGCCAAATGTTCCTCTGCAATTACACCGAATAGAAGAAATGAACTGAAAAACACAATTCTACAAGGTTCCATGGCTTAGTTTGATGCAAGCGGCCATATTTGTCTGTCTAAAGCTAAAGCCAACCGCGGGTCTTAATCCGGAAAGCAGAAAAGGGCACACATATGGCCTATTCTCCCACTTTATAATGTAGGAACTTGGGTAGAATACAGTTTACTAGTTAGCTGTCAGTATCAATGAAACTAATAATCAATGTGCGTCATTAAAGTATCAATCCGTTAAAAGTGTATAAGTAAATCGGTCATATTTTCAATAAATGCAACTGTTGATATCCCGTATCGATATTCTGAACATTAAGGTATATCACTACAAATCATTTTTATCAAAATATCGAATTCTGGATGTAAAGAAATGTTTCTTGTATAAAAGCATGTTTATAAAGATTCGTTACTGATAATACATCTATGATATCATTATTTAGTTAAAAAGATTTAGATATCAGTAATTTCACATTGTGAAAGTATATTAAAACGACTTCTACTTTAAATGACGGTACTTATCTGAACGTCACAATAACACATAACTAAAATAACATTTTCTTTTGGAAACAATGGTAACCAATAAATATATTATATAACCTACATGATCAGGACCATCACAAAACATATAACATCAAAGTTTAGCTACTTTTTTTCCAGGAGTTTCCATTGTTTGGCCTAAAAATATGCCCCCCCCCCCCCACACACACACACACGCTGATCTCAAACTATTCCATTGCTTTTGCTAAATATCAATATTTTGATGCATTGCCCAACATATGTTTTTAAGACAATGCAAATTCAAATGTCTCATTCAGCACAATTTTAAGATTTGTGACGGTGAAGACACCATCCTTACGGTATGGAAAGCGTGTGTTGGTACTGATATTTGTGGTCATTGTAGACAATTGGACGACAGAATACAATTAATTATACATTTTGATTAAATTTAGAAATCTTATTTATCAACTTGTGGAACTAACACAATGTATGAAAAATAACAGGAAACAACAAACGTGTTTACATCGAATCAATAATAACAACAAAAATTGTTTACATACAAAGTACGTAAAAACTTTCTCATTGCCAAAATTCAATCTAAATCTAAATGTTTACAAATGTTAGTCCAAAGACCAGGATCTACTTGGAAATGACGTTTGGTTACTTGGGTGGGTTCTGGTGTCATTGTAATGACGCTAGAAAACATATACCAAATAACACCATCAATCAACGACCAAAAAACCCTGTTCTTTCCTATGCAGTGCATCGTTTTGACCTCAACTGAATCATGATCTATATCCTGTATAATGCCTGGATATGGTCTCCCATCATACTCAACAACAAACCACCTACCAAATTGATCCGGTTCTTGCAGTAACTGGATGAGCCCAGCTGAAGATATTGAGACTTCCACATGACAAGCCTGATTTTCAGCAGACCTGCCTTTGTCACTTCTAAAGGCTACCTCTTCTATATTGGTAGGACCTTCACTTACACGCTCTACCTCATTTTCTTCAGTAATGTGAACCTTTTTCAGCTCGAGACATTCGCATTCACGTGGCCTTTTGCAAAAGGCATCTTACCTTAATGGAGGATGTTCCCCGATCGCTTAAAACCTGATGCAGGGACATTGTACCGGGGACTGCTTTAACTGTACTTGGAATGGTGACATCGATTGCGTGAATAGCAGCATCGGGAATCATGTACAGTTTAACTGACAAATCAAGTTTGGATAGCTCATGAAAAAGAGCATCTGCATCGGTGATATCTTCACCATTCAACATGTACTCAAGAGATAAATAAACAGGGTGACATTATTTCCGATATCTTGTGATAGCGTTGTTAAAAAACAATGAAAAATGGTGAAGCAGCTCTTCAGGTTACAGGCCATCGCGATGATTATGCAAGGTCAAAGGACGTATTGTTACGCGTCTTAGGGAAACTGGGCGGGTTGCTGATAGACCTAAGTCTAGGCGTCCACATGTAAAGTCACAACGCCGGACAGGTTTATTCGTCTCGAGAATTTGCGTAATCGGCACCTTACTGCCACTGAATCTGCCCTTCGTACCATAGGTAATCATAACCGTCATGTTCATGCAAAAACTGTTAGGAAACGATTGCGGGAAGTTGGCCTGCGGGCACGTCACCCGTTTGTAGGTCTGCCCCCTTACCACTGCTCGTCGCCAGCGTCGTATGGCTCGGGTGGCGGTACATGCCCCCAGAATATTACCATGGAGACAGTGGAGGCGGGTCATGCTTACTGACGAGTCCCGGTTCACCCTGTTTCGAGCAGACGTTCGACGTCGTGTATATCGGCGTTTTGTACGTTTTGCCGATTGCTGCGTAGTAGAGACGGATAGGTTTGGAGTTGGATCTGTCGCGACTTTCTCACTAACAACAATATCCACCCACTGGACTGACCGCCATACCGCCCCGACCTATACCATATTGGGACCAGCTGGATAAACAGGTTCGACGACGCCAGTCTCCCCCTGTTACTCTGGCCCAACTTAGAGCAGCCCTCTTGGAAGAATAGGCCAACATCCCAATGAGGGGGATAAACTCACTCATGAATTCAATGAATAGGAGAATCAGGGCTGTGGAGAGAGCGAATTGGGGACATATCCGGTATTGACTAGCCAGCTTCTACAGTCAATTTCGATTTCAGATTACTGTGTTCTCTTACCCTTGCCTTACCAAATCACTTACCAGATACAATTCGTTCATTTTGCAGTTTCTTCTGTATGGAGTAATCTTCATTCTTACTTTAAATTATTGAACATTATATCCTCGACGTCTTGCCTAGAATCATCTTCAAAGTTTAACCTGCGTTTCTTTATCCATTGAGTATATATGAATGTTTAAGGTAAGTATACTCCATCCGAAGACGGGCAAGGACAACTTCGTTTGGTAGTTGTCTCATAGCACGGAGACCATTCACCGATGATAGGTTTTATGGAGCGCATTTTATTATCGGTATATTGATTTCATTCCTCCTGCCACTGAGCTTTTAAAATTGTTTGATAAATGGTTAAAAATCAGTAAAATGAATGGTCTTTGGTTCCTTTTGAAACAAATGTTTATAATTGGGATCAAATACAAGTGAAAAGACAGGATTTCAAGGATTTAACTTTAGTCGAATGGTGTATTGCAAAGCCAATTCATTTCGACGGCTATATAGTAATGGCTAGTTAGCCTGTACATAGAGGCTTGCTGTAGGTGTAGCCTTAAAAGCTCCGGAAGGGAGCCTCAGACCCTGGTGATGAACAGTGTCTAATTGGAGATATGAAGGTCTAGCAGATATACACACAATGGAACCGTGCTCTAATTTTGATCTAATAAGAGCTCTATAAAATTTTAGCAAAACTTTTCTACCAGCTCCCCAACCAATGTGGGACACTTCCTTGAGAATATTCAGTGTTTTAAGGCATTTGACGGTAATCTATTATATATGTGGAAGGAATGACAATTTCCCGTCGAATATTACACCTAGGAATTTGGTTTTTTCTACAACTGGAATGGTTACACCACAAAGAGAGAGATTTGGGTCGTCGAGCTGTCTCCGTCTCCGCATTTGACAAAAATGCATACAAACTGTTTTTGATTGTGAAAATTTAAATCCATTTTAAATATTTCTCAATGAGACAGAAAGACGTTCTAGCCTTGGTTACAGCATCAGCATCATACTCAGGACAGAAAGGTATTCTAGCCCTGGTTACAGCTTCAGCATCATACTCAGGACAGAAAGACATTCTAGCCCTGGTTACAGCTTCAGCATCATACTCAAGTCAGAAAGACGTTCTAGCCTTAGTTACAGCTTCAGCATCATACTCAAGACAGAAAGACATTCTATCACAGCTTCATCACCTTACAAGTCAGAAAGACATTCTAGCCTTAGTTACAGCTTCAGCATCATACTCAAGACAGAAAGACATTCTAGTCTTGGTTACAGCTTCATCACCTTACTCAAGACAGAAAGACGTTCTAGCCTTAGTTACAGCTTCAGCATCATACTCAAGACAGAAAGACATTCTAGTCTTGGTTACAGCTTCATCACCTTACTCAAGACAGAAAGACGTTCTAGTCTTGGTTACAGCTTCAGCATCATACTCAAGTCAGAAAGACGTTCTAGCCTTAGTTTTTTTTTTTAAAAAAAAATTTATTTTATTTTTCAAAGCATTTTAAACATACAGATAAGCAACCTTGCACACTCCACACATCAAAGTACTTGTACACCTCATGCATCCTATCATTGTATAGTCATCATCATCATCATCATCATCATCATCATTATTACTAGATATACAAGTACACAAACTTTCACACCCCCACATACCACAAAATGAGAGAAAAAAAAAATACGAAAATGTATTGAAATGGAGAGAGTAAATAATATGGAGAGAGAGAGAGAGAGAGAGAGAGAGAGAGAGAGAGAGAGAGAGAGAGAGAGAGAGAGAGAGAGAGAGAGAGAGAGAGAGAGAGGGAGAGAGGGAGAGGGAGAGAAAGAGAGATAGTTTACTGGGCTAGAGGTCAGATCTGATCATACTCAGTACAGAAAGACATTCTAGCCTTAGTTACAGCTTCAGCATCATACTCAGTACAGAAAGACATTCTAGCCTTGGTTACAGCTTCAGCATCATACTCAGGACAGAAAGACATTCTAGCCCTGGTTACAGCATCAGCATCATACTCAGTACAACAAGACATTCTAGCCCTGGTTACAGCTTCAGCATCATACTCAGTACAGAAAGACATTCTAGCCTTGGTTACAGCTTCAGCATCATACTCAGGACAGAAAGACATTCTAGCCCTGGTTACAGCATCAGCATCATACTCAGGACAGAAAGACATTCTAGCCTTGGTTACAGCATCAGCATCATACTCAAGACACAAAGACGTTCTAGTCTTTGAGCATCATCATCATACTCCCCCCTACACACACTCACATACACACACGGATATTAATATTAGTGAAGTGAGTGGTTCTGATTTTTCATTTAGTAAACATCAACTGTCATCTGACCCATATAAGGAAAATGATACTAAACATAGTAATTGTCTTTATATTTTATCCAATAATTATCGCTTTAAAAACTGCCGACAAAACGTTTCCAAAATCTGTTAGCTTATCTTCGCATCGAAGTTTGAGGAGGCATATAGTTTTGTTTGCTTTTCCGGGCTATTCCGATATTCGCCGAACTGTCCCGGTTATGAACAACGTGCCTTTACGGGCGTTATCGGGATAGTATTAAGCTTTCAGACAACTAAGACAACTGCAGGTTACGGTGCTTTCGACCTTTTACCTTAGGAAGGAGGTTCCGAGATGGCAGCTCTCGGGAAATCCTCGTTATTTTGCAGGTGTCTGATCTCATCAAAAGTGATCAGGGGTTCCAAACAATTATCACAGGTAAGTTATACCTTAAACCACTACGCTAATACATAAGTTACTGTAGAATACTTCCATTACCCAAATAGATATACCGGTGCGTGTCACAAATCAGAACGCGTGGCCGACAGGTGGTCCTGTAGGGTACCGGCGGGGATATTGTTTACATATGTACATAAATTTAGGATGGACATGTCGGTATTGTATCTATAGATAAGAAAACAATTTAAAGGAAATGGCAGACTTTAAATATCTCATAGGTCGATTCGAAAATATACTGGGTAAAGTTTGATTTATTTGAAATACCAAATTTACACCAGGATATTTTTATTTCTAATGTGCATGTCTGTTATATAACGCTCTGTTGGTTTGATAATGCTGGCACTATGATATCATATTTGCAGTCTCACATATATATATATATATATATACTCAAATTGGTGTAAACTCCGAATTTTTCATAAAAATAGCAAAAGCATATGTGGCGGGTGTCACGTGTTTTTGCTCTATTCGACAGTGATAAAAAACAGCTGTATTTTAGCACGTGCATTGATTCGACAAATTGACTTTCTGAACATACTTAAATATTACGTTTAAACATTTAAAAAGTTGTTGAAATAAGCGATTTTAAATTTTCTAATGAAAATTCACAAAGTCGCTGTTTTATCCTCTGAAGTTCGGAACTATATTTTCGCGAGCAATTATTTTGGCGTCCGTCATTAGGCAATTAACACAGATTGAACAACAAAACTGTTTCAGTTTCAATACTCTGATTTTCAATCAATGTTGCAGGATAAATAGAATTCATGATCAGTGTCTTAGAATATTAACTGCGTTTTGGCGAGAGTGAAGAAGGACAAGCCAGTGAGCCTATGGAGAGCAACTTTGTTTTTGGTCCCAGTTCATGTTTTCTTTATGTATATACAGTTGTACATATAGTAGTATATACATTTGTATATGTATGTACAAATTCACCATTACTCATCCTCTGTATTACATTTCTCTGCAGGATACCGCCATCAGACATGGACTCGTGGGCATGGTTGGAAGGTATATACACACCCTAATTACTTGTCTGTTTCTATGTTTATATAAGGAAACATTTAAGCTTGATATTACGATAATTACTACAACCAGTGCTATCTAAATAGTGGCGATGTTGGACAGCAACGTCGCAAATCATTTAAGTTAAATTCTCTTGAAATGAAGTGGAGTAGTAAAATTCTACACCATTAACCTGCGACAAGGACAAACCACAAAAATTCAGATATAGAAAATAGCCCTGTCTTTCCAACACAGATGTTTGGGAAATCGTTGTAGAAAAGACTCACGGGTGAACAGCACCCTTTAATACAAATTTACAGTACAGCAAGACAACTAACTTAACGGATTCTACAGCTGTATCTTCCTTATGTGTCTCATCGGTGATGCCAAGTAAAAAACGGTTTAGGAAGAGGATAAGATCTGAAGTGTATTGTTCCCTGGTACAATATTGTTTAGAAAGAAGATAAGATCTCAGGTGTATTGGTCCCTGGTACAATATTGTTTAGAAAGAGGATAAGATCCCTTGAGAAATGTTCAGTGGTATAATAATGCCTAATGCTTGCTACCTACCGTGTCCTATACCTTTGCTGTATACTACTGTATCTTAACTGTTATATGTTAACTACATACATCTTGTCTCCTACTGTCTTTCAGAAAGCAAACTTTTACAAACAAACACGGCAACAGTTTAAACGACTTAAGATCAATTCCAGATGTCCTTCAGCAAATTCGGCCTAACAAAGCTAATCTTTCTAGACCGTTTTTCAAGACCAGACATCAATATCTGTCAGATTAGTTGTCTGATATTTTGGTCCTTGTATGTAAACACTGTTATATAGTGAAATACAAAGTACATCTATATACATTATATGTAAAGTCTATTATATAGTGATATACAGAGTACATCTATATACATTGAAGTTGTGGAGAACATATTTCCAACACAGAAACAAATTATTAAACCGTCGTTGGTAACATCGAAACATTGTCTAATTACATTCAATGATACAATCAAATAACGCGGCTAAAATAAAACTGATTATTCATTTTTGAAAAAAAATTTTCCTTTCTAATTATTTTGATTTAGATCTCAGTATATTTTCCTGTTTCTTACAATAATTACATTTTGTTGATAACCAAACTAACTCTACCTACACATCATCCAATTTATCAAAACACAAAATAAAAGAAAATGCCAAAATGTCAATAAAACTAAGACAAAAAACATCGAGAAAATGCCAACATGGCAACACAATCATAATACAAACTCAAATGCCATAAAAGACCAGGTGTTCCGGAAGAGTAAACGTCTTCTGCTTCCAAGTAAGTAATGTCTCAATCGAGAACAAGGAATACAACGGAACCAACATCCACACTAACCAATATTAAATACATCCAGCATCATGTCCAGCAAAATATGAACAAAGTGAGATTTACTCGTGGTGTTGCGGAAAGGTAAGCGTCTGCTTCATCGACGACACCTGCCATGAGAATCTTTGTCAGTCCAAGTAAGTAATGGCACCTCCTCCAATAAGAAAAATGTATTTATCAATGGAATCAACAGGCAAACTTTCCTTAATAAGACCAGACTCTTTGGGAATACCGGTTAATAATAATACGGACCTTCCTCGCTTGTTTTAGATTGATAAACATCACAAAATCCGTATAAACGCACTTCTTTGCTGTCGCGTGTAATTGTTCAAACAAACCTACATGCGAGTTTTTTTTTTCTACCATCCGTTGTACCGTTGGAGCTAGGGTGACACCGTAAAATCCATATGTGGAGTAAACGGGATGGGAATTTTAAAAGAACTCCAGAAATACATTTTGATTCATCTGGAACATCCGTTATTTCATCGATAAGGGCATTTTCAAAACTGTATAATAACCTACTCTAATCTAAAGCAGAAAGGAATGTTTTCTTTCCAAAACAACAATTATATGATTATCTCATTAAGGCGTGTGTTAGGGAACTACGTCTAAAGTGAACATACACTGCGAATGAAACGTTTGATGAATTAGACGGTAAGATCTGCCGAGACATGTTTGACACACCAAAGCGTATTGACTGTCCTACTCTGTTGGCGGACTTCTTATTTTTAATATGCGTGTGTGTATGATTCAGTTTAGTTCATTTTTTGGCAATGCTGTATCTCACTTCTGATTTTATTTTAAGATGCCATTCACTTGTTGGTCTTTTGTAGAATCTGTACATCAAAACCCTCGCTAAATCACTCTAATGCATTAATTATATCGTTAATGTCCTTTTCATTGAACGACAAATGTATTGATCAGGTCCCCTGGATTTACCCTCCACAATTCTAAAGTAAGGCCACAACAGACAAGGTTTGATCGTTTTCTCAGTACACTGTGATCTTATCACTTTAATATCGTATCGTTAATATATTTCTGGATTATATTGTTTACATGTCACAGTTAATTCGATATTCAAAGCCCATGTCCAGCTATCACGATATCCGTGATAGGGGCCGACACCTGACTGGGGGAAAACAAGTCGGGCTTTCGAGAGATATGTGTAAATGAGAAAGTTTCGTCAACGCTGTCGCGATCTGTTGGGATACTTTCCTATTTCCCGTCTTAGATGTTTTTACGTCATTTTTTTTATACACAAACTGATTTCGTCCTTGTAAACGTGCTTTCAATTTCAAAATGTGATATTTCTTAGACTGGGCCAGACTTTTGAAAGCCAGTATTATCTCTTCATTTTCCAGAGCACATTATCTCAATCTCCTTTACACGTGTCTTTGTTCATTATTTTGTTGGCGTTTCATCAATAATGGTATAGAATTTCGACTTCGTCAGCCTATTTTTAATTATCGATAAACGGAACAGTTGAGTAGAATATTTACTTATTTATTAATTTATATGTTTACTTTTTTTTTCTAAATTACAGAACACCACTGATCCGGTTGAATAAGCTCAGTGACGAAACAGGTAATATACTTAGTTTAAAAATGTAACTTGTCTATAATTTTACGATCTCGGATTTCCTGTTTAAACATGTACGTACTTATCAAAGTTTCCTATCACACACAATAATTTATCGCTTCAAACTACTTGAAACGTACATTGTAATACATGTTACTGATTTGAAAGGTTGCGAGATCCTGGCCAAAGCAGAGTTCTGTAACGGTGGAGGCTCCGTGAAAGACAGGGCAGCATTGTTCCTCATTAAGGATGCTGAAGAAAAAGGTGACGTCTCTTTCAGTATTTCTAGTAATTATCAAGTCTATCCATCAGTATTTTAAATTGTAAATGACACAAAGTTACCTTTCAACATTTCATATCTAGGTCTATTAAAACCGGGAGGCACGGTGGTAGAAGGAACAGCCGGAAATACTGGGATCGGACTAGCACACATTTGTCTTGCTCTCGGTTACAAATGTGTCATTTACATGCCAAATAACCAATCACAGGTGAGATCAGCCACAAGTGATTATCCAGTCACAGGTGAGAATAGCGATAAATGATTACCCAATCACAGATGTGTGTGTATTTGTTGGTGTTATGGACGGTTGTAGTGTATGGTGATGTGTGTGTATTTGTTGTTGTTATGGACGGTTGTAGTGTATGGTGATGTGTGTGTATTTGTTGTTGTTATGGACGGTTGTAGTGTATGGTGATGTGTGTGTATTTGTTGTTGTTGTTATGGACGGTTGTAGTGTATGGTGATGTGTGTGTATTTGTTGTTGTTATGGACGGTTGTAGTGTATGGTGATGTGTGTGTATTTGTTGTTGTTATGGACGGTTGTAGTGTATGGTGATGTGTGTGTATTTGTTGTTGTTATGTATTTGTTGTTGGTGTTATGGACGGTTGTACGTGTGTGTAGTGTATGTAGTGATGTGTGTGTATTTGTTGTTGTGTGTGTATGGACGGTTGTAGTGTATGGTGATGTGTGTGTATTTGTTGTTGTTGTTATGGACGGTTGTAGTGTATGGTGATGTGTGTGTATTTGTTGTTGGTGTTATGGACGGTTGTAGTGTATGGTGATGTGTGTGTATTTGTTGTTATGGACGGTTGTAGTGTATGGTGATGTGTGTGTATTTGTTGTTGTTATGGACTGTATGGTGATGTGTGTGTATTTGTTGTTGTTATGGACGGTTGTAGTGTATGGTGATGTGTGTGTATTTGTTGTTATGGACGGTTGTAGTGTATGGTGATGTGTGTGTATTTGTTGTTGTGGACGGTTGTAGTGTATGGTGATGTGTGTGTATTTGTTGTTGTGTTATGGACGGTTGTAGTGTATGGTGATGTGTGTGTATTTGTGTATGGTGATGTGTGTGTATTTGTTGTTGTTTATGGACGGTTGTAGTGTATGGTGTGTGTGTATGTGTGTGTATTTGTTGTTGTATGGTGATGTGTGTGTATTTGTTGTTTTTGTTTTGGACGGTTGTAGTGTATGGTGATGTGTGTGTATTTGTTGTTGTTGTTATGGACGGTTGTAGTGTATGGTGATGTGTGTGTATTTGTTGTTGTTATGGACGGTTGTAGTGTATGGTGATGTGTGTGTATTTGTTGTTGGTGTTATGGACGGTTGTAGTGTATGGTGATGTGTGTGTATTTGTTGTTGTTATGGACGGTTGTAGTGTATGTATTTGTATGTGTGTGTGTGTATTTGTTGTTGTGTTATGGACGGTTGTAGTGTATGGTGATGTGTGTGTATTTGTTTTTGTTGTTATGGACGGTTGTAGTGTATGGTGATGTGTGTGTATTTGTTGTTGTTATGGACGGTTGTAGTGTATGGTGATGTGTGTGTATTTGTTGTTATGGACGGTTGTAGTGTATGGTGATGTGTGTGTATTTGTTGTTGGTGTTATGGACGGTTGTAGTGTATGGTGATGTGTGTGTATTTGTTGTTGTTATGGACGGTAGTAGAGTATGTAGATTAGTGTGTAAGTTGTTGTGTATGGACGGTTGTAGTGTATGGTGATGTGTGTGTATTTGTTGTTGGTGTTATGGACGGTTGTAGTGTATGTTGATGTGTGTGTATTTGTTGTTGTTCTGGTCGGTTGTTGTGTATGGTGATGTGTGTGTTTTTGTTGTTGGTGTTATGGACGGTTGTAGTGTATGGTGATGTGTGTGTATTTGTTGTTTTTGTTTTGGACGGTTGTAGTGTATGGTGATGTGTGTGTATTTGTTGTTGGTGTTATGGACGGTTGTAGTGTATGGTGATGTGTGTGTATTTGTTGGTGTTATGGACGGTTGTAGTGTATGGTGATGTGTGTGTATTTGTTGTTGTTGTTATGGACGGTTGTAGTGTATGGTGATGTGTGTGTATTTGTTGTTGTTGTTATGGACGGTTGTAGTGTATGGTGATGTGTGTGTATTTGTTGTTGTTGTTATGGACGGTTGTAGTGTATGTTGATGTGTGTGTATTTGTTGTGTATTTGTTGTTATGGACGGTTGTAGTGTATGGTGATGTGTGTGTATTTGTTGTTGGTGTTATGGACGGTTGTAGTGTATGGTGATGTGTGTGTATTTGTTGTTATGGACGGTTGTAGTGTATGGTGATGTGTGTGTATTTGTTGTTGGTGTTATGGACGGTTGTAGTGTATGGTGATGTGTGTGTATTTGTTGTTGTTGTTATGGACGGTTGTAGTGTATGGTGATGTGTGTGTATTTGTTGTTGGTGTTATGGACGGTTGTAGTGTATGGTGATGTGTGTGTATTTGTTGTTGTTGTTATGGACGGTTGTAGTGTATGGTGATGTGTGTGTATTTGTTGTTGTTGTTATGGACGGTTGTAGTGTATGGTGATGTGTGTGTATTTGTTGTTGTTATGGACGGTTGTAGTGTATGGTGATGTGTGTGTATTTGTTGTTATGGACGGTTGTGGTGTATGGTGATGTGTGTGTATTTGTTGTTGTTATGGACGGTTGTAGTGTATGGTGATGTGTGTGTATTTGTTGTTGTTATGGACGGTGTGTGTGTATGTATGTGTGTGTGTATGTGTGTGTATTTGTTGTGTGTGTATTTGTTATGGACGGTTGTAGTGTATGGTGATGTGTGTGTATTTGTTGTTGGTGTTATGGACGGTTGTGGTGTATGGTGATGTGTGTGTATTTGTTGTTGGTGTTATAGACGGTTGTGGTGTACGGTGATGTGTGTGTATTTGTTGTTGTTATGGACGGTTGTAGTGTATGGTGATGTGTGTGTATTTGTTGGTGTTATGGACGGTTGTAGTGTATGGTGATGTGTGTGTATTTGTTGTTGTTGTTATGGACGGTTGTAGTGTATGGTGATGTGTGTGTATTTGTTGTTGTTGTTATGGACGGTTGTAGTGTATGGTGATGTGTGTGTATTTGTTGTTGGTGTTATGGACGGTTGTAGTGTATGGTGATGTGTGTGTATTTGTTGTTGGTGTTATGGACGGTTGTAGTGTATGGTGATGTGTGTGTATTTGTTGTTATGGACGGTTGTAGTGTATGGTGATGTGTGTGTATTTGTTGTTATGGACGGTTGTAGTGTATGGTGATGTGTGTGTATTTGTTGTTGTTGTTATGGACGGTTGTAGTGTATGGTGATGTGTGTGTATTTGTTGTTGGTGTTATGGACGGTTGGGAAGACGTCCCGCCAAGCATGTTTCCATACCATTATAATCCACCATGAAATTTGTGGGTTATTATATATCGTTGTTTAAAGGTCGTTCACATTTATGTAACATTAACAAATAATCTGATCAAACAGAAACAGCATATACAGAAAATCTAGCTGAATTCCTTTAAATGATAAATGAAGACATTTATTAAAACGAAGGTCGTCATTACGTACAACTGGTTTTCTTGGCCAGTTTTAATAATCTCCGGTGTCATATTTCATTCATCTTACTGAACCAATCCTAATCTTGTCATTGGAAAGGATTTGACCCGTGGATAGATAGTTATATTAAGGACCTCGGTGACATATAGTATTTATTGTTATACTGATCACTCAGAGGGATGCATGCCATGGGTTCCTCTTTGTTCATCTAACCAGTCATTGGTAATCTGTTTGTGTTATTTAAACAAAAATTGCTTATAATCAGGATATAACTTGACTGGATGTGGACATTACGTTTATTCTAGAATTTTTTATCGTAACGTTACAAGTCTAAAGACCCTTTTTGAAACTGTTGAGATTTATAAAATTGTGTGATATCTGAATGATGTTAGCCTATATTTCAGACTATGACTACCATTTTAATAATTCGTGATGATATAACCATTTCAGATTTTTAGCATTTGTCTTTCACCTTGTAGTTAGCTTGATGTTATTTCCATTTTGGATTACAATGTGCTTCACCGGTTGATGGTCCTAATGATCTTTCATGTGTTTACGGGCCGTAACGATTGCAATAATAATAATAGTAATACTATTATCATTAGGCCGATAGATATGCACAAAGTCTCAGTAACGCCGTATGGACTAACCAGTTTGACAACACAGCCAATAAAAGGGCCCATATAGAGACTACTGGACCAGAGATATGGCAACAGACGGGTAAGTTGTAGCGACGTGACGTTTACCATGGTGAGATCTGACAACAGACGGGTAAGTTGTAGCGACGTGACGTTTACCATGGTGAGATCTGACAACAGACGGGTAAGTTGTAGCGACGTGACGTTTACCATGTTGAGATCTGACAACAGACGGGTAAGTTTTAGCGACGTGACATTTACCATGGTGAGATCTGACAACAGACGGGTAAGTTGTACTGACGTGACATTTACCATGGTGAGATCTGACAACAGACGGGTAAGTTGTACTGACGTGACATTTACCATGGTGAGATCTGACAACAGACGGGTAAGTTGTACTGACGTGACATTTACCATGGTGAGATCTGACAACAGACGGGTAAGTTGTACTGACGTGACATTTACCATGGTGAGATCTGACAACAGACGGGTAAGTTGTACTGACGTGACATTTACCATGTTGAGATATGGCAACAGACGGGTAAGTTGTAGCGACGTGACGTTTACCATGGTGAGATCTGACAACAGACGGGTAAGTTGTAGCGACGTGACGTTTACCATGGTGAGATCTGACAACAGACGGGTAAGTTGTAGCGACGTGACGTTTACCATGTTGAGATCTGACAACAGACGGGTAAGTTTTAGCGACGTGACATTTACCATGGTGAGATCTGACAACAGACGGGTAAGTTGTACTGACGTGACGTTTACCATGTTGAGATCTGACAACAGACGGGTAAGTTTTAGCGACGTGACGTTTACCATGGTGAGATCTGACAACAGACGGGTAAGTTGTAGCGACGTGACATTTACCATTGTGAGATCTGACAACAGACGGGTAAGTTGTAATGACGTGACATTTACCATGGTGAGATCTGACAACAGACGGGTAAGTTGTAGCGACGTGACGTTTACCATGTTGAGATCTGACAACAGACGGGTAAGTTGTACTGACGTGACGTTTACCATGGTGAGATCTGACAACAGACGGATAAGTTGTAGCGACGTGACGTTTACCATTGTGAGATCTGACAACAGACGGGTAAGTTGTAATGACGTGACATTTACCATGGTGAGATCTGACAACAGACGGGTAAGTTGTAGCGACGTGACGTTTACCATGGTGAGATATGACAACAAACGGGTAAGTTGTAGCGACGTGACGTTTACCATGGTGAGATCTGACAACAGACGGGTAAGTTGTAGCGACGTGACGTTTAACATCTGAAAACAGACGGGTAAGTTGTACTGACGTGACATTTACCATGGTGAGATCTGACAACAGACGGGTAAGTTGTACTGACGTGACGTTTACCACGGTGAGATCTGACAACAGACGGGTAAGTTGTAATGACGTGTTGTTTACCTTGGTAACAATTTAATTGATTTTTCTAAATTTTGGACTCGTTGTTGACAACTTTGATGTCGCAAAATGGGAAAGAAATATAAAGTAAAAACGGTCATCTGACAACAATATAATAGCAAACGGTTTATGAAATGTACCGCATCATTGGTACCGAACCAAAGGTACCGCATCAAACCTTATTGTATATTATAGTAAGAGGTGCGAGTTCTAGTATTGTCCTTTTACGCCATCACTTTTCTTATGAACATGTTAGCTGAATCCGGATTTCAATTACATTTACAGCCTACTCAAACCTTGGCTGGCATTGTGCTATTGGGAACTCGATGTATTCACAAAGATATTTTAGTAAAATAAACATGTAAATAAGCTATGTTCTTTTCTTAGCAAGACTTATCGAAAGGGACTTCAGACTATTGTCCTGATTGATAAGTACTTATACCAGGGACTTATACTAGACATATTCTGTATAGTTTCTATATACTTTTGATTTAACATTCGATACTTTACAAACAGATGGAAAGGTGAACGCTGTAGTATTCGGTACTGGAACTGGTGGTACGCTTGCAGGTAAGTAGGCATAAATGAGTACACACATACCCATACTCATCTAGATTTGAACACGGCCGGATTGATATCTAATGATGTTAAATCGACTGAATTACAAATGTCTTTTTCTATTAATTGTCGATAATTTACGCTATGTATATCTTTATATATAGAGTGTACTTTGTTATATAGATAAGAGGTTGATCAATGGTTTACTGTGAAATAGATTTATATACATAAAAACAAGAACAAAAAAACAAGGGAGATAACTACGACAACACAATAACAGCGTGTATATCAAACTCATGATCATATATGTACAGTGTAAATGATACAGATACATGACATACGAGTTCCAATGATTCATAGTGATACAGACGTGTGTTGTTTGGCTTATCACTAGGTGTAAAACTTAGTGTAGGAATGGAAATTGTGTGTATAATTGGAAATTTGCCCGCGGATATTTTCGTTACAAGAAGAACAGTATCCCCCGTAGAAATGAAAAGAAGACTGTGTATATCTCTGTTCATAGTATAGTGGACTTCTTAGAATATAGTGAGTCACATTTTATTATCAAAGGAATAAACACATGCCAGTCCATTTATAAGTTGATTTAGGTGTAAGCCACACACACACACACACACACACACACACACACAAAATTCAGATCCTTACAGGAGTTTATATGTTGACAGTGAGCGACGAGGTAAGGATTGATGTAAGTCTGTAATGGGTACATCATATACTAAGCTCAAATACCATTCTCAGTACTTGTCAGTTTAACTGAAAGTGAAATTGAATTATAAGGTATTTGTGACCTGTTTTGGTAAATTGTTCCGTCTCACATGGAAATAATGACAGATCAGCTATGAAAGGCAACTGGATATACACTAGACTGTGGTAAAACCTTACTACTACAATTCTGTACAAATCAAGCTAGGGATTCTGTAACGATCCCCAGTTTACTTAGACAGTCTCCCTGTAAATCTTTTACCCTGGTCTCAGTGAACGTATTATAGAACCATGACAATGTGTCGGCATTTTGTTGGTTGTTTCCTACGAAATATGCCATATGGTAGTCCACAGTGGAACTCTATTTGTACCGTCGTTTACTTTGTGAAGAAAGTTAAATGTTCTAGACGAGCCATCAATCGAACGATGCTGATATGGATTCTTCCTACTTTTAGGAACAAGTGAGGAAGGTTTGTAATCATTCATTCATGAATTTCTAAATTTCTATAAACTGAAATTACATGTCGTCATAGAGAATTGGTAAGTAAGGGTACAGTATCTATTCCTTTATAATAATAAACTTTATTTATTTTACAACAATTGCGAAGCAAGTTTTTCCAACTTATATTAATCACTCTTGTTGGCTCTGATGGAAGCGCGCGAAGGGTCTTAGTGTGGGAGGAAACCGGAGTACCCAGGGAAAACCCACGTGGTCGGGCAGGTGACCTCATACCTTTTCACATCCCTATAAGAAAATAAGAAATATTCCATTACCTGTTGATATCCAACTTAAACTATTTGATTCACTTGTGTCACCTATTCTATTATATGCATGTGAAATATGGGGATTCGAGAATGTAACTAGCGTTGAAAAAATACATCTACAATTTTGTAAAAGAATTCTTAAATTAAGAAGTAATACCCCAAATTATATGCTATATGGGGAACTTGGTCGTCATCCACTAGAAATTAATATTAAGACTCGAATGGTGACTTTTTGGCATAGAATTATTACAGATGAGAATAAATTATCATGTATACTCTATAATTCAATGAACAAACTTCAGTCACAAGATCAAATCGGTTTCAAATGGTTGAAGTCCATAAAGTCAATACTAGATAACACTGGATACAGCAGTGTATGGAATAACCAACATATATATACTGTTGATAGAATCTTTTTGAAGTCTAAAGTTAAACAAAGATTAATTGATCAGTTTATTCAGAAGTGGTACCATGACACTGATATTTCTTCACGTGGAGAAACTTACTCAATCTTTAAAAGCCAATGGGAATTAGAGACTTATTTAATTAAACTAAACCCAGAAGATAGAAAAAACATTGTGTAGATTTAGAACATCTAATTGTAAGTTACCATTTCATTTCAGTAATAATTACCATAACTTTAGTATGCAAATACAGTACCTACACCCATCTTTGTATCCCAACAACAAAAGATTCAAAAGAAAAACAATCCCGCCCTCCCTACGATCCATGAGCCATCACGGCAGGAACGCAGAGTGATCTCCCTTCCTCTTACCTTTATGGCTGCCGACGAGTGCGGGGGTGTCTGAGCTAAGTGCTTTTCTTACTCCTTCTCTTCGTACTGCCATTGTCGTTTGAGTATATTGTTACTCTATTAGTAGTCTATAAACCCATCTCCCAACTTATATTGTGAAATTAAGTATTGTCATTTGTTTATTTTGACCGTATTTCCGGCCGTTTTTTCCTCCACGTATTCGAGTGCGTGACTACTTGTCTCGTTGCTCGGATTTGCGTGAAGTTGGAATTTGTTTTCTTGCTGCTTTGTCGGCCGTGTTGTACGGCCGTTTTATTTATGCAGTGCAATCTTGCTGCGTACGGTAGGCTTTGTGCTCTCGGTCGTAGTTTTTTGATTGTTCGAGAACTTCGTTTCCGGCCGTGGTTTTCCTCCGTGTGTTCGAGTGCGTGACTACTTGTCTCGTCACTCGGATTTTCGTGAAGTTGAAATTGTTTTCTTGCTGCTTTGTCGGCCGTTTTGTACGACCGTTTTCTTTTTTTGCAGTACAATCTTGCTGCGTACGGTAGGTTTTATGATCTCGTTCGTAGTTTTTTGATTGTTAGAAAACTTTTTATCCTTGTTTTCATTGTTACAATTTTTTATTGTTTCGATGCTGGATAAAGGTGCCGGGTTTACGTCGGGGGTCAGCGCATGGATGTTCCTATTTCTATAGATAATGGGAACCCCATGATACCTGTCCCATTTGCCGACATTACAGCCAGACCTCACTATGTGAACTTTGTTTGCACATGGAGTCTGCTGCTTAGGCTCCCATGCCTTTCCAGCTAACTTTCCGCCGGAAGAGGGATTCGTCCTCTTCTTCCGGTAAGGGAAGTAAGCTTTTTAAGACCTCCCTCCTGAAGTTCTGAACCAGAGCGTTCCTGCTGGGGGTGCTCTCGTTCCACCGAGCTCCGCCCTTCAGCAGGGGGTGGCTCCCCCTGTCCAGGTGCGTCCTGGAGTAGGGGTGGGGGGGGCAGCCCGACCCTGACTCGGCGCAGTCAAGGGTCGAATTGGCCGGTAGCTCTCGATAGGCGGCGGTGTTACCGTCGGAAAGGGACTTCCGGTCGAGGTCTCTGATTCCTTCAGGGATCTCGGCACGCCAGGTGGCGTCGTTGGTGGGGGCCGCTTTGACTCCGGAACTGTGCCTTCGGGTATAGGTTCAGGGGCCACAGACTTTTTGTCAGGATTGTCTGTGGCTACGGGGATTAGTGACACTTGAGTTCACTAATCCTGGTGTCAGCGCGGGGTCTGTTTTCCCACCCTCACAGGCTTCTGGCTCTGGGACTTCCGTCCCAATCCAGATTTCCCAGTGCAGGGTTTCCCAGGGGGTTTTCCTCCAAGGGTTTGGGGCTTCAGGCCAGGAGTCCGGTTTCCGGTCTCCCTTTCACCCGGGCTCAGGGAGTAGGGGTGCCTGCGGGCACTTATTCCTGGGTCGCCCAGGCCAACCTGCGGATGGTTTTGGGTACCAACAGTTACTCAGCAGTTACGGGCTTAGCCCGTACATGTCTGGGTTTCCACCTGGTGGGAGTGGCGGTTCATCCTGGTCCTTTGGACAGGATGTCCAGCCCCAGACTCAGGCAGGCCATCTTGGCCAGTTCTGGGGTCACTCCCGGCCCGCTGGACCGTTCCCATTCCCTCAGGGGTTTGGGTTTTTACCCCATGGGTCTTCACTCGTGGAACCCATAGGGGTTGGTCTCTCCTCTAGGAGATGTTATAGCAGTGCGGAATCCCCCCAATGTTCTGCTACTTCGGGGGCCTTGTTGGCCAGTCCTATAAAGGTTTGCCAGACCTTAAGGACTTCCGCCTCCAGCGCGGACCCGTCGGTCTCCTGTTCCCAGGGGTCGGCTTCGGGTCTCCGACCCAAGCCTACAGCTACAGCTGTTGGTCGCGCTGCGTCCAAATGCCATAAAGAGGAGTTCCCCTCTGCGGAGATGGCTCCTCTGGTGGCCCCTGTTCCTCCCAAGGGGACTTCGGTCTCTATTGAGGAGGAGATGGACATCGAGGGTGCGGGCTCGGCAGAGGAAGACGATGTCATTCATCTTTCTCCTGGGCCAAGAGGGTTCACAAGGGGAAGATGGCCCTGAGACTGCTGAAGCCGAGGCTCAGCATGTGCTTTCTGGGATGCGGGTCCTCCGGGCCAACATCTCCCGGATTCTCAGGGCGGAGGTTTGCCCACCGCCTCAGCATCGTCGGCGCCTGAATCCACCATCCTTCTGGGTTCCCTGGTGGCTCCTCGGGCTTCCGTTCGCTCAGATCGGTCTCTGCCAGAAGGCAATATCATGTCTTCGGTTCTGGCCACGGCCCGGGCTCCGGTTTTAGAGAAGGACTCCTTCTCTACCCGTGCTCCCGGGTTTGTCGGTCTGCAGCTCAGTGTTGGTGAATTGTCGGAGGCTTCAGCTTCCGACTATGCCACACATGATGGGCATCTGGCCTCTCAACCAGCACAGCTGGAGTTGAGACAGCTGGCTGCCTGGCCCGGCAAATCAATGGACCAGGTGGTGCTCGATCCCAAAGAGCACCACAGGATGGAGAGAATGTTGCACCTCTCCATCCAAGTTCTGTCATACATAGACTTCCTGACAGTTTGTCTCTACAGGGTATCCGATTTGCCTGAGTGTCGGTTATCCGAGACAGAACAGCCGACATACAGGACACGGCAGCCTTGCAGGTTCTCTGCTCGTCAATGCCGTGTTGGCTAGGCAGTTTTCAGTTCTGAAATTCCGCCCAGTCCAGTAACCCTACCGTTTCCGCTTGTTGAATGCCCCCTTCTAGGGCTCTACCCTGTTCAGGGGAGCTCTTCCTTGGGTTCAGAAGGATATGAAGGAGGACTCGGTCGCCTCAGCACTTCTGGTGAAGAGGTTTCAGGCTGAGAAGGCCAGTGCCTCGCAGGGGTCAGTGCCTCCTAAGAAGAAGGCGAAGTCTTCGGCTGCTCAGTTTTCTGCACAGCCCAAGTCCCAACCTCACTTCAACGGCAACAAGGGGAAGGGTAGGAAGGGTAAGAAACCTCCTGGGGGCAAGAAGAAGGGTTCCTGACTATTTCTGCTTCTTGGCTGCGAAAGGCGAAGGGTATGGCCGGGTGGACGGTGGTTCTCCATTCCCGGGCTCATGTCCTTCTCCTGCAGGCTCAGGCTCCGGGTGGGCAGATGATTCTCTGGTCTGGCAGGGGCTCGATCTGCCCCATCCGGAACTCCCTGTGGGCGGACGTCTCTCTGCTTTCCTTTCCTAGTGGCAGGATATTACAGAGGACGCTTGGGCTTTTGTCGGTGGTCAGGGAGGGTCTAGGTATTCCCCTTCTTCAGGATTCGTCCCTCGCCTCCTGGCCGTTTTTGTTTCTTTCCTCCTCCCCGGGATTCAGAAAGGGCACGGGTGCTCCAGGAGGAAGTAGGGACCATGCTGCCAAGGCAGAGATGCCCTTGGGGCTCACGACAGCTCCTTTGGTGTTCACCAAGTTGCTACTGGTGTTTCCTTCACTCCTGCAGAATAGACGTCCACATCTATTTCGACGACTCCCTCATGCCTCTTTTGGTGTGGGAATCGTTAGTGAAGGACACTCGTCTGGTCCTGAAACTCTTGCTCAGAGTCGGCTTCATTCCTTCCAGAGAGAAGTGAGAGGTTCCTTCATATTAGGACTTCTTCTTCCTGGGGAACCATTTTGACATGGTTCGGGGCTTAGCCCTTCCACCTCTGGAGAAGTTTGAGAAGGTCAGGGCTCTGGCTCTGACTTTCATCACTTGGTCGCTTGTCCAGGTACATTGGTTCCTCAGTTTTCTGGGGTATCTCAACTCCTTGGCATATGTGGTCCCCCTAGGGAGGATTCACATCGGACCTCTCCAGATGTTCCTCCTGTCTGACTGGGTTCCGTCATCCAGGAGGCCTGGATCCCGCTTACCCAGTCGGTCAGGGAGTTCTCTTGCTGGTGGACCATTCAGGAGAACGTTTTCCACGGGGTACCTCTGACCAAGCCTATCCCCTCTATGATCCTGTTCATGGACGCGTTCATGACAGGAATGTGAGCTTACCTCGATGGCCAATGCCGCTTGGGGGAGTGGTCTGGCGAACAACTCTCGGAGCACATCAGTGTACTCGAGATGAGACTGTTCATTTGGCTCTGCAGTCCTTTAGGGGTATCCTGCAGTCCAAAGTGTGGCTACCGACAACAGTTGTCGCGTATCTGGAGAGACAGGGGCCACCAGGTCTCATGTCCTGTGTGCCCTCTCCATCCACATCCATCTTCTCTGCCAGGACATGCAGTTGACCATAGCGGTCAAGCATCTTTCTGGCAGGCTGAGTGTGTCGGTGGCCACTCTCCAGGCGCCACCAGCCGGTGTTGACGGAATGGCAGCTGTGTCCCTTGATTTTCAAGGGGAATTGTCAGGCGTGGGACAGACCTATTATAGACCTGTTTGCCACTTCCCTGAACAACCAGCTGCTAACCTTCGTCTCCCCGGTCCCAGACCGTAAGGCGTGGGCTGTGGACGCCCTTTCTCTGGAATAGGAAGGGACGTATGCATATGCATTCCCTCCCTTCAACCTGGTGGGCAGGGTTCTACAGAAGTTCTGGGAGCATCACTGCTCCTTACTTCTGAGAGCCCCTCTGTGGCCGAGGCAAGCTTGGTTTCAGGAGCTCTTGTCGTTTCTGGTGGAGGAGCCCTTGGCTCTCCCCACCAGACCGAATCTCCTTCGCCAGCCTTGGCCCAGAACGACACACTCTTGACCAGAGATCCTCCACCTTCACGCGCTGAGGCTATCTCTGGAAGCCACGCCAAGGCAGGCTTTTCTCAAGAGGTGTCAGATTGCATTGAGCAATCAATCAGGGCTTCCTCTTCTGCCGTCTACCAGTCACGTTGGATGATCTTCTGTGATTGGTGTGTCGGCAAGGAAGCTTATTCATTCGAAGCCTCTGCATTTGATTGCGGAATTCCTAATCTCTCTGTTTAGGTACCGCTATCTGCCACCTGGCACTATTGCTGGCTATCGTACAGCTATTGCCAGAGTTCTTGCTTGTTATGGCAGGAAGGAGATCGGTTAGTCCTCCTCTCTTTCTGCCCTAATTAGAGGCTTTGCTATGAATAGAGTTGTTTTTAGCGAAGAATCAGGTTCCGGGGTTCTCGCACGATCCCATCAGGATCCTGGCTGTGACTAGCTCGGAGGAGCGAGATAGGTTGCTTTGTCCTTGTCGGGCTCTTAGGTTTTATCTTGATCTCTCGATCCCGGTTTCCAGGTGGGTTTGCCAGGTGATTTAGTATGCTTACGAGCATTTTGATGATCTGGCTCGGGCGAGAGCGAAAGCGCGGTCTCACGAGGTCAGGGCCCTTGCTTCATCCTGGGCCCTTCTCTCAATGAGTCCTCCTTTCAGGAGGTCATGTCTGCAGTATTCTGGCAGGGCAGGGATACCTTAACAGATTTTTATCTGTGATCCCTAGCTTCCCACTCAGAAGGCCTGTATTCATTGGGACCTTTGGTGGTGGCATAGTCAGTGGCTGGGCCTCCTCGTTAGCCCCGGGCCATGTCTTTCCGTACGGCGGCATGTGGGTACACCTGCTCTTTCACAGAGAGGTCCCTTCCTTCACTTTAGCACTCTGTTCTCCCTCCCTACTACTTTGGTTGTGCTGAAGGGGCTGCCTGGCTTCTAGTCACCACTACGGTAAGACGAATTCGCATACTAAAGTTATGGTAATTATTACTGAAATGAAATTGAGGTTTTTTAATGTAAAACCAATTTTCATGATGTAATACTTACCATAACTTTATGGAGTCCCACCCTATCCTCCCCTCTTCCTTATCTGCCTGGCTGCCCCTCTGTGGGGTTTACGCCATAAAGGTTATTAGAGGAAGGGAGATCACTCTGCGTTCCTGCCGTGATGGCTCATGGATCGTAGGGAGGGCGGGATTGTTTTTCTTTTGAATCTTTTGTTGTTGGGATACAAAGATGGGTGTAGGTACTGTATTTGCATACTAAAGTTATGGTAAGTATTACATCATGAAAATTGGTTTTACATTAAAAAACCTCAAATCGAAACTGGTAGATGGACAGGTGTACCTCGCCAGGAAAGAATTTGTTTATTATGTAATTTAAATATTGGCGATGAGCATCATTACCTTTATCAATGTGAAAACGACTATATTAAAGAAATACGTCAAAAATACTTACCTAAATACTATTACCAACAACCAAGTGTTTTGAAAATGAAAGGAATGTTCACTATTTGTAATGCCCCTTTACTTCGGAAAGTAACAAAATTTATACAAAAACTAGAAAAAATACTTAGTAATTTCTGAATTAATTGTATGTATCTAAAATTATATGTAAGTATGTATGGGCATGTATGTACACGTATGATTGTATGTATGTATGTATGTATGTATGTATGTATGTATGTATGTATGTACGTATGTATATACATTGTATGTAGGTATATGTTATGTATGTGCGTGTGTATGTATGTATGCACGCAGCATTACATGTATGCTGGTATGTATGCACATTTCACTATGTATAATGTATCTGATTATTTGCAGACAATATGTAACAATGTATCTGATTGTATCTTATGATTGACCTCCTGTTACACATTTATGGTGTGTCTGGAGTGATAAATAAAACTTGTAAACTTGTAAACATTCCGGGAATCGAACCCCGGACGGTTAGGTGAAAGCGAGTGCGTTACCACTGCGCCACACGACAACCCCTATATAGCCTTTAGTATAAAGGACATCGGACAATGTCCCCAGACAAGACCAAGTTAAAACCTACATTATTTTTAACACGATATATTACAGGCGATACAAACACCGTCAACTCTATGAAATTTTCTTCGCTTAAAAATGATATATGACAATCCCTTGAAAAATGATGTGGTCGTCCGTAAGCGTGAAGCAGTTTGTTTTTCTCATACACAGCACGTTATGAACGTAAACAACTCCAATCCTACTTTAATAAGTGACGTCATCTTGATTATTTCTCACGTTTCTAATTCCTTACTAAAAAATTAATGACAAAAAACTAAAATAAAAACGTACAGGTAAGGACCATTGATGTGATCACTGAGCGCGAGATGAAAGCTTATGTAACAGTGGAATTACGATGCCTGGGAGGGACGGTGATTGATGGACGAGCGCATCACGTGCATGTATCTATGTGGATTTGACAGCTATGAACTACTGGTATTAATACACATTTAAACACCTGTCTGTGTGCTTTCAGTACATTGTGGTATTACATGTTTATCAACCTTCGATTTAATATTAAGATATGCAAATTAGGTAATTTGTTTGAAATGATTAGAGTTTTAGAATATGATCATGAATAACATCTTATTTCCGTATGGTTGTGTGACCACATTTGTCAGACATCCTAGGTGGCACTGAACCTGCATTGTTTGTCTGTACAGGTGTTGGTACCTACCTCAAGGAAAAGAATCCCGGTATACAGGTGTTCCTGGCCGACCCTCAGGTAACATACTATTGATGAGATCGATGAGTCATTGCTTGTTTAAACATGTACGTCGGTGATATATGAAGCATTACCACCCTTTCATCGTACAATACAGAGATTTATGATAGTTTTAACTGACATGGTTTATTGTGCTCAAATTAATTTTAGTTAATATGCTATGAACACGTGCGTTTGGTGCATACGTCTTCAAATAGATCTTAACAATACGATGGCTGTGTGATGTAAAAATCGCTAAAACTGACTCATTCTAATATATACATAGACAAACACTGAATCAAATTTAAACACTTTGAAGTCTGTATAAAAATATAGTCAATATACGGAAAAGGTTTTTTTTATATTTCAAACATTTAATTGATATGAATATCAAAAGAATGAGACAGCAGAATGAATCTCCGAGCACGAGTTATCTTTTTATATCTCTTTCGTTTCTCGAACTGACATTACGATTTTTCGAGAATATTTTCTGGTGCCAAAGTGTGATACAACATCAGTTAAATAAGGTAGAATTGTGATATAATGAAGAAATCACGTGCTGGTGAACCGTTATCGTGCCGGATATATATACTACGTTAGAAAAATAAACCAGGTTTACGATGACAGGCAGATAGCGTGCTTTAGATATATACCATGTTAGAAAAATAAACCAGGTTTATGATGACGGACATATATCGTGACGGATATATATACCAAGTTAGAAAAATAAACCAGGTTTATAATGACGGGCAGATAGCGTGCTTTAGATATATACCATGTTAGAAAAATAAACCAGGTTTATGATGACGGACAGATATCGTGCCGGATATACCATGTTAGAAAAATAAACCAGGTTTATGATGACGGGCAGATAGCGTGCTTTAGATATATACCATGTTGGAAAAATAAACCGGGTTTATGATGACAGGCAGATAGCGTGCTTTAAATATATACCATGTTAGAAAAATAAACCAGGTTTATGATGATGGGCAGATAGCGTGCTGTAGATATATACCATGCTAGAAAAATAAACCAGATTTTTGATGATTGTGAAATAAGACACTTGTGATAGGATATGTCATCTCACTGCATTAGATGTATATCAAATTACAGTAATATCGAAATTGTTGGCTATCATTGTTTTCAAGGGAAGTGTCCTGTGCAGCTATATTAAACATGGAACACTAGAGAGGTCAGAGGGAAGTTCCATAGCAGAGGGCATAGGTCAAGGTCGAGTGACCAACAATCTAAAGGACGCACCCATTGATGACGCAATGACGATACTGGACACTGATGCAGTTGCCATGGTAACCGTTTCTAAGTAGTGCAGTAAATTATGTATATAGATAATACATTTATGTGAATTTTAAATCGTTCTATATGAGTGAAACATCAAGATTACGATGTAAAGTCAGTTAACAACAAAGACGGTCTATAACAAGTTAAATAATTATATACACAAAAAGAAAAATAAAGCGTTGTTCCCGAGTAAAACGGAATACAATCTGTAAATGTGCTGTGATTCTGATTTTCAGACATTTCGGCTGCTTCACGAAGAGGGTCTGTTCGTGGGGGCTTCGACAGGGCTAAACGTGTCCGCAGCACAACAGGTAGCCAGACGCATGGGACCTGGCAACACTATTGTCACATGTCTATGTGATACCGGTCAGGTAGGTTTACTATGTGATTACTGGTGACCTAAACTATGGTTACTTGTCCACGAGAAATGTAGACACTTTGGTCACATGACATTGAGATTTGTGCAAGTAGACACACTTTAATCACGTGTCTACGTGATATTATCAGTAGGTATACATTGGTCTCGTACTTGGGCTCGTGTGTGATTAGATTTAGATATATTTTTGTCACGTGCCTATGTGATTAGACAGGTAGATAAACTTTGTCACGTGTCTAGGTGATTAGACAGGTAGATAAACTTTGTCACGTGTCTATGCGATTAGACAGGTAGATAAACTTTGTCGCTTACCTATGTGATTAGACAGGTGGATAAACTTTGTCACGTGTCTAGGTGATTAGACAGGTAGATAAACTTTGTCACGTGTCTATGTGATTAGACAGGTAGAAAAACATTGTCACGTGCCTATGTGATTAGACAGGTAGATAAACTTTGTCACGTGTCTAGGTGATTAGACAGGTAGATAAACTTTGTCACGTGTCTATGCGATTAGACAGGTAGATAAACTTTGTCGCTTACCTATGTGATTAGACAGGTGGATAAACTTTGTCACGTGTCTAGGTGATTAGACAGGTAGATAAACTTTGTCACGTGTCTATGTGATTAGACAGGTAGAAAAACATTGTCACGTGTCTATGTGATTAGACGGATGGATAAACTTTGTCACGTGCCTATGTGATTGGACAGGTAGATAAACTTTGTTACGTGTCTATGTGATTAGACAGTTAGATAAACTTTGTCACGTGTCTAAGCGATTAGACAGGTAGATAAACTTTGTCACGTGTCTATGTGATTAGACAGGTAGATAAACTTTGTCACGTGTCTATGTGATGCGCACTTACATTTAGTTTCATATCATTTTAAATCAACACATTGATTTACCGTATGATGCTTTGTAAACGATTTCACAGACCCTGTTATACTGTTATACTGAAATCAAATTAAAAATGTCGATGTTCATCGAACATACCATTCACAATTTAAAATGAACGACATGTCTTACTCTTCTGCGCCAGTTTCTTACTGACTTGAATAAGTATGAGGACTGCCATGTGTCAAATAAATTTCATATTTATAGACAGAAACATTACAGCTCTCGAATTCTAATATTATCATGTCCCGCGTGATTCGATATTCCGGATCTTGTTCCAGTATCACGGTCTATGAGATAGGTGTCGAAACAGTTTTACAAAGTCGTGTATCGGAGGATGCAGGTTGACTAAGAATATTGGAACTATCGAGGTTTAGGTTTGGAACAATCGAGGTTTTCGAATTGAGGTTTAGGTTTGGATTAATCGAGGTTTTGGTTTGGAGCAATCGAGGTTTTGGTTTCGAACAATCGAGGTTTTGGTTTCGAACCATCGAGGTTTTGGTTTGGAACAATCGAGGTTTTGGTTTGGAACAATCGAGGTTTTGGTTTGGAACAATCGATGTTTTGGTTTCGAACCATCGAGGTTTTGGTTTGGAACAATCGAGGTTTTGGTTTGGAACAATCGATGTTTTGGTTTCGAACCATCGATGTTTTGGTTTCGAACAATCGATGTTTTGGTTTCGAACAGTGCCATTTGGTTGTGCGATATCGAGTGCGATCTGTTCATCACAATTTTACATGCAGGTCGTTCCATTGTTGTATAAAAGAAATATTATAACGAGAAAAGGTCACGACCTGTGCTGCCTTTAAAGCAAAAGGTCACCCACTCTTCAGGAACAAATGTTCTTATACTACAACTAAACGTACAAGGATATATTCTCATCAAACTGCGTTATAGGCGTGAAGATTCCATTGTATGAATTTCCCATGTCTGGATAGCTACATTCTAGTATCACAATCCATTGGTTTTTTACATATCAAAGTCTATTTGATATTCAAGGCTTGTTCCCAATATCGACAACTGACAGTAAACTCACAACATAGGGGCCCAAGATATGCTGGTCGATTATCATTATGGGAAAGGTTTACGTTGTCAAAATGTTGAATATTGCGAGTATGTTTTTTAACCATTTCATTTTGGAACGTGGTATAACTTCCTTCGATTGGCTAAGATTTGCATGGCGGGTATCTTTGAGGAAGCAGAGGACGCTTACTCTTCCAGAGCACACGGTCTTATTTTCTCTTTATACTTGTTATAGATTTTCTGAGAACATTTTTTCTTTGTTAATGTTTTCCCTTAATTTGATCGAATTTGAGTTTGATTTTGTTAAAACGTCGTAATTGTGTTAACTACGAATAGAAAATTTTGGATCCAATAACTTTACACAATGCCATATTGATACCGCGTGCTGTTTTTCAAAATTTATCATTACAATATGAATAATGCCGTTACCGCCTTTGTACCATGTTTTTTTCAGCGATACTACGGGAAACTGTTTAGTAGAAAAGTTCTTGCCGAAAGAGGTAAATATGCCAATAGTTTTGAGCCCCATACATTCTAGATATCTCTGTCCATGTGAAGCGATCTGCATGTATTTACATATTTTGAAGACTACTTTAAATGATTTACGGATTACTTTGGTTTATAGTTATCGTAAGCAATTAATTAAACATAACTTATTAAAGTTAAATTAGTGGGGTTTGTATCCCATTAACTACACTTTCACATGCACATTTATTATCAGATAATGAAAGATCGATATACGATATGTAAATTAATTTCCAAGGATCAAAAGTAATCACCTACCGTATATAATCACGTCAATCATTTGTAAAAACAACCATTTGATGTGACTTGCAGATTAAAACACGTGTTTCTTTGAACAGGTCTATTAGACTGCATCCCTGAGGCATATCAACGATCACTTCATTAAACCAGCACGACCATGAACGGTCCTGTAATTAGACAATCATGGACATCCCTGTAATTAGACAATCACGGACAGCCCTGTAATTAGACAATCATGAACATCCCTGTAATAAGACAATCATGGACATCCCTGTAATTAGACAATCACGGACAGCCCTGTAATTAGACAATCACGGACAGCCCTGTAATTAGACAATCATGGACATCCCTGTAATTAAACAATCATGGACATCCCTGTAATTAGACAATCATGAACAGCCCTGTAATTAGACAATCATGAACAGCCCTGTAATTAGACAATCACGGACGGCCCTGTAATTAGACAATCATGAACAGCCCTGTTATTAGACAATCATGGACATCCCTGTAATTAGACAATCACGGACAGCCCTGTAATTAGACAATCATGAACATCCCTGTAATAAGACAATCATGGACATCCCTGTAATTAGACAATCACGGACAGCCCTGTAATTAGACAATCACGGACAGCCCTGTAATTAGACAATCACGGACGGCCCTGTAATTAGACAATCATGAACAGCCCTGTTATTAGACAATTATGGACAGCCCTGTAATTAGACAATTATGGACAGCCCTGTAATTAGACAATTATGGACAGCCCTGTAATAAGACAATCATGAACATCCCTGTAATTAGACAATCATGAACGGTCCTGTAATTAGACAATCATGAACATCCCTGTAATTAGACAATTATGGACAGCCCTGTAATTAGACAATCATGAACATCCCTGTAATTAGACAATCATGGACCTCCCTGTAATAAGACAATCATGGACATCCCTGTAATTAGACAATCATGAACGGTCCTGTAATTAGGCAATCATGGACCTCCCTGTAATTAGGCAATCATGGACAGCCCTGTAATTAGACAATCATGAACATCCCTGTAATAAGACAATCATGGACATCCCTGTAATTAGACAATCATGAACGGTCCTGTAATTAGACAATCATGAACATCCCTGTAATTAGACAATCACGGACAGCCCTGTAATTAGACAATCATGAACATCCCTGTAATTAGACAATCATGGACCTCCCTGTAATAAGACAATCATGGACATCCCTGTAATAAGACAATCATGAACATCCCTGTAATTAGACAATCACGGACAGCCCTGTAATTAGACAATCACGGACAGCCCTGTAATTAGACAATCATGGACAGCCCTGTAATAAGACAATCATGAACATCCCTGTAATTAGACAATCACGGACAGCCCTGTAATTAGACAATCACGGACATCCCTGTAATTAGACAATCACGGACAGCCCTGTAATTAGACAATCATGGACAGCCCTGTAATTAGACAATCATGAACGGTCCTGTAATTAAACAATCACGGACATCCCTGTAATTAGACAATCACGGACAGCCCTGTAATTAGACAATCATGAACATCCCTGTAATTAGACAATCACGGACAGCCCTGTAATTAGACAATCATGAACGGTCCTGTAATTAAACAATCACGGACATCCCTGTAATTAGACAATCACGGACAGCCCTGTAATTAGACAATCATGAACATCCCTGTAATTAGACAATCACGGACAGCCCTGTAATTAGACAATCATGAACATCCCTGTAATTAGACAATCATGAACATCCCTGTAATTAGACAATCACGGACAGCCCTGTAATTAGACAATCATGAACGGTCCTGTAATTAAACAATCACGGACATCCCTGTAATTAGACAATCACGGACAGCCCTGTAATTAGACAATCATGAACATCCCTGTAATTAGACAATCACGGACAGCCCTGTAATTAGACAATCATGAACGGTCCTGTAATTAAACAATCACGGACATCCCTGTAATTAGACAATCACGGACAGCCCTGTAATTAGACAATCATGGACGGCCCTGTAATTAGACAATCATGAACAGCCCTGTAATTAGACAATCATGAACATCCCTGTAATAAGACAATCATGGACATCCCTGTAATAAGACAATCATGGACAGACCTGTAATTAGACAATCATGTACATCCCTGTAATTAGACAATCATGGACGGCCCTGTAATTAGACAATCATGAACAGCCCTCTAATTAGACAATCATGGACATCCCTGTAATTAGACAATCATGTACATCCCTGTAATTAAACAATCATGAACAGCCCTGTAATTAGACAATCATGAACAGCCCTGTAATTAGACAATTATGGACAGCCCTGTAATTAGACAATCATGAACATCCTTGTAATTAGACAATCATGAACATCCCTGTAATTAGACAATCATGGACATCCCTGTAATTAAACAATCATGGACAGCCCTGTAATTAAATAATCACGGACAGCCCTGTTATTAAACAATCATGGACAGCCTAGTAATAAAGCAATCACGGACAGCCCTGTAATTAGACAATCATGAACGGTCCTGTAATTAGACAATCATGGACAGCCCTGTAATTAGACAATCATGAACATCCCTGTAATTAGACAATCATGAACAGCCCTGTAATTAAACAATCATGGACGGCCCTGTAATTAGACAATCATGGACAGCCCTGTAATTAGACAATCATGGACAGCCCTGTAATTAGACAATCATGAACGGTCCTGTAATTAAACAATCACGGACAGCCCTGTAATTAGACAATCATGGACATCCCTGTAATTAGACAATCATGGACAGCCCTGTAATTAGACAATCATGGACATCCCTGTAATTAGACAATCATGAACATCCCTGTAATTAGACAATCATGGACAGCCCTGTAATTAGACAATCATGGACGGCCCTGTAATTAAACAATCACGGACAGCGCTGTAATTAGACAATCATGAACATCCCTGCAATTAAATAATCACGGACAGCCCTGTAATTAAACAATCACGGACAGCCCTGTTATTAAATAATCACGGACAGCCTAGTAATAAAGCAATCACGGACAGCCCTGTAATTAAACAATCATGGACGGCCCTGTAATTAGACAATCATGGACAGCCCTGTAATTAGACAATCATGAACATCCCTGTAATAAGACAATCACGGACAGCTCTGTAATTAGACAATCACGGACAGCCCTGTAATTAGACAATCATGGACATCCCTGTAATTAGACAATCATGAACAGCCCTGTAATTAGACAATCATGAACATCCTTGTAATTAGCACGAATGGTATAATCAGACATCGGTATGGTATAGCTAGTCAGTAACGGTCGGTGTATTGATTAGACATTCACGGACGGTGTGATTACACAGTCACGGACGGTATAATTAGATAGGCACGGACGTATAACACTTTACGCGTCAAAGATCTATCACACAACCACGTACTACATACCAGGGCGCGTCAAAGATACAACAACGTACGATACTTCAGGTAGCATCGAAGATCTCTTCACTATAGAACCACGAACGATTTTCCTCTACGATATCCAAGGGCGCATCACAGATATCTTCGCTATACAGCCATGTACGATATTACAGGACAAATCAAGTTTCTCTTCAATATACTACCACGTGCGATATCCAAGGGCACATCAGATGTATCAAAAGTTCTTCACTAAACAACCATGTACGATAACCTTGGGCGCATCAAAAGTTTCTTCACTAAACAACCATGTACGATAACCTTGGGCGCATCAAAAGTCTCTTCACTAAACAACCATGTACGATAACCTTGGGCGCATCAAAAGTTTCTTCACTAAACAACCATGTACGATAACCTTGGGCGCATCAAAAGTTTCTTCACTAAACAACCATGTACGATAACCTTGGGCGCATCAAAAGTTTCTTCACTAAACAACCATGTACGATAACCTTGGGCGCATCAAAAGTTTCTTCACTGTACAACCATGTACGATAACCTTGGGCGCATCAAAAGTCTCTTCACTAAACAACCATGTACGATAACCTTGGGCGCATCAAAGGTCTCTTCACTAAACAACCATGTACGATAACCTTGGGCGCATCAAAGGTCTCTTCACTAAACAACCATGTACGATAACCTTGGGCGCATCAAAGGTCTCTTCACTAAACAACCATGTACGATAACCTTGGGCGCATCAAAAGTTATCTTCACTAAACAACCATGTACGATAACCTTGGGCGCATCAAAGGTCTCTTCACTAAACAACCATGTACGAGACCCTTGATAACCTTGGGCGCATCAAAGGTCTCTTCACTAAACAACCATGTACGATAACCTTGGGCGCATCAAAAGTTTCTTCACTAAACAACCATGTACGATAACCTTGGGCGCATCAAAAGTTTCTTCACTAAACAACCATGTACGATAACCTTGGGCGCATCAAAAGTTTCTTCACTAAACAACCATGTACGATAACCTTGGGCGCATCAAAAGTTTCTTCACTAAACAACCATGTACGATAACCTTGGGCGCATCAAAAGTTTCTTCACTAAACAACCATGTACGATAACCTTGGGCGCATCAAAAGTCTCTTCACTAAACAACCATGTACGATAACCTTGGGCGCATCAAAAGTCTCTTCACTAAACAACCATGTACGATAACCTTGGGCGCATCAAAGGTCTCTTCACTGTACAACCATGTACGATATCAACAACTTTCCATTTGGCATACATGTAGAGTATTCCTGTGCATAAATTCCTGTTGGTAAGAGACTCGTGAATCAATAGACATATAAATTGAACTCTTTATTTCACACGATGGACAAAACACAGAACAATGGAAGAAATACGCTTCTAAAATATGATAAAGATTTTTTACTCATTTGGATACGAAAGTGAGAGCAATGTCACGCGCGTATTAACATTGAGCGCGATGTTGTTGTGAACTGTGATGTTCGTTAAGTATTCGTGGTAAAATCATATCAGTTTGTTCGACCAATTCCACTTTGTATTCCAAGTTATTAAATGTAAATTATGAAAGTCAGACAACACTGTTTATTCTTCTGTTACCTTTTTATCCCATCAGCTACAAAAAAAAAATCTTCCGATTCCCGCCGTTCAAGAAAGAAATAGCATCATCTGA